CAATCCCTGCATCATTCCAAACCTCTTGGCACTCTGCCATCCAGCCTGTCGACTCAACTACCGTAACCCTCCCCCCCTCCGGTAACGTCAATAATACATCACATGGGCAGAAAAACGTGCTCCTCCTCCCCCATTTCTCTTCTTTTTGCCGTTTTGTCGCGATTTTTGGGGGCGATTCCGGGGGAAGAAGGTGGGCTTCACCCTCGCCGTCAGAACCCCCGAACATCATGGAGAAGGCTGCTAGAGGTGGCCGGGGGGAGGGGGGCGATTTTCAGTTTTCTTGTATCAACCTCTCGTGCTTTGGTAGAAGCAGAAGAAGAGGAAGGACGGAGGGAAGGAAACCCAAGCAAAAGCGGGGGTCGATTGATTGGGAGGCACCGAAAATACGGTGGTGGGGCAATATTTAGGGAATCAGAGAATTTAGAGAATTTTAGCATTAAGAGGGTACTGTACAGCCGAAAGAGTGGCGCATTTGCACACAGAACCCCCTAGTAAGGGAGATCTCCGAAAGAAATGAGAACGCTCAGCGCACCACGCAGTCAGTACAAGAAAATTCCATAATTCAAAGTCAGGAATTTTGAAATCGAAAAATCAAAATAAATTCCTGGGAAGAAAATACTAACGATGCCTTTCCATCTCTTAACGAGCGCTGACGTTTCCGGTGAAGCTCGTGTGCAGCTATGGCTCAGAACCCTCCAACTTGGTCAAGGACTGAGGCCCGTTATAAGGGTTTTGACAAACCGTTTTTGCTCGCAAAAGGCGATCCTGCAGCCCCAACCAGAACCCGCAAAATTGCGTAGCCGGTCTGAAAGGCCAAATTGGCTACTCCCGATTCAATTTTGGGTTCGCCGCGAAAGTCTTCATCGAGAGAGCAAATTCGGGCTGAGTGTCTGCTGCCAGCACCCCGTTTTCCATCCGCTCCGCGCCAGTTTTTCCGAGTTTGAGGCAAACAAAAAAAGGGTTATACCATGGGAAGATAATTGTTTAAGGAATATAATGGAAATGAACTTTCCTCGAATAGTTTTTCAGAAAGTCGAAAAAGTTTCGGTCACCACTCTTTCGGGCCACCCTGTAATTCGGAGTGTACCGTACTGTACTTTTGACTGCTACATATCCGTTGAAGTAGACATGGCTCCGGCTTAGTCTTCAGCTTAGCTTAGGCTTGGCTTAGCTTACGATTATATCAGCCTTATGATTAAGCTTAAGTTTAAGCTTAGGCTTTTCAAGCCTAAACTGAGCAGGGTTTAGGTCAAGACTTAGCTTGGGTTTAGGCTTTCTTAAAGCTCAAGTCACGCTACTGCTTATGCTTAAGTTTGGTTTAGGCTTATCTTGTGGTTAAGCTTGGCTTAGCCTTTTCTTAGGCACAGCTTAGGCTTAACTCCACTTTCACCATACCCCAGGGTAACGAGCACACACCCTTTGCCACCCCCCATCCCCCATTGCCATCCGATCATCGCCAGGGTAAGCATCTCCTTACGGCCGAAGAAGAAGAAGACGGGGAAGAAGCAGGCGAAAATGGGCTGAGCACAACCGTCTTGCTCCTCTCCTCCCTCCCGCCATATCCTGCCCATCCATCGCTCTCTATACCCACCCCCCGGCACCACGCAAAAACGGACGGTGAACGGCATTCGGCACAGGCTGGCAAACCAACCCTGCTCGGCTCTTCTACCGGACGGCTGAAAGCTTAGGCTTTATAGGGGATGGGGGATGGGCTTTAAAGGAGGAGGGCTTATTAGGCTTAACTTGGTTGATATAGATAGCCTAGGCTTAAGGTTGCTTAGGCTTAGGCTTGCGTTTGGCTTAGACTTAGGCTAGGCTTACGCTAGGCTTGAGCTCAGGGTTTAGGCTCCTGCTTATGCTTAGGTTAGGCTGAGGCTTATTAGGCTTAGGCTTGGACTTGCGCTCAGAACTCTGCATAAGCCAAGCTAGTTGAAGCTTCAGTTTTCTCGTGAATCGCACAACACAATCCCCCGGTATCCCCATCAATCAGACCCATTTCAGGCACCCTAAAACGGAGGGTCTCGCGGATCAGCCATTAAAAGCCGGGGGGGGAGTAGGAGGTCAATCTCACCGCCGAAAGTCCTAAAAAAGGTCTGGCTTTTCCCCGGGGGTCTCTTGTCTTTTTAGGAGCTGAGGTCAATGCCAGCTGGTATGCTCTTTTTTAGGATAAGGAAAGTTGCGTAAAAAATTGCTGCAAGTACTGTAAGCCGGCTCTCTCTCCCCTCCGCTCCTCTCGCCATCTCTCTCCTCCGCTCTCTCTCTCTCTCTCTCTCTCTTTCTCTCTCTCTCCATCTCTCTCCATCTCTCTCTCTCTCTCTCTTTCTCTCTCTCTCCATCTCTCTCCATCTCTCTCTCTCTCTCTCTCTTTACCACCAATTCCAGGTCACCCTCCGCAATTGGGTCGTTCTGATTTCCCCCTGTACTTTCTCCGCCCCATCCCGCAAAAAACCCCATTTTTCCGGATTTTCCGGTCGACTCCTCGCTACGCCGTGACCGTAAAGAGAAGCCGCTAGGAATGGGTGGAAGGGGGCGTGTCCGAGGGGTTTCGTTCGTTCGGCTCGGTCGGATGGGGTGGGGGTGAACGAAATTTATCTCCCGGCCACATCTACTCGCCGCAAATGTTTCACGCCATAGACTGTTTGGGAAGGGGGAATTTCCCCCTCAACCGGGGAAATTCGGGTCAACCGCCCCCCAAAAAGGGGACGCACTCAAAAACCTGGAGGGCAGATGGAAGAGGCCGGAAAGATTGGGGCTACTGATCTTATTGGGAGCAAATTGGGCGGGGAGGTGTTTCGAATTTCATGGGTCCAGCTGATTTTGAAAAAGGAAAAATTACCTTTTTTTGGTATTTTGTATTTTAAGGGAAATCGTAGGGTGGAAAGGAGCAGAACCGACCGAATTAATATGACAGCAGGATCAACGTAAAAATGGACACTGTGTGAGCCCGAGCTAGAGAGAGAGAGAGAGAGAGAGAGAGAGAGAGAGAGAGAGAGAGAGATAGAGGAGCAGTGTATGCTACCTAGTGTACTGTAGTTTCTCCAAGCAAACAAAAATTCATTCAAAATTGAGCCCCTTTGGAGCACGAGCTAACTTAGTAAGGCAAAGGAAAAAAAAGCAGAGAGAGAGAGAGAGAGAGAGAGAGAGAGAGAGAGAGAGCTAGAGAGCGAGAGAGAGGGATAACACCTTAAGAATATGGGCTTTACGACATGCCATACTGCAGCTTTCAACCCTTTTTTAAGGGGATTCAGAAGGCACACCCGCTAAAACCCGCCAATTCATGCAGAAGCTTCCGGGACTTTTGCCTTCTGAGTCTCTTTAAAACTAGGATCTAGATTTTCACGGAACTTCCCATAAACCCTTCACAAAAACATAAGATTAACAAAATCAACCAAAAGCCGACAAATCAATAAGCCCACGCCGGACGGACTGCGGCGTACCGCGAGATTGGACAAAACCGAAATTCGGCCATTCCTGCTAGCGAGTACGAGAGACAACTGTTGACAAGGAAAAACGGGCGTAACATACAGAATTAATGAAGAGTTGGAGAGTACTGTCGATAGGAATATGGCGGACTTGAGAGCGGGGGATGGGGGGAGAGACTGTTTTCGGGGGTTCGGATCGAGTACGGTGGATCGGATCGGAGTTTAGGCAGTTCAGTTCCGGGGGGCACTCCCAAATACCCTATTTCAGTTCACCTTTTGAGAAGCTTTTAGGCTAAAGTGATCGAACGTGCAGAGGAAATCGGTTGGCTACGGTTGTCTGATGCTTTTCCTTATACAGGGTGTGGCAACACTTTCCCGGGTCTCTCAAAAAATTAAGAAAGCTGTCTGGGCTTCAATAATTTGCTGAAATATAGCCACAGGTGTCTTCTCGCCACGCCTAAAATATTAGAAGGCAGCAGCCCTATAAACTTTTGTTCTGAAGCAAAAACTGTGCGTTCGTAAGGGTGGCGCTGGCACGGAACCCCTTGGAAGCCAATTTCAGCATGGTTCAGAAACCCCGTTTTGGGCATGAATGGCTCCTAATAACATGTGTACTACCTAGTAATGACGGATAAAGGTAATTAAAACAATTCATTTCCTTTAAGTAGGCAGAAATTTAGAATTGTTCTCGGCTGGTCCCAAAAATCATAGTAAAAAAAACTAAAATAGCCTTGTTTTGATCTTTAATCGTTGAATCCCTTGGCTGCACCACCCGGAATCGGTTCAATCCGGTGCCTATAATGTAAAAATTGCTTAAATAAAACAATACAATTCGGAGGCATTTTATAATTAATTTTTAGTAGTCAACGTAAGGGTGCTCAGGGGTGGGTAAGCCCGCGTTTTTTGAATATAGCAAAATTCCCTCGCCAGTTTCCGACTTAAAGACTTTTAGTAAAAATAAGTAAGATCAAACTGAACTTAAATACAAAACCCTCGAGCACAGCTACCAATATCCGGGGTTCTAGGAGCAGCGTGCCAACACAGCACTTTTTCGACAAAATCGCTAAACTTCCCCATACTATAAATCAAAACTTAAAAATTTTGCAGCCGTTTTCATTTGTCTCCTGCTTAAAGAAACACTAGTTCATTTATGGGAAACATCCAATCCCCCGAAAAAAATAATTAGTTTCCCGCTAACAGGCAAATTCGTATGGTCTGGGGGTGTTGCCATATATACGCCTCACCCTGTATCTCTTTCTCTCTCTCTCTCTCTCTCTCTCTCTCTCTCTCTCTCTCGCCGTCTCTCTCTCGCTATCCTTCTGTCTCACTCTCGCTATCTCTCTTGCGCCCGCTCTCTCTCTCTCTCTCTCTCTCTCTCTCTCTCTCCTCTGTTTCTCTGTCTCTCTCTCTTTCACCCGTTGTCCCTCTCACTCCCAAGCTAAAATTCGGAAATTCAGCTTCTCAGGCGTACTGTAATTCTTGTTTATGCATTTTCTACAAACGTACAGCTTTGTACAGGTATGGTAATTGGCGGTGGGGGATACGGTAGAATAATTGAGCGGGGAGGGCAGGTATTTAGAGGCATACAAAACGAGCAACGAGAATCGTGGCAATAAGGGTGAGAGAGAGGGAAACAGAATTCGGGGCCGAATTGCAGAGATCTCCCGAGCAGCAGCAGATCTTGTTCGAGCCGGGGCCAGAGCAGCCCGTGTCCTGAAATGGCCAGAATTAGATAGATTAAATAATTCAATTAAAGTGGAGAAAGATTTAGAATTGAAAGGTCTTGTCGAGAGGATCTAAAGGGAGCGTGACAGCAGGGGGTCGCTTTTAAGCCTCTTTATCTCTCTAACTCACACTCCCTCTATCGCTCTCTCTCCCCTTCTCTTTCTCTCTCACCCGCTCTCTCGTTCTCTCACTTCCTGGCAGGCCCCCTTTAAGCGAGTATAAACCCTAAGACTTCCCCGAAAATGAAACCCAAAAGAACCCAGGAAGCCTCCATGACCTAGAAACCAAATTAAAGGCGTTGAGAAGCCACAGAAAACACACGAAAGGCCACCCAGCCTACTCAGAAAGTATTGCACAGATCGCCGGCACAGCAGCAGTCCCGATTATCCGACCCTCCCCAACACCCCGTGTCCTGAACGAGGGACTGAACTGTATCGTTGTCGCTATGTCCCTCTCCCTCTCCCTCTCTCCCCCTCTCTCTCTCTCGCTCTCTCTCTCGCTCTCTCTCTCTCGCTCTCTCTTTCTCTCTCTCTCGTGAAAACGCCTGCTAAGCAAAATATGCGAAAATTGTTGAGCCCTGGAAATACCTGGAAGCACCGTCCAGAATTCGGATCGCCACAGTCCCTCGTTTCAGTGTGGGAATTGTCTCCATCATGGTCGCGACGTACATAGGATTTGAAGCACATCCTCACCTGAGGGCCACAGTCACCTGAAAAATCCAGATTCCTCATAGATCTCGGCTTGTTAGCCAGTCCGCGCGCTCTCACTCCCTCTCCCTCTCTCTCTCTTCCCCCTCTCGCTTCAACTTACGAATGGACATTGCCGATTGGACGAGGGTTGACGAGAATACGTCCCCCTTATTCGGCAATGTCTGCTGTCCGACGTAGCAAGTGACGCAGAAGGTGATGGAGATGCAGAGGGAAAGGAGAACGAGGTGGCGGAGCATCATCTCTGGGATCATGCAGTTTTAAAGGAACTGTGAAGTCGAGGAAAGAATTGCAAAAACAGGCTTTACTTAATAAATCGAAAATTGGCTCAAAAAAGCTTTAGGCTCTATTTTACGTACGTTACGATTTTACGCGCGTAATTTCAAAAATCCGTTTAAAAATACTTTTTAAAATCCGTAAAAACGTCATAAATTGGCAAAATATCGTTGCGTGCCGTACAAAATCTACAGCTCTGCTTTGCCGGCTTCATTGAAATTCAGCACAAACCCCAAAAAAATTAAATTTGTTAGAAAAATAGTTGATCCCATCGCTATCCCTATGCCTTTAAAAAAGAATAGACGGTTCGGAATCAGGCGTCGAAATGTTGAGACTGAAAGTGAGGGTGGGCCCCCAAGCCAACGCTCAGTTTTGAGGGCCCAACAACCCCCACTGACAGCACCCAAATAGACATTGAAGAAAAGAGGCCGGGCACGGCATCGACCCTCTCTGTATTTACACGCCGATTCTCTCTCCCGTGGCATTTGGCGAGAGAGAGAGAGAGAGAGAGAGAGAGAGAGAGAGAGAGAGAGAGATAGAGTGAGAGAAAGAGAGAGAGAGCGCGCGAGAGAGAGCGAGAGACAGCGAAAACGCCTCATTTTTGCTGGCTATTTTGCATTATCGGGGGGGGGGGGAGACTCATCCCATAGCGTCCCGATATGTCTAAATTGCGCGGATTTAATAGTGATTTTGGTAATAATCATCAATAATAACTTAGAAAAATGTTTTAGGCGAAAAGCGACCTACTTGGTCAAAAATCTATTTAATTTTTGGCAGAATCTTGTAAATTTTTTACGTGATAAACAGTGAGAAATTGTTTAGATACACTTCTTGCATTTTTTGAAAAAATTTGGGTCCTTAGAATAAAATTCATCCATTTATTCTCTTTAGGAATACCGCAACCCCAAAGCGCCTAACAAAACAGAACACAACTTGCAGCTTCTCCCCTAAAAAGGGGAAGTAGTGCGTGCCCTCCAAACGGCAACATTAACGCACTCAACCGCGCCCTACTCTCCCCCTTGCATAAAACATTATGGGGCACTTTTTAGGCAGCAACCCCCTATTTTGATGCATATCCGGTGAGGAAGCGTGCAATAATTTTGGGTCGGCGAATAATTTGGGGTCGTGGATTCTTAGGGGTTTCCGAGGGGCACCTATTGACGAGAAGCTGGCGGAAGAGAAGAAGAAGACGAAGAAGCACCTTAACACCCCATGCAAACAATCCAGGGTACCCAGGGCTGACAACCTAGAAATGCGGGGAGGGCACCAAATAGCAATCTCTCTCTCTTTCTCTTTCTCTCTCTCTCTCTCTCTCTCTCTCTCTCGCTTTCTCTCTCTCTCTCTCTCGCTTGCAACTTGCAGAGTTTCTTTAGGAATTTCCGGATTTAAGGCTGACCCAAGCCCATCAAAAAGGCTCAAGAAAAGCTCATTACTGTCCCCTCTTGACTACAAAGCCAAACAGATGACACCCGCTACCGTAGATCTGTGTATTTTTGACCCAACCCCTTGTGGCTCTGTTGACATTCACTGTTCGGCAGCGGATTCTGTTTGTGTTTTTTTTTTTTTTTTTTTTTTTTTCTCTCTCTCTCTCTCTCTCTCTCTCCCCCCCCCCCCCCCCCCCCCCTCCTACAAGTAGTAGAAATGTCGAAATGGTGTCACTCTGCATCCACCTCAGAAAACAACATCAAAGCGGGCCGCGTAGAAAATATTTATTCAGGATGAACTGTGATGGGATGAGCGAGAGAGTGGGAGAGAGAGAGAGTGGGGGGAGAGAGAGAGTGAGTGAGCGAGAGCGAAATCCTAGAATCCGATGTCCTTGGTGAAGATCTGCGGCTTGTTGGCTGGCTTTTGCGGGATGGTCGGAGTGGAGTCGGCAGATGCGGTCGACGTCTTCTTGCCCTTCTTGGCATCTTTGGTCGTCTTCTTGGTTGTCTTCTTCTTTTTCGACGAAGACGACGACAAGCTGGTCGACTTTTCGTGGTGATCTGGAATCGGAAGTAAGATTTTCTATCCCGTATCTCATTGTTTTTCTAGCTATCTCTCTCACGCCGACTTCCAGTAGTTCATTACACGCGTCATACCTTCCCCACGACGCTCCTGAACAGTTCGTGCTTCGCGCCGCTGCAGCTCCGCCTCCCCAACAATTGACGCGGCTAAATCCCGAGAATTATGCCAGAACGTTGGTCATCTACTGATCATCCTCCGCAGTTTGCTGAGCCCGAGACAGTCCAAGGAACAGGACAACGCCCCGAGGCCGGTGCTCAACTAAATGGAATAACAAAGCATTCGCAGAAACAATGCCTTTCCCGTCCAAAACATGGCCAGCGCCACGAAAAAGTAGATGAACACGAGTCCCGGGACGGCACCCAGCGACACGACACCGAGCAGGACAGCCGGAAATATCGATAGGATGCAGCGGACCGTTGCCTAAAACGAGCTAAGTCAGCTATTGCTCTCACTCTCTCTCTCTCTCTCTCTCTCTCTCTCTCTCCCTCCTGCCCCTACCTACCCTGAAACGAGCGGCCAACACCTCGGCCCTCATCAGGTCCTCTGTCTCGGCCATTCTAGCCTTCTGCATCTAAACTCCAACCCGGGTACCGTAGCCCCAGAGTTTTACCGTATTCCTGTAGACGGTCAGCGGGATGTAGAAGCAGACGACGAGGGGGAGGACGAGCTGGAATAGAAGGGGCCATGTTGTCACACTCCCTTTAAGGTAGCGTAATCAATTCCCAGGCTCTTCAAGTTCCCTTCAAAACAGCGTAATCAGTTGTCAGACCTGTCACACACCCGTTAAAACGCCTACCGTAATCAAAACCGGCAAAAATGGGGTGAAGAATAGTGTGCCGATGCGCGAGCCCCCGTTCATCCAGTGGTAGACCAGTGACCAACGCTCCAGATCGTCTGATCCCATACGGCATGGACCACCTGTGGGTAGAGTACGGTAGTGTACGGTAGAGTACCCAAGTAGGACGGCGGAACTAACCGCTGATAAAGTGCTGCAGCGAGTCGGTGATTAGACCGCAATCCCAGCAGAATCTTGTGCGACATCGGATCACAGGGCATTCCACCAGACGACAGCCTTCACGCTCTGCGTAGATGTTCTAGAATGGAAAGCTGTCGCTCACTCTCTCTCACTCTCGTTCCCTCTAACTCTCTCACCCACGCTCGTCTCTCTCTCATTGCCTCTCTCACCCTCGCTCTCTTGCTCTCTCTCTGGCTCTCTCTCTCTCTCTCTCTCTCTCTCTCTCCCACGCACCCGGCATACAGGACACGGCTTTGCCAGAAGTGGCCCCCCGAATGCATCGATGATCTGTAGAGAGTGATGTAGATAGAGCAGCTTGATCCGTTGTTCCGGCCGTAGGTGCTGATCGTAGTCCGTCTAAAGGTGCGTGCAAGGCAAGCTTCTATGGACCAAGTCTACCTCAATGGGTGAGAGAGCCATTTCCAGGTCATTCTCATGAATGTCCTGGGTGCAACCGTCCGTTGGGCACTTCAGAATTGGCTTTTTCTGGGTGACGGTTTGTTCCTGGAACGGTGGGCAGGCTAGCAGAGATTCTTTGAGATTTGGGAAGGTTGGAAAATCGCTTAGATTTTAGAAAACGCTTAGGCGTAGGCTTAGGTTAGGCTTAGCTTAGGGTTAGACTTAGGAATCGCTTAGGCATAAGCTAAGGTTTGGGCTAGGGGCTACGGTTTACTTTACCCCCCAGCCGGAATTTTTTGGCTATAACTTTTTTATTTTACATTATTGTAGGCTCAAATTAAAACTCTTAGTATATTTTTCGACGCTCTATCGAATGGCGTTGCAAAAATCCCGACAAAATAAGCGAAAATACCGAAAACTTTGAGACCCTTCTGCTGTGGGGGGGTAAAGTAAACTCTTAGCGGGATAGGCTTTAGCTTACAAGGAGTCGCTTTTAGGTGCTTTTGGAGTTTCGGGACGGGACTTAGCTAGTTCGATAGAGAAAAAATTCTGAGCAACATCCCGTTTTCAAAAAGTGCTGATCGATAAAGGTGTTTTAGAAAATTTAATTTAAACTTAGCGCTTTTTTCTAGTTTTCGGCTCCGTTTCCTCTGTGCACGTCGTTTTCGGGGCTGGGCAGGGCGCCATTCGTAACCCTCCGCCAATGCCTCCATCACAGGTTGCATTGGCGTATTGGTAGCGCGCTTGCCTACCAATTTTTTAACATTTTTTTGCCTCGGGTTCGAATCTTCGCGCTCGCTAACCCTTTGCTTTTTGGTTCTTGAGCCCGTTATTGGTGCATAAAATTTTAATTAGCAAAAAAGCAAAGAGTTAACGATAAATAAGAATCGAACTTGTGGCAAAAGGTAAAAAAAAAATTCGTAGGCCATCGCACTAGCCACTTGGCCATGCCTAGGACGGGATCCAAGGCGCGTGGAGTCCTCATGTGGCGGGGCGGTCAACCGCCGTAAATAACCTCAAATCACCACCAGGGGTCCGGACACCGGGAACATTTTTAACTAAATTAAATTTTCTAAAACAGCTTTATCGATCAGCACTTTTTGAAAACGGGATGTTGCTCAAAAATTTTTTCTCTATCGAACTAGCTAGGTCCCGTCCCGGGTAAGACTCCAGATAACCCCCCCCCCCCCCCAGCCGGCACCCAACTTTTGTATCTCGGCTCCCTGTTCATCTACAGGTGTGTAAAGTATACCAAAATGTTCGTCTTGCTGTGGCGAGTATTTTGGTATACTTTACACACCTGTAGATGAACAGGGAGCCGAGATACGGTAGGTGGGGGTCGGCTGGGGGGGGTTATCTGGAGTTTAGCCCCGTCCCGAAACTCCAAAAGCACCTAAAAGCGACTCCTTGTTAGACTTAGCCCTGACTTAGGGTTAGCTTACTCTTAGCTTAGGCTTGGGCTTGGGCCAGGGCTTAGTCTTAGGCTTAGCTTAGGCTTAACTTAGGCTTAGCTTAGGCTTAGGCTTGGGCCTAGCCACAGGAAACCCACCATAATAAAGCTACAAAGACGTCCCACTTCCACGACATGCGTACAGTTGCGTAGCGTTAACTAAAAAAACCCGCCCGCTACGTGATACATCTGACTACGGTAGTCACCTGTGAAGGAGCGCTCTGTTTCTCAGGCTCTGGTGGTGGGGCCTCCGAGGGAGCCGCCATTTCGAATGGTCCGATTTTGTCAACAATTTAGCGGTTAAATTGAAATTTTCTAGATGCAAATTAAGCGCCTCTAAAACTGAACCATAAGCTTGAGTTACTTCCTAAATAATCTCCGCTAGCTTTCGCAGGCTTAGGGATTTTTTAAATACCGCATACTCTCAAAAAACGTCTATTTTTCGATTTAAAAGAATACTAAACAGAAAAATAATTAAATACAGTATGCCCAATTTCTGATGGAAATTTCGATTCCTCAATAATCTCTGCTAGACTGCCCGAACTAGAAATGTTTTCAATGCGGTATCATGGTAAAAAATATCTTTTTTATCACAAAATCGGGGGTCACAATCGAGTGTACAGCACTGTACGGGAGTACTGCTTATATCACAACCATACTGTCGGTCAATAGGAAAGGGCGCAATATAGCAAAATGCATAGGCATCAAAAAAACCTGGCTACGGTAGCCAAATTACGGTAAATAAATATGACACAACACAAAAAAATTTCAATTCCATAAGAAATTCACTTTGAGGATCACGTCGGCGATGTGAGAAAGAAATGTGGATCAGGCGGGGATTACGGTAGAAATGGCAGGCGATAGGGAGTTGCTGTAGTTTGTAGTTTGTAGTCTGTAGCTAGACAACGAAAATCCCGAGGGAAAAGGGCAAAAATGACAAATATAAAGCTTTGGAGGATTTGGACTAGTTTAAATATTGGAAAAAATTTGGGCTATAATTTAAGTAGGGTATTTGGATACAGTAAGTGAAGGGCTTGGGGCTGGGATCGTCTGAAAAATGAGTAGTTTCATACAAAAATTGAAAAATTCGGTCGAAAATTCCGGGGCGATACTCTAGACGCTGGTGTTGAGGCCGAGCATGCCATTCTTCTCGTTATGGTGCGTCGACTCGGGCGTCGAGGCTTCCGCTGGCGAGGAGTACGGATCGATTCTGGAAACGGAGATTTTCGCCTTTAAAAGCTGAAAACCTGGCAATTTAAAGGGATCGGCTAGCAGCGACTCACCTTGGCTTATTTGGCGTATGTACCCGAGGGCTATCCATCAGCCGAGCCTTCGGATTGAGCGGTTCCGCTTCTCGAGAATACGGCGGATCATTCCATTTCCGTGCTGTTGACGGTGTTCGGACGCTGTTCTGCTCCTTCTCCTCGTCAAACTTCTTGCGGTGGTCTTGCTTCTTGATCCAGCACATTAGATAGATCAGGATCAACACCTGAAAGGGGTTGTTGTTCTGAGCAAGCGGACTTGGGGTTTAGGCTTAGGATTAGGATTAGCTTAGGCTTAATCGTAGGCTTAAGCTTAGGTTTCGGCTTAGGTTTAGACTTAGCTTTTGATTTGGGCTCAAATCTATCGCATACAAAAATAAAAGACTGACGATAATAATTCCAGCAGATCCCAAAATCGCGGCCAACCAAATGAAGAAATTCTCCTTCTCACGCGACCGGCACCACGGTTGGTCTCCCTAAACGAGGCGGTGGTTACCGTATTCCCTAACTACCGTACCTTATTCCACTCGAATCGATAGGTACCGTATTGATAGTTGAGGGGCTCTTGCTCGCGGGTTCGGCTGTCGCGATAGTAGTCTCGATTCGCCACCATTCCACCTGAAATTGTTGCAGTTTGTAGTTTTCATTTTAGGGGCAGGGTAGCAGAGATCGTTGGGGAAAAGGACAGAATTTGCGGGTCTGGAAAAGCTTCCGGCATGTCGCCATCCCTTTAAAATCGATATAGACACTTTTTAGGTGGCTGTTTAAAGCCGAGGCAAACTGGCGGAGGCTCTTTAATGCCAAAGAGTTTCCTTCAGACTTTGGGCAAGTTAGCAGAGATTTTTAGGGCAACGACAAGCTGACAGGGATTCTATAGGGTATCGGGAAAGCTACCAGAGGTTCCTTAAGACTGTGGGCAAGCTAGCAGAAGTCTTTTAAGGCTTTGGGCAAGCTAGCAGCGATTCTTTAGGGTGTCAGGTAAGCTAGCAGAAATTTTTTAGGGCATCGGCAAGCTAGCAGAGATTTTTTAGGGTATCGGGTAAGCTAGTAGAGATTCCTTCTGACTGTGGGCAAGCTAGCAGAAATTCTTTAGGACAGCCAGCAAGCAGAGTTTATTGTGGAAGGAAGAGGCTCCATAAAGATACAACTTACACTTGTACTCATGGGTTCCCTTGGTCCAATGGCTCTGGAAACACTCGAATTGTGCGACATCCCCCTCCAGATAAGCGCTGTGCATGCTGCCGATTTTCATCAGATATTCCGGGTACTCGATGTTGATCGGGCCGCAAGAGTTGTCTAAAAAAACATATTATTAATGTAAAACGGACATAATTAGTTGAATAAAAAATTGTTCCACCGTATCGCAGCGATTTCGTACCGTACTGGGCGTATTAATTCGGAAAAATGGAAATAAAATGGTCCTAGAGCCTTTCTCGTTTTTATTAATGCACGCAAAATTCGCTCCACCAAAAAGGAAAAAAATTCTGCCCGGCGCGGATCCAAACCCGGACCCCTCGCCTGGTAACCGCGCCCACAACCACTGCGCCATGGGGAAAATTCCCTAAAAATCGGACTTACACTGCCGCATAGCTTGAAGTCGGAGGGCGATATGGGAATTCCATGCCTCCTTGCTCTCCTGGCCGATGACCTTTGAGTTGAGGAGGGTATAGTCGTAGAGACACGCCCAATTGTCCCCACAATCGGCCAGAACTTCTGAGGGTTTATTCGGGCATACCGACATCCCGTACTGCTCCATCACCGACGAGATTTGCGGCTGCAGGTTGTCTACAAGTTCAAGCTTGAATTTTTGTTGTTTTAAAGGACCTTGGAAGGCAAAAAATTGCGCAAAATTACACCTAAACGCCCTAAAGATGGTAATTACATCAGAATTTCCGTAAAATTCTATATCTTTTCGGTTTAAAGAGATGGTGAAGGCAAAAACAACGAAAAAATAATTTTAAAGGACCATCGAAGGTTAATTTTAACGCCCACAATTCGGGTTCTGCTCCATATCGCGGCAGTGGTTCAGAATTTGGATCAACACCGTCCCGGTGATCGGGTAGAAGCGGTTGGTGCCCCTAAAAAGTTTTGTAAAATTTTTATAAAGCCAGCCGTACGTCTCGAACTCGGCGGCCGCCTTGTAGATGGGCCCTCGCATCGATGCCTCAGGGAAAACCTGGAAATTCTAGTTTTTTTACATTGTGTATAAAATTTTTTCTACTTTCCGGAATCAATCACCCACCTCAAACTTCCTGTCCTCATCGCGGCTAGTGGTGAACATATTTTCCGAGGGGATCTCCGAGTTGTACTGGACGTTCAGATTCTGATCCGAGCCACTCTCGCCACTGCCGGCAATTTTGTCTAAACGAGGCAAATTTGATCGACAACGAGAATGGCGCGCACAATTCTGTACAATCTGCTGCCTGTACTGCTCGGAGTTGACGTCTTGCATTTGGAGGTCACGCTGGTATTGGCTGCTCATCGTTTGGTCGGGGAATGGGCGCATTAGGCCGGCGACCTGAAGGAGGGCAGGTTAGAGCGAGAGAGGGCGCGGAGAGAGGAGAGTGAGAGAGAGAGAGAGAGAGAGAGTGAGAGAGAGAGATGAAGATAGAGAATGTTATCCAAGCATACCTTTGGCAAATTATAGCGCTGTCGGATCTCGTTCTCGCGTGCCTTATCTCCATCGGGTCTCTAAAATACAGTACCCTAAAATTCCGCTCAAAGTCCTCTCACCACACCATACTGTGGCGGCACAGAGAGGGCAACGTTTAGAATCCCGAAGCTCTCCTGGTAGTTCAACAATCGATCGATATCTCGGTTGAATGATTCGCTGAATTGCGGATTAGGATCGGTGATCCGGAGACCGTTACCGTATCCTGATGCCGATCTGGGCCTCCTCAAGCACAACGTAGATCTCGGCTTGACCGCGCTCGACATTGTTCACGTAGACGAGCACGCCTAGAATATTTGAATATTTTACTGTAAGGCACCTGATGTTTTTGTACGATACTTTACGACACCTTACGCTAGTCCACCTTCTCTGTCATCTTAAGCTACGTTACGATACTGTAAGGCACCTTGCGCACCTGTATGTTACTGTACGAGGCATACTGTCTTACTTGCGACGCACCACCTTGTGGTACGATACTGTACGGCGCATTACGGAACTGTAGGACGTACGTGATACCCTAGTTTACAGCACTTTACGGCACCTTACACTATAGTACGATGGCTGCACTATATCTCACCCCACGGTACGATACTGTACGATACTGTACGGAAATTTGCGCCCTTGTACGATACTGTAAGTTACCTTACGATACTGTACGTTACTTTACGCTAAAGTATGAGAAGCAAATAGCACGAGAATGATATTTCGGGAAACCGACTCGGATATAAGACGGTGTAGTCCGAGACTGTACGACACCTTACGCTTTTTGGCACGCTACGCTGACGTGCGTACGAGACTGTACGATACCGTACGCAAAACCCAAGGAATTCCATTCCCAATAAAACACACCCTTGAACCGTTGGATGACCATCGTATCGAAATATCGCAAAATGTTGCCGACGATGATGCTGGTACGGTAGCGGAAGCGGCGTGTGTCCTTCCGAGCGAGTACGTGGATACTGCAAGGTTACGGTAGGTAGGCCAGATTCTATGGGACATTAAGGTCGAAGTCCACCACTGTCCTTCAGAGAGTCATTGTACGTTAAAGTGCTAAACTACCGTAGCCCTACCGTAACCCGAAACCAAAAACCCACCGATCAGTTCCTGTAGCCTCAATGGCAATTCCAGTGATGACAGTGGCATTTGAGGGCTGAACAAGGTCCTTCTGCGGCATCCAACGGCCAAGGTAACCTAGAAAATTCTGGTCTCTTCTGAGTAGATAAAACTCACTGAAGTCGACCTTCCGGTTCGGATATCGCTCCAGCCGGACTTGGATCTTCACTTCCGGGGTGGTCAACGTCTTCGGGATGTAGAGGAGGGTGTACACGCCCGGCTCGTTGAACACAAACTTGTCGTTGTCGATCGTGTTGAAGACGCCGGCGCCGATCGCCTCGCCTGAAGGGGATGACATTTAAAGGGATTGGCAAGGCAAATTATTTGATGTTTTAATGATGTTTTTAGTGAAATTTTAAATTTCGTGAAAGGAAATACGATATTTCGACGAGAAAATTAACCAAAAATTCGAATTTTCGGTCGAAAAACAACCATTTTTGTTCGAAAAGCTGTAATTTTTTGTTTATTTTAGCAAAAAATCGTCCTCCGCATAAATCTTGCCATTAATGCGCCATCCAACCCCGCTTACCGTATGCTGCCGGCTGATACTCTTGACAACCGCTAGACGGCCGCCGCCAGTAGAACATTTGGCATCGAAAATCGGCATATTTGCAGCAGAGGAAATATGGCATGTAGTCGTTGTGAAAGGCTGATAGACCCGGCACCTAAAGAAATATATTGGGGCTGGCTCCAAGCAATATTCTTTTAGAAGGCCTAGGCTTAAGCTTAAGCATAGGCTTAGGTTTTGGCTTATGCTTAGGCTTCGGCTCAGGCTTAGGCTTGGCTGAGGCTTAGGCTTAGGCTTAGGTTTTGGCTTATGTTAGGCTTAGGTATGGGCGTATGCTTAGGCTTAGGTTTTGGCTTAAGCATAGGCTTCGGTTTTTGGCTTATGCTGTGGCATTTCCTCTCATCGACACTCACCTCAAACTGCCCCATATACGGTGATGACCCAAATTCGTAGGCGCGTAAGGGGAACCCGGGGTTATACGGCACTTCCGGTGTCACCTAGATTTTAAAGGAGCGTTGAAGGCCTTGCAGGCGGTCACAGTACCTTTATAACAGGTTGATAACTGGTCTGCATCAGATGGCCATCAGAATCGTAGCAGCACACTTGTCCGTAGTGGGTGGGGATTCGGCTGAAAAGGGTTTGGGTTAGGCTGAGGCTTATGCTTAGGCTTAGGCTCAAGCTTAGGCTCAGGCTCAGGCTCAGGCTTAGGCATAAGCTTACACTCACCGTCCCTTTTAGGCAAAAACTACAAACTACAAACCCGGTGGTATGCGAGTTGTCCGTCCTGCCCGATCCGGCGTACGACCCGTAGACGTTTTGGGCCGACATGTAGCAATTTCGGGCACCGATCGATTGGGTGCAGGTGATATCACGGAAGATCTGAAAATTTGGGAGGTTTTTAGGAAATCCGACGCAACCGCAACGAGTCAGAGCTGGGTTTTTGGGTTTCAAGCGAAGTTCAGAAGTTAAAGGTACACTAAAATCTCGTGCAAAAATTAAGTTCGTGGTCGGGAATTCGGGTTCTTGGCCGCAGCAAGCCCCGACCCTTCTTGTCCCCCTCCCCTCTCCACTCTCCCGTCTGTCCGATGGCCTAGTGGTCGAAAGCGCTTGCCCCAGGCGAGTGGTCCGGGTTCGGTTTTGCTCCGCGGCGAGCCCCTACCGTAACCCTGTTTGCTATCCCGCGGACGGTTACCGGCCGGTAACCAAACCAACGAGACGTTAGTGTACCTTTAATAAATTTTTTCCAGCTAAAGGTTCCTGTAAGCCACACTTGGGCTTGGGCTTAGGCTTGGACTTAGGCTTACGTCTAGGCTTAGGCTTAGGCTTAGGCATAGGTTTAAGCTGAGGTCTAGGCTTAGGTTTAGGCTTAGATCTAGGCTTTGGTCTAGGCTTAGGCTTAGGCTTAGATCTCCCTAAGATACCCATTCCTACCTGCGAGCATCGTGGATGTGGCATAAACCGTCCAAGGTCGGCCATCGCCTGCCTCTCAACGCACGGGCACGACGCGTTCGTCTCGGTGTCTCGGATGAAGTTGGCCTGGGCACCGTCTTCATTATACCTGAACAGACTACGTTAACCACGTCAACTTTTAGCCCCCACCAGTCATGACACATCTGTGTCGCCTTCTTCTTCACAAATTCCACCCTCGACTTCTCGTCCTGGGCGCTGTAGGTGGTGGTGGCGAACTCTTGGTTGTTCGTCGTCCACATCCAATGCAAGGAGATTGGGTGGGAGACCAATCTAGTGTGGAAATAGTGGTTATCTTCTGTGCATTAACAGGTGTTTACCCGGCTGGAAGTTGTGTGGGGCGTTGCTGATCAACGTTCATGATTGGGGCGAGTTTAAGGTAGCCGAAGCGGTAGGTGTACAGCTCGTTCATTCTTTCCCAATCCGTCATGTACCATTGTTCGACCTAGAGAGATGTCTTAAGAGCGAGAGGAGAAAGAGAGAGAGAGAGAGAGAGAGAGAGAGAGAGAGCGAGAAAGCGAGAGCGCGAGAGTGGAGTGAGAGAAGAGAGCGAGTGAGAGAGCGAGAGAGAGCGTGAGAGGGCGAGAGAAAGCGAGAGAGAGCGAGAGAGAGAGAGAGAGAGAGCGAGAGAGAGAGAGAACCCCGTACCTGATTAATATTGATCCGTTCCTCCTGCGGTCTCCACCGGAATTCATACTGATTCTTATTTGCATACGAGCCAAGCCGCGCAATAATCCGATGCTCAGGCCGGAATTTTTTGATCTGAAACCCCATGAATTAGCCTGAAAATAATGCCACTACCTCGTCGTCCTTAAACTCCTTATACCCAATCACATACAATCCGAGTTGCACTGAATACATCGAGTCGTCACTGAAAACAGTAGTAAAATATCTAAAATCCAGGGTATACCTAATTCTGACCCCGCCGGAGTCGAGGCGGTTGTTGATGTCGGGGTTGGTGAAATTTCGGGGGTACCTAGAAAGGGGCATAAGATCCAGAATTGAGCATCTACCATGAGAGGGGCATCACTTGGTAGGGGATCGGGTTTTTGAACCAATCGTAGATGTTGCCGATTTCGAGACGTTGCGGGTCGAGGGTTGGAGGGACTGAAAATGGGTGATATATAGAGAGAGAAAAAGAGCGAGAGAGAGAAAAAGAGCGAGAGAGAGAGAGAGAGAGTGAACGAGAGTGAGCGAGAAACAGAGCGTGAGCGACAGAGACAGAGAGCGCGATCGATAGATAGGATGGATAGAGAGAGAGAGAGAGAGCGAGAGATAGATAGAAAGAGAGAGCGAGAGAGAGAGCGATGGAGTGAGATAGAGCGAGTGAGAGAGCGAGAGAGAGAGATAGCGATAGACACCGATAAAAACTCACCAAAATAAATATAGCCCACAAAAGCCTTCTCATCATCCCCACTTCCGCCTCTCGGTTGAAAATATACGGTACGCGTGCCCCAGTCAAAGATTTTCGGAAGTGCACATCTCGCTATCGACGGATTCAACACTGTGCACGTGGCTATCTGAAATGCACAGGCTTTGACTTGGCCTAGGCTTTACTTATTCGTAGAATTAGCTTATCCTAACTTACCTGTCTCTGCTCTATCATCAGAATATAACTCTTCGCCCGATCCAGACACATCGCATTCACATCGACGGTCGTCTCGCCCAACATGTTGACAATGTTCGGGTAGATCATCATCGGGACTAAATTGGAATTATTCGGCGTCTCCCTGCTGTCACCATCCCTTTAAAGATCGTAAAAACTTACAAGTGCCTCCAGTTTTGTTGGAACAACCGCCTGGGCGGACGACGTCATCAACACGGAACATGTATCTGGAGGTGATGGTGTGATAGAACGAAGAACGAAGAACGAGAGAGTGTAGAGAGAGAGAGAGAGAGAGAAAGCGAGAGAGCTATAGAGAGAAAATCCTACTTACCTGCCGCGAACAATATGGGGCACTCCGGACTGCGAAGCCAGCACCTTGGGTGTATTCTTGTACATCTGCGTCGGGTCGACCGGCACGATTCCGGTGTGGTTACCGCCGTTGAAGAGCGCCTAAAATGCGCAGGTCAAGCTTCGTATTAGCTTAGGCTTTGGCCTTGGCTTAAGCTTCGAACCCACCTGACACCTTCCAGTCCTTGAATTCCCGCGGAAATCCGTTGCATCGAAGCCGAGCTTGTCGTAGTTGAAGATGACGTAGGAGAGGCGTGCATTCTAAAGGTTGTCCGTGACTTCGGTACCCAAAAAACATACACTATCGGTCAGCCAGATCAGCTGGTAGGTTGACAACTGGCCGGCGTCGACGTCGGAGCGGCCCGAGATTGCGGAGGCCGAGTTGAACCACGTGACCACCAGGGCCGCGTCGGCGCGGAACATTTGTGCACCGGCAATGCCCTCTGAACGTGATGGTTTTGTGGTATATTGGCGCTAGTGGTAGGCGGTATGCTAAGGGTTACCGTGGTTAGAGTGTAGTTTACCCCCCCAGCCGGTACCCAACTTTTGTATCTCGGCTCCCTGTTCATCCACAGGTGTGTAAAGTATACCAAAATATTCGTCTTGCTCTGGCGAGTATTTTGGTACTCTTGACACACCTGTAGATGAACAGGGAGCTGAGATACGGTAGGTGGGGGTCGGCTGGGGCGGGGGACTGCACTTGAGCCGTTACTGTATCCGCCCACTCACCCTGCAACCAGTTCATCCACTCGTTCAGTTGATAGTCACTCTCCTGGTTACACCTCGCATAGTGATTCGGGGTCGCCGGGCAAGCCTAGATGGTGGAATAAATACAGTATCCCAGCCCAGAATTACCAGTCGAGCTGCTTGACCAAAGAATCCAGACGGCATACTGCCACCCATATTCATATTGCTGTCGGATTGGCGGCCGAAGAGGGATTGGCGGAGGAGGAGACGGTAGAATACGCCCGTTTTTAGTCCGGGTCCATGGTTGCGCGGGATCTATCATTATTTTAAATCGTAGTTTTGGAGCATTAAAGGGACGGACAAGGTATGCCATAATTTGGCCAAGTGTTCGAATTTTTATACCAACGGAAGTGACTTCCACAGCTGGTTAAAATTGTTGCTCACCAACCTGCTGCTTGCACAAATACGGCGCAATCATGGCCGGATCCTGGACGGTCGGCCAATCCGTATCGGTCGGTCCGACGTTGATCACGGGGCCCTGGTCGAACACGGTGGCGAAGCTGATGTAGCCATTCCCGGAGATCTGAACTTGTTGATATTGGTCCGTTTTTATACATATTTCCGTGGCCTTAAATTGTTGTTTTATCGAACTCAGAATTTCTGAAAGTCAGCATTTCGACGTTTGGAAGTTTATTTCGAGTTTTAGATTTATCCTAGAAGCAATGGTCTTAGAAAAAAATGATCATCCCCCGAAAATTGTAGGTTTCGGTGATTTCTACCATTCCCCTACTTTTTCCTGTGACTTCTACCACCAGAATTGAGGTCCCCGCGGCGGGGTGTGACCGTACAAGGCGTCAGATCAATGCCGTCCCGCACCAGCACGCACACACACCCAAATGCCCCGTTATTTGTATGCAGATTAGAGGCGTTCGAAGAGGGGGGCTGGAAACCCTCGGCAAATAGGGCGACCGATCAGGCTTGGCACTCGCATTGGAACACATAGCAAACCACAAATAAATACATGGGTAGGTGACTGGTTAGGGGAGGTCATGCTCCTTTCTTTTTTGGTGCAAGAAATAGCTTAGGCTCTCACATAACTTAGATTCAGGCTTTGTTTAGGCTTAGGCTTCGGTTAAGGCTTCAGTTAAGGCTTTTAAGCTTCCAGGCTTAGGCTTAGGCTTGGGCTTAGCCTTGAGCTAAACTAGGCTTAGATTGGCTTAGGTTCTGGCTTAGGCTTCCGCTTTAGTTTCGACTTCGTTCCTCCATTCCTTACGTTAGGCGTAGTCTTAGCTTAGACTTAGGCTTTTCGTAGGCTTCTTTTCCTCCAAAATGCCCTTACCGATGTATAATTGTAAAGTCCACCGTAGAACGGGAAAAACAGATGCAAATCAATCGTTTGCCCTCCTGTCAACATCTCGTCGTTCACCCGCATGTCGCCCGCGTCAGGCCCAAACGGCACGAGGTTCACTAAAAATATGCGATTAAGGTCATTTAAAGATTTTAAGGGGTCTGGGCATTACGGCATGTAATCATCGCAAAAATTCTTAGGACTCTTGATCTAGCTTCGACCCACCTCCATAGTACGGTGTAATGCCCTGGCCGGTGATGAGGTTTGTGCCTTGGCCCTGGTCGGGGTTGATGTTTTGGCCTTGCTGATTGAGTGGCTGTTGTCCATTTATGGACCACACCACCAGGCCTAGCGCGTACACTACGCGCCAAGCCATGGAACGCGGTGAGGATGGAGGCCCGGGGGATACGGTGGATTCCGGGGGGTAAAGCTGAGCCACTGAAAAAAAAACATTTTAAAGGAGAGAGTGACAGTGAGAGAGAGAGAGCGAAGGAGAGACAGCGAGAGAGAGAGAGGGATATGAGCATTCTACAAATATGAAATTCACTAAAAAGAAGTACAGTAAGTGAAGGAAAGAGAGATCGAGAGAAAGCGTGAGCTACATACCATTATGGGTCAGCAGAGAGAGAGAGAGAGAGAGAGAGAGAGAGAGAGAGAGATAGAGAGAGCGAGAGAGTAACAGGTATCAAGCTGTGGAGTGGGACCAAGTCAATTAAAGGATTCAGGTGTTCGCTGGATCATCGCGAAGTCGGAGCTCGTGTACTCGCCGTTCCAAAAAACGCGTAATGCCGTGCGCTCGCGGCATTCGACTTTAAAGACACCGTAAGGGCCCGAATCAACAGTCAATAGCTTGCAAAACCTTCCAAAACATGATTCACAACCCTTTTCTGGCCGGTTGCCCAATATAGGGAAAAGCAGGCCGTAGATGGGAATGGAAAGGAAAGGAGGGGACTGGCAAGGGGGGCATCGTTACGAATCGATGGCTCAAGCCGTTATCAGAATGGGCGGAAGGGGGTGGCTGAATCACCATTTCTACCGCCTGAACAGCTTATTCTGACCTGATGCACAAATATTTTCGAAAAACGGCAAAAATTGTGGGTCATTAAAGGGACGGTAGGCCGTGGAATTTTGTTAGCTATGGATTGACTATAAATGTTGCTGGGACCGAAGCTAGCATTTCCGCTTCGCCGGCCTAGTCTAGATTTGGGCTTAGGCTTCAGCTTGGCTTAGGATCAGGCTTAGGCTTAGACTAAGGCCCACGACTAGGCTTAGACTTTGGCTGAGATTTGGCTTAGGCTTGGGACCGAGCTTAGCAAGCTAGAAAAAAAGTGCTATTTCAAGATGGCATGCTAGCAGGAATTCTTCAGGAAAATTGCCCAGCATGGCGCTCCCCTTTATCAGTGTCAGTTTGGATGCGCTTAGAATATTATTCATATGTCGAACCGGAAGGTTGAAGAGGGTGAAGAGGAGAGAGAGAGAGAGAGAGAGAGAGAGAGAGAGAGAGAGAGAGAAACAGCAACAGATAGCTATCCCCCTTTTCCTATGCTTATGAATCATAGAATTGGGGCCCACGGCCAGGACCCCGATGACTCACTATGCAAATATTGCCCTGGCATGGCGAGGGGTTGGATTTCGCGGACCGCCGAAAACAACAAAGGAATGTTAACGAGACACGAGATTACCTAGAAGGGAAAGTACTGTATCAATAGCTTCCTTTGGAACAAAAGTCCCCTCGAAATGCCGCTTTCCCCCCGGGCGGGCGGATGATACGAAATCGAAGCTGTGCCCTGAATTCGGGCCGACACATACAACGGCCACACCGCGTTCTCTTCACACGGCCCCCCCACACAAAAGCTGAATCATACGCCCCAAATCGAATATGGAGATCGACGGTGGGGAGGGGTGGCGGATGTTTTTGGAGCAATAATTAAGGAGCTAGGGAGGGCGGCTTAGGCTTAGGCCTGGCTTAGGCTTGGCTTAGGCTTAGGCATCCGCTTGGCTTAAGCTCAAACTTAGGCTTAGGCTTGGTTTAGGCTCAGACTTGGAATTAAGCTCAGGCTCCGGCTCAAGCTCAGGCTTGGACTTACGTTTAAGCTGGGATTTGGGTTCCGTACGTTTTTAGGTTCTGAAGGGACTGGAAACCCCAGAATCAGCACGCACCACTCCAAGCGACGCGAGAGGTCAATTCTGGAGGTGGGTGGTCTCTTTAAAGCTAAGGGAAACGTGGGTAACTAAGGTCAACCGTAAGCGCGTTGTCACGAAACCATCATTGTATCATCCCTAGCCCTCACAACGATTTCCATACGACTTCGATTTCGATCCATTCTCGTTCCCAAGCCACAATCCTTCCCCCGGGCCCAGAACAACCCATCGATCCGTCCTCCTGCATCGGCTATTTACGGCGATTCGCGATGGGAAGAAAGGTCCGCCATGATTCCGAATACGGAGCGGACCGGGCAACGGGGTGCCACGATAAGACTCACTGCCAAACCGCCGGCTCTCTGATTCATCTTTGCGCCCGCAAATGAGAACGAGAGAGAGAGAGAGAGAGAGAGGGGGGGGGGGGGGAGAACAGAGAATTAAAGAATCAGAGTAAGCAATTCCGGACTCTGGCTAACTGTTGTATAGTCGACGGCGCGACGGGGGGTCAAATTTTAGCTGGTACACTAGCAAGGTGGCAGAGACAGGAGGTCGTGCGTTTTTCCTAGCTGAGACTATCCCTTTAGCTAGGTAGAGAGAGGGCAAGAGAGTGAGAGAGACGAGAGAGCGAGAGATAGAGAGAGAGAGAGCGAGCGAGCGAGAGTGAGAGAGATACAGAGAGAGAGCGAGAGAGATTTGCCAAATTTGCTAAAAGACAATTAAATTTTTTAACTTTAGCAACGATGCGATACCATCGACACTCAACAAAGTAACGACATAGATAGACATTTATGAATTTAGCGATAAAGCCACACCGTCCCCCCTTGGTGACCAATAAATTAGCACCATGTGCCAGGAGGGGGGATGGAGAGGGGGTGTTGGTGGGGTCGTTGAGCCGAGCGCCCCGTTTTGTTTGTCTCAGCTCATGGCCGGCCATAAATGTGTAGGACTCGGGGGAGGGGAAAAGACCCGATAAAGGACTATCAAGCTTCGCCAAATTTGGCTTGCAGTCATGGGCTGGGGAGCCTGAATTAATCGCTGAGGTGCGGATTATGGGCTTTCCGGCTATCGGGGAGGGCTTCTTGGGGGGCCCACACGGGGGCAAACGTTCGAATTTTGAAATGATGCCGGGGCGCGACTTTTTGAAACTAACGGATTCAAGCAGACTTAGATTTAGTGTGTAGGGGCTTACGGTAAGCGTAGACATCTGGCTTAGCTAAGGTATCCGGGGCCAATTTTTTGTACCTCGCCGCTGGTCGGCAAACACAGTCAGTTGTGGAGGTGGAAAGGCGGTGGGTAACGGAAACAAAAAATACAGCACCTCGAACAGCGCCCAAATCGATTTCCCCGATTTTCGCATTGTTTTTGCGAGGGGAAGCTGCTAACTTATCAGGCTTTTTGGGGGGCGGCTCATAAGAAGCAGGCAGGTGGGCTAGTGGGGGAGGCTGGGTGGCTGGTGGGGCAAGACGGTACATGGGAATGGAAAGAAATGGAAGGGAATGGGCTTGTAAATGGTTGTAAAGGAACGGGCAAACTGGGGCCTCCCTTATTGATATAGCGAGGGCCACACGGCTTCACGGGCGATAAACAAGAGATGATTTTCGACAGACTGGGGCGGGTCGCGTTTGAAAAATATTAAAAAAATAAGAAAATGGTTGGTTAGTTTTTTACTATATAAAAATATATTATAACCCTCAAAGGATTATCCTTGAAGAAAACAAACCACATTCTAAATGCGCTGGATGGCGATTTTGAAAGAACCCGAGGGTCAGGTGAACGGGCAAAAAGAGACCCAGCGCCCGTCTGGCACCAGGAAAACGAGCGCAAACATTGCTCATCCAGGTAGAGAGAGAGAGAGAGAGAGAGAGAGAGAGAGAGAGAGAGAGCGACAGAGGCAGATACTGTTTTATCGAGTATCCAGGTATCGAGCAGAGGCTAGGAAAAGATATAACCCAAAACCTACCTCAGAATCCTAGATGAAACCTGAGAACCCAGAAGAAAAATGTAGGCCCTACGCCCGGGCTTCCGCTACTCTCACCGTCTTCTAGTAAGCAAATTCTAAACCCTCATGTAAGACAATCTCAGAAACCTTGAGCCAGAATCACGCGGAAATCATATTAGTAGAAATTTCGGGGATAAAATCCTCCAAACAGCACTCAATTCCAACGTTTTTACCCTGACAACCTCGGATTACGCCGCCACTCATCAAAGCAAATAACAAGTAGGCACCCCGGAGGGAACCAAGCAAAGCAAAGTAGCCAATGTCAACACCCATCTCGGCACAGCGTGCCTGTTTCTGGCCCGAATCGAAGAGTTCATCTCGATTCGCGTAACGACGCGAATTCGCGTCGTCAGAGTTTCGCCCTGGACTCATTCGAACCAGCTTGAAGCGCGGATTTCGGGATCCTAATTGGCCTTCCCAGTGTAGAAATGATAAATAGAAAGTTATTCACGGCCTTCAGAATGCAACGAGGAATCTTCGGACGAAAACGCAAAAAATAAAAATCGCGAGTGTTTCGAACCGTCGTCAAATTCCCCAGACGCTGCCAACTACGCCTCTACGCCAACAGACCCCGGTGGAGGAGGCGTGCGGAGGGCTTATGAAGGTAAGTCAAAAGCTTTAAACGCTTATAACTTTGCATAAATTTGGTATCTGCTGCTGAAAGTTGCATCAATAGATTCATCTCGGCGAGATCCTAACCTATAAGCGAGAAAAGTATGTCTGTTTTCTGTACGGCCGTTTTCTCGGCCGTCAGGCCGAATATCGAGCTGATTTTTGGCATGGGGGTGGGAAATGCCATTCATAAAAAACGGTTTTTTGGATTTTTCGAAATTCTTTCATTTAACGATTTTACAAGCAAAAATGTGAAAAATCCTTAACATTTTTGGGTGCGGATGTTGTCCGGAACTTTTCTCGGCCCCTAGAAGGAATTGAGGCCTCATTTTTGGAGGGTAGATGGCAAAAGTAATTCCCCAGATACATTTTTTCGGATTTTGCCAAATTTTTTAAAATAAAGTTTTTATAAGGATTTTTCTGATAGGTCCTTAATAAACCGCGGGATCGGCCGTGGTGTCCGGGCCCTAACTCGAAGCCCTGATGGAATTCCGGGCTGAAATTTGCACCGTTTATGGAATCAAGGATGGGGATCACGCGCATCTTATTACCTTTGCTAATTTTCCACAGATTCAAACTCAAAAATCGAATTTTGTAAAGTGACCAGAAGGCCTCCCACCGGGAAGATTGGTCACCCGTATCTTTGCGCGGCCTCGCCAGGACAGAAGAGGCCTTTCCCGCATCCTCTTCCCATGTGGCCCTTGGTGTAGTGGGTTAGCGGTTGGTCTACTATGCGCGGGGTCGTGAGTTCGGATTCTGGGAGAATTTAGTTTTTTGCTTTTTGGTTGTTCGGCAACAAAACATATTTCTCAGCTCTGGGTGTGCGAGGTTTAGGCCTGGCCTTCGCTCTAGCGCCGCAGGCCTAAGAAAAGGCCCTTGGTCCAGGCTCTCGCGCCGCAGGCCAGTTCCTGGAGAAAAACCAGTAACTAGCGCCGCAGTCTCACAGATTCTAGCGGCACGCTGGCTCTCCTTGACTCAGGTTCAAGCGCCGCAGGTTAAAAAAGAAGGTATTCACATTCATGGTTCCGGGACTGGGCCTAGTGGAAATGGCCGCGAAGCTGTTTAGACCTGGCCCTCGCTCTAGCGCCGCAGGCCAAAGAAAAGGACCTCGACCCGGGCTCTCGCGCCGCAGGCCAAGAATGGGTCCTTTATCCAGGCTCTCGCGCCGCAGGCCAAATACTGGAGAAAAATCAGTAACTAGCGCCGCAGGCTCAAAGGTTCTAGCCGAACGCTGGCTCTGGCGCCGCAGGCCAACGAATGGCTCCTTGAGCTCAGGTTCTAGCGCCGCAGGCAAAAAAAAAAGGAAGGTATTCAAATTCATAGTTCCTGGACGGGGTCCAGTGGAAAATGGCCGCGAAGCGGTCTTTTTCCACTGGTGTACAAAATGAGCTAACTTGCTAAGCTAAATTCATTCGATTCCGAGCAGAGACCATCCCTTGTAAGCCAACGCTACGATATCTACAGACCCCCATCCGTTAAGTGGAGCATCTCGTAGCCTCCTGTCGGAAACAAGAGTTTTTTTCGTTTTTCTTGCTAGGTTTTTGAAATTTGAATCAATCTGTATAAATCAGTCTATCAACTATAATAAAAAAGTAGAGGCGTCCGTCTGTCTGTCTGTCCGTCATGTCCCGAATTCAACTCGAAGGGGGAAGGAGCTAGAGCTTAGGTCTCTTCGGATTCGGATAGAGCGTGGTCAGAAACCCCCAAACTGATAAAAAAATTACGAAAAAGTTTTTGTTTAAATTATTAAAATTAACTTTGAAAGTGGCGCCTTAATAAAACGAGTGGGGGCCCCTCTCCCCGGGAGGCCACGCCCCCTTTCTCTTCGCCCCTCTTCCCCAGGCCCCTTCGCGCGCCCAGATGCCTTTTTGAGTTACTTTAATACTTTTAATACTTTTTAATTATGTTAATTAATTATTTAAATTATTTAAAGTATCTAAAGCCATCAGGAAGGTATTGAGGTAGTTTTTGAAGGGGATTTCAGCCATGGGGGGTATCTGAAGCCATCAGGAAGGTATTTAGGTAGTTTTTGAAGGGGATTTCAGCCATGGGGGGTATCTGAAGCCATCAGGAAGGTATTTAGGTAGTTTTTGAAGGGGATTTCAGCCATGGGGGGTATCTGAAGCCATCAGGAAGGTATTTAGGTAGTTTTTGAAGGGGATTTCAGCCATGGGGGGTATCTGAAGCCATCAGGGAGGTATTTAGGTAGTTTTTGAAGGGGATTTCAGCCATGGGGGGTATCTGAAGCCATCAGGAAGGTATTTAGGTAGTTTTTGAAGGGGATTTCAGCCATGGGGGGTATCTGAAGCTATCAGGAAGGTATTTAGGTAGTTTTTGAAGGGGATTTCAGCCATGGGGGGTATCTGAAGCCATCAGGGAGGTATTTAGGTAGTTTTTGAAGGGATTTCAGCCATGGGGGTATCTGAAGCCATCAGGAAGGTATTTAGGTAGTTTTTGAAGGGGATTTCAGCCATGGGGGTATCTGAAGCCATCAGGAAGGTATTTAGGTAGTTTTTGAAGGGGATTTCAGCCATGGGGGTATCTGAAGCCATCAGGAAGGTATTTAGGTAGTTTTTGAAGGGGATTTCAGCCATGGGGGTATCTGAAGCCATCAGGAAGGTATTTAGGTAGTTTTTGAAGGGGATTTCAGCCATGGGGGGTATCTGAAGCCATCGGGAAGGGATTTAGGTAGTTTTTGAAGGGGATTTCAGCCATGGGGGGTATCTGAAGCCATCAGGAAGGTATCTAAGTAGTTTTTGAAGGGGATTTCAGCCATGGGGGGTATCTGAAGCCATCGGGAAGGGATTTAGGTAGTTTTTGAAGGGGATTTCAGCCATGGGGGGTATCTGAAGCCATCAGGGAGGTATCTAAGTAGTTTTTGAAGGGGATTTCAGCCATGGGGGATATCTGAAGCCATCAGGGAGGTATTTTGGTAGATTTTTAACGGAATTTCGACCCGGAGGGGTATCTGAAGCCATCGGGAAGGTAGCTATGTTTTTGTGGGGGGGGTTGGCTAGAGGAGGTATCTGAAGCCATCAGTGTAGTTATTGCCATGAAGGCATCAGCGTAAGGTAGGGATTAAATGTGGTGGTGTAGAATATGGAGGGTGGCCCGAAGTCCAGCCGATTGCAGTCGCGAAGCGGCTGTAATCGGCTGGTCTACTATAATAATTTTGCTGTGGTGTCTGTCCGTCATGTCCCGAATTCAACTCGAAGGGGGAAGGAGCTAGAGCTTAGGTCTCTTCGGATTCGGATAGAGCGTGGTCAGAAACCCCCAAACTGATAAAAAAATTATGAAAAAGTTTTAATTTAAATTATTAAAATGAACTTTGAAAGTTTTTTCCTTAGTAAAAGGGGTGGGGGACGGAGGTTGGGGTGATTTTGGACATAGTGAGCCAGGTGGCGCGCGTTTCGTCGATGAAAATTTTCACGGGGGATTTTATTTCTTTTTTTCTCTCATTCCATTCGGTCGGTCGTTATTTTCGTTTTTTAAAAGGATTTCGGCTAGGGGAGGTATCTTAAGCCATCGGGAAGGTATTTAGGTAGTTTTTGAAGGGGATTTCGGCTAGGGAGGTATCTTAAGCCATCGGGAAGGTATTTAGGTAGTTTTTGAAGGGGATTTCGGCTAGGGGAGGTATCTTAAGCCATCGGGAAGGTATTTAGGTAGTTTTTGAAGGGGATTTCGGCTAGGGGAGGTATCTTAAGCCATCGGGAAGGTATTTAGGTAGTATTGTATTTAGGTAGTATTGTAGTATTGATGGAGGTGGTAAAGGATGTAGTGGAGTTGGACATAGCCCGAAGGCCAGATGGTTGCAGTCGCGAAGCGACTGTAACCATCTGGTTGAATGACATTTGCATTCCTTTTCCCTACAAAACAGAAAACGTAACATTGTCCCATTGATGGCATTCTTCCGCCCGGCTTCCCGCCTGCTTCCAACTTTGGCCCGTCGTCGAAGCCGGTGCGCAGTTTTTCTAGGCCCAGCAGTGATCTCCTTACACAGATATTGGCGCTATTGCGGTTTGCTGGCCCCACTTATATCGGGCCAAAACCGAATGTTTCTGGGCTAGTTTTTTTTGCGCTGATTACGAAAAACACTACCGCGCACCGTAAAAATGTGCGTTAGTATATGTTCTATACCAATTTATACTGGTTCACGGCACTAGTTGTTCCACCAGGGTACAGGTCTCTCAATTCAAAAACTTAGTTTACCCCGTGCAAACCCAAACCTAAAAAAAATGAAATTTGGTTATTTTTCCTGGAAAACAGAACTTTCGCGATTCGGGATGAAGTTTTTCGTAATCAGCGCAAAAAAAACTAGCCCAGAAACATTCGGTTTTGGCCCGATATAAGTGGGGCCAGCAAACCGCAATAGCGCCCAGCTATTAGGCGAACTGCACGACCAAGGCCCTTGCTTTTGAGTTTCTTTGCGAACGCCGTACCTTTTAAATATTCATCGCATTCCTAATCTCATCATTCTCATTTTCTTTTGCACCCTCCCCCCCGTCAAGAGAGTCCAATCTTCTTTTGCGTTTTCTTGAAAATGGAACGCTTCTCTTGATTCAGACGGGTCACTGGTGGTTGCCGGATGAGAAATCGAACGAAGCATGCCATCCACTGCCTACTCTTCATCTCCTGGGTCGCTGTTTTTGTCGCCGTCACTCGTCCCGAATTCCCGAAGAATATCACAACTGATGAGCAGGAAAGGTATGCGGCTTTTTCTCTCTCTCTACATTATTATTTAGAAGCTGGTACAATGCATTTTTGATCCCTATCGACATCATCCGCATGACCTCGCACCTCTTGCTCCTCCCTCAACTGATTTTCGGATGTATCGGATTACTCGCCTACAGTGCTTTCCAACGTTCGGTATCACGTTTTTCTTCGGTTATCGCGTGATTTAGGTGAAATTGAAAAATAGCCCTTGCGTCGCGCCGTTTATCTGTTTCCGTGTCGTCACCCGCGGCACCTATCCGAAGCTTCTAAAGGTTCATATCTCTTTTTTTTACCAAATTTTCTTTAGGAAACATTAAGCAAGAATGTGCGCACTTGTCAGCAAACTGGGATCGAGAATTATTGGTTCGAGGTAATCAGGCTCTTTTAAGTGTATGTGGCTTTAGGTGGTGACCGACAACCAGCTGAACCTCAAGCCGCAGTCTCGCCTTGTGCGCGAGATCGTCGTCCCGGGCTCTTATCAGTAAGCGATCGGATAATTTACGACTTTGCTTTCAGAACATTGAAAGGATCCCTCTACAAGGCTCGAGCTCTTCAATATTGCCTGGAGGACGGCGTATCTCCTGTAACGAAGGGGCAATGGATCGTGCATTTGGACGAGGAGTCGTTGCTCACACCTGACGCAGTATGCGAGTTCTCCCGAAAATCCAAATTTTCTTTTAGGTTCGTGGAATTCTAAACTTCTGTTCTGCGGGCACGTCGGATTTTGGGCAGGGAATGATTACATACGCGTCTGACACGATCGTCAGCTGGTTTTGCACGTTCGCCGATTCCCTGCGGTAAATTTGCTGTTTTGGGAAAAATATTTTTTTGTTGTTTTTGTTTTTCAGGGTCGCAGACGATCTTGGGAAATTACGCGCCAGCTTCAACCTACTACGCCGCCCCTATTTCAGCTGGAAGGGCTCGTATGTCGTGGCGCGGGTGAGGTTTACTGTTTCCGTTTGTAATGTTTTTTAGTATTCGGCCGAAAAGTTGGTGGGCTTTGATCACGGGTTCGAGGGCTCGATTGCTGAGGACTGCTTCTTCGCCATGGTATCGATGCGATACGGCCTGAGCTACGGATACATTGATGGTTTGTATACTTTCGGAAATTCTGATATCCCAGCCAGGTGTTGTGCACGAAAAGAGCCCATTCTCCGTTGACGACCTCATCAAGCAAAGACGGCGGTGGTTCCAAGGCATCTGGATGACCATCCACTCAAATGCCATCCCTTACAAGCACAAGGTTCATTTGAAACTTTTAACCATTTCGTTTCTTTTTAGGCGTTGCTGACCGCTTGCGTCTATGGTTGGGCGGCCCTTCCCGTGCTCATCTTTTGCTTCATGCTGCCCTCGGTATCAACTTTCCGCTAACACATTGTATTTTCTTGCAGAGTGGATACTTTGGATCACTGACTACCTACGACATGATCCTCAATCAAATATTCATCGCGATCAACGTCTATCAATATGCGTACGGGGCATTCATCTCTTTCAAGGAAAAATACAGGTTGCCTTGATACCCTTATACAAAATATACATTTTTGCAGCTCGGACAGACGGATGCTGTTGCTGTGCGTGATTGGCGCTGTCTGTGTGCTTCCGTTCAACGCCCTCGTTGAAGCGACAGCTGTGCTCTACGGCCTGATAAGCCGCAAGATCGGGTTCCACATCATCCAGAAGTCCATCTCGTCCACAATGCTCGACCAAAAAGAACCCCGTGCCAGCATATTCGCATGTTACCGTCGCTTTAATAATATTCGTTTCCTTTGATATCATCCTTTTCTGTCTCTAGGAATATCTGCTCTTACGTTTGTAAGGCTGTGTGTATTCAATAAATATACTTCTCACGTTGTCGACAAATCAAACCACCGATACTCGATACAATAGACGTTTCCCGCGTTTACTATCTGTCGTCATCAAAATTATCTTTGTTAACTGACGCAGAATGTTGTTTTAGCGTGTTTGAGCCACGATGCCCGAGCATGGCTTCCCGAAATCACTGAATAGCAAAGTCGGGCAGTCCTTGGCTATAAATTTGAGATTTGTTTAGGCCATGTCGTACTTCAAGGGCGATCGGAAGTATTTTCACGACTTGAATAAAGGATCATTACACGAGCTTCGCGTTCAACTCGTATCTGAGAAAACGTCCCACAAGAATTGCGCGCTGAAGCGGATCATAGCAGGGATGACGATCGGAAAGGATGTTAGGTAATGTCGCTGGGCTTTCAGTGATGTCTCGATATAGCTCGCTCTTCCCGGAGGTCGTCAACTGCATGCAGACGGACAACATTGAGCTCAAGAAACTCGTCTACCTTTATTTAATGAACTACGCGCGAAGTCGACCCGATTTGGCGATTCTAGCTGTCAACACGTTCATCAAGGTGCGCTAATATTGCTAAAAGTCCAAATGTTTTATAGGACTCCGAGGACGCTAATCCTTTGATTCGAGCGCTCGCCATCCGCACAATGGGCTGTATTGACGTTGATGAGATCACGGAGTACTTAGCGGAACCCTTGCGTCGCTGCCTTCAGGTGATGCTCTATCAGTGGCTTCGAATTTTAATTTATAGGATGAGGATCCATATGTTCGAAAGACATCAGCAATCTGCGTGGCAAAATTGTACGAACTCCGGCCCGAGCAAGTCATTGATCTGGGTATGCGCCTAACGCCGATTTTCAACACCTGGTTCCAGGGTTTGTCGAATTGCTGCTTGGCTTACTGTCCGACGCGAATTCAATGGTCGTCGCAAATGCGGTTGCTGCCCTTTCTGAAATCAACGAAAAGCAGCCGGTGCTGACGGTAAAGTCGATCCTGTTATCGAACCTTTTCAGCTGACCACTCAATTGGTCAACAACCTCCTGACGGCGCTCAGCGACTGTCCAGAATGGGGCAAAGTGTTCATACTTGAAGCCGTTGCCACTTTCAAGACCACTGACGACTACGTTGCCCAAAATATTTGCGAACGCATCGCCAGCGAACTGTCTTCCACAAATGCTGCTATTGTGTTTCCGACACTTCGAGTAATAGGTTACTTAATTCAAGAAGTTCGTCTAGATTCTACTAAACCATATGCATTTGTTGCGCACCAAATGCGAATTCACCGAACAACTCCCTCGGAAATTCACGGCGCCCTTGGTTTGTATGAATTTTGACAAAACCATTCCCGTTTAGGTCACTCTTCTCGCTGCCGAGCCGGAAATCCAGTTTGTAGCCCTTCGAATCATTCAATTGTTTGCTCGAAAATCTCCGGAACTTCTCAGGCGCGACCTGAAAGTAACTAAGGTTTTTATTTCTAACGTTTGCTTTGGGTCTTTTTCGTCAAATACAACGACCCGATATACGTTAAAATGGAGAAGCTGGACGTGCTTGTGCGCCTCGTGGATCAGACGAATATTGCGATGGTGCTCTCTGAGCTGAAAGAGTTTGTTGCAGTCTGAACACATTTATGCTATTTATAGGTACGCAACGGAGGTGGATGTTGATTTCGTCACTAAATCCGTCCGGGCAATCGGTCGTTGTGCCATCAAGGTATCGAGCGTTAAGAATTTATCAAATTTTTCTAGGTGGAGGAGAGTTCGGGTAATTGTGTCTCTACGCTGTTGGACCTGATCAAAACGAAGGTGAACTACATTGTGCAAGAAGCCATTCTCGTCGTCAAGGTATCTCATTTTCTCTTGTTTTGAAAAAACTAATGTTTAGGATATATTCCGCAAATATCCCGGCCGCTACGAATCCATCATTGGGATTTTATGCGAAAACCTCGAATCTTTGGATAAACCGTCAGCGAAGGCTTCGATGATTTGGATCATTGGTATTTCCCCTGTAATCATGTGACCACGTCATTTAGGAGAGTACGCCGAGCGCATCGATAACGCCGACGAATTGCTGAACGGCTTCCTGGAGGCGTTCAATGACGAAGCGCCCTCGGTAACAACTTTTTGGGCTATTACTCACCGGTCTTTAGGTGCAACTGCAGCTTTTGACGGCCGTGGTCAAGCTGTTTCTGAAGTGCCCCAGTGATACCCAGCACTTGGTCCAGAAAGTGCTGGCCTTGTCCACCGAGACGAGCTACAACCCGGACCTACGTGACCGAGCGTGAGATCTGGCAGATTTTTCTGGAGCCCCAAATTTTAGTTACATCTACTGGCGTCTGCTTTCCTCGGACCCGGAAATTGCCCGCCAAGTCGTCCTCGCCGAGCGACCCCTCATCAGCGAGGTACGATTTTGTATCAAAAGAAAGAAAAATGGAATTACAGCCATCCGACCTGCTTGAACCCAGCCTTCTCGATGAGCTGCTGCAGCAGATCGGCTCATTGGCGTCCGTCTACCACAAGCCGGCTCACAGCTTCGTCGATACGACTCGGCGACCCCGTGAAGCTACCGTCGACCTTAGTCTCGAAGAGATCAACGCCGACGAGATCCCCAACGACTGTCCCCTCTTTACCCTCTAGTTTATGATCATTGTAAAATACCATCAAGCACTATGTTTTTTTTTAACGAATTAGCTGTGATTACCTTAATCGACTCGTACTGTGTCTCTTTTTGTGATGTCATTCCTAGGTCGCTCCATTCTCCTTGTCCTGTATACGGCTGTGGTGGTTCCGGATTAAATTAAGCTTTATGGTGTTTTTTATTTCTTCATCGGACCACAGAATGCCTGTGCCTCGGTAGCGCAATCGGCCACACTCCATTGGTGGCTGAAAACGTCGGCGGTTAAACAGTTGCCGGCGTTGGATGGCTGTCCTAAAAATATATTGACTTTGGTGAGCTTTTGCTCTCTTCTTTGATTGCAGGAAAACTAACCGGGTGCCCAGTTGGTGTAGTCCATCGCGCTGCCATCAATCCACTTCCACGAATCACCCGATCGAGTAGCGCCAAGGTAGTACGTGTAGATGAAATCTGGGAAAATTTTCATACATTTCAGGCGTAAATGCCGACTTACACATGCGTGCCTCACCCACCAGCGCATCATTGCTGTTCTGGTCGTGAACGGAGAATAGGGCACCTTGCGCCTTCGTGCAGATATCGCTGCTTTGTTGGTAAGTGTTGTCTAAAATAATACGAGTGAATATTCAGATTTTGAACCTACAGTTTTGAACGGGCATGACACACGTGTTCAGCTTGCCATTCCAGTGATACCCATCCGCACACTGATCGGCCAGTGCACTCACCAGCAAAGAACAAAAGAATATTAGAACAGCTGATCGCATCGTTCAAGCTCTCGGACTGAGTGCGTGAACTGCAGAAATGGGCTTTTTTATAATCTGTGTACTTATCTGGGGAAGCGGTGATGTGATGGGGGAAGCTTTTCAGGTGCACCCCTTTCCCCCGCTTATCGCCACTTTCAGAAACTACAGGCCAAGGGTTGGGATTTTCCAGGATCGTGCTCCTTTGGAAGCGAGGGGTGATAATGTTGTTTGCGAATGGTAAGCTCACGAAAACACGGTGGACACATCCGCAATGGCTAGAATGCCTCTGTTACACGCACCAGATTCAAAATATACAGAAAGCTTTGATTAGCCTCGGGAAATTAGGTTGGTAAATTAGCATCACAGCAAACAGGATGCGAATTCACTCTCAAATACTCATTCTCAATCAACAACACGACCCGCAATGGCCGAGCAAGATGTGGAGGTAAGCTTTTTTCTATGGCCTTTTTCGTTGAGTTTTTCGACGTCCAACCTTTTCAGGCTCCCGATCCCGAGGCGAACGAGCCGCAGGGACCCCAGGCCTGGCAGGTGCCCTACTACGAGCTGGCCAATGAGCTGTGGCACCGCGAGATGGAGAACTGGCCCGGCAAAGCCCTCGACGCCAACGGCCACCTTCAAGCCTTCAAGGAGGCCGACGGCGAAGACAAAAGCCAGGCACCCACCACCACCACCACCACCGTCGGCAAGAAGAAACCTAAGCAGGTTCGTAATTTTTGACACATTTTTTAGATATAAAAGTTACATTAAAACAATTTAAAATTCTTGAAAGCTTAAAAATTCTTGAAGCTCTAATTTTTTATTATTTTAGATATTTTAGATAGCTTTCTAGCAATCAAAAATTACTAAAAACACTGTAAAAATACATTATAAACAGGTACTAGGAAGATAAGAATTACTTCCCCCTGATAAAAATCGCCGTCCCTCCGCTAACAGCCCAGTACCGATTTTTGTATATTTTTTAAGAGTTTTCTTCACATTTTGCCAAATTATCTTCCTAGGAGCGGAAGCTAGACAACGGCGAGTGCCAGCTGATCGGCGACTTTGTGAATCCGTGGGACCAGCGGACGTGGCGTGTTCTGGGGATGCGAATCAAGCGCCTCGGCGACGGCCTTTACACAGGTATTATCGAGGTTAACGTCTAGCGCCATGATGACGTTTTAGAATACGACGTCATCCGCATGCCCCACAACTTTAAGAACCTGGCCGGCGAGACGGTGGAGGAGGTTTGGGGTTTTGTTGCGTTGTAAAGTAGTTTTCCAGCCGGCCACCCATGAGAGGGTCGAACACGTTCTGCGCCTGTGCCGCGAGGACGACAAGGCTATTCATGATCGGTGTGGAATGGGTCTTTTTTATAAAACTACCGTAGCTAGCACGGCGTTACTTGGAGTTTTAAACCCTTTGTTGTTAATAACAGAAATTTTTGTACCCATTTCTTAGCTTTATACGGTGTTTTGGTTGTTCAAAACTGATTTTAAGTCTAGTGTGAGTTGTAGTTTATAGCTATGAAATTGCGTATTTTTATAGTTTCTACCACGAGGCGAAGGTGATGATGGAAATGCGTGAGCGTTATCACAACTACCGGTAACTTATTTTGGTACTTTCGCGTTATCGTGGGGGTCTATTTTAGCCAAAAAGTCCAGGAATCACGAGTAATTTAATGCTCTTTTTTACGAGCGTTTTTACTAAAATTTAAGGCTAAAGTTTAGCTGAACTTTGGTCAAACTCTACATTTTTGCTGGGAGAAATCGAATTTTCTTGCATGTTTGACCAGAGACTTGTACAATTTTCTTTTTTGTATGTAAATTTCTCTTCAAAATTTCGTTATTTTAGGCAGTCGCGCCACTTCCCGGCCGCGCTGGGCATGGGCCGTTTCCAAGAGACGTGCTGGCGCGGTTCCGACCGCTGGGCCCAGCGCTTTGTGACCGTGCAGATGGACGTGCCCCGGCCGTGGTTCATCATGGTACGCGAATTTCTGGCTATCTAAATTAGCCCCCCCTTTAGGAGCGGCTCGACCCGACGCTCGACCACGTGATCAAGGCCCACCCGAACAACCTGGTGTCGCTGGCCACCGCCTGCTACATGACCATCGGCATGCTGAAAGCGCTTCGCCTACTGCACGAGGCCGGCTATTGTCACCGCCGCGTGTCCCCGCAGGCCTTCGGTCTGCGTCTGCCGCTTCATCAGATGCTCAATCGGTGGGGCCCGATTTCCTGTGATATTTTCGAGCTTCCAGCAACGAGGCCGAGCTGTCGAACTACGTGGTGCTGACCGATCTCGGCGTGGCCAGGAAGTACCAGGAATTGCCGCCTCGCCGCTTGCCGCCCTTTACGGGCACGATCAAGTACAGGTAGATGACATTCAGCAACTCGTCGCCACTCTGCAGCTCCCCAAACGCGATGGAGATGAACGAGCAGACGGCGGTGGATGATGTCATCTCGGTGTTCTACATCCTTCGCCAGATGGTCACCACCACGCTGCCCTGGGTCAACCAATTGAACCTCACGCACACGCGGGATGTGGGTTTTCGAGCTTTTTAAACCTAGGCAGAATAACTGCATATTTTTACATGCATTAACTTTTTAACTTAAAGTTTTACATGAACATGGAAAAAATTAAGATAAGGCCGAAAAAATTACTTTTTTCGACACAAAATGACCAAAATGCCGAATCTTTCTCAACGGTTTGCCAAGTTTTTCAAACCTTTTGATAAGAACCGAATTAAAATAGTGTCATCGTTCAAAACATTCAGGAGGTCATCAAGCTGAAGCGCATGTCGCACGCGGACCAGACGCTGCAGCGCGAGCTGACCAACGAGGACCGCGCCCGTCAGGCCTTCATCAAAGAAGTGGGGGAACATTCTGGCGTTTTTCTGCACTTTTTTAGAATTCTAGCTTTTTTTATGTATACAACTATTCAAAAATACCAAAAAATCTAGCTTCTCGACTAGAATTTACAAATTCAACTAATGTTCTAAGCGTTCTAAATAGTTTTTCCGCTTGACAAATAGCTAAACCAAAGTGAAATGAAAAATATAAAAATCTACTCGTGAATATTCGAAATTCTCCCAGGAGGCGCCGCCGGAGGAGGACAGCGGCAAGGAAAGTGAAAAAGACAAGGTGACCAAAAAACAGCCCTGACAATGAGTTACACTGTTTTTCTGTAGAAAAAGGCCAATCGCCGCGGGCCCGAAAAGCTGGAGCCGTACAACCGGCTGTTCGAGCTGCTCACTCCCTGCAATGGATTGTGGGTGAATCGAAAAAATGTCTTTCTATAAATAGAGGAACCCAAATCTCGGCCACTTTCGACCAATTTCCCACCTGTAGCGAATTATAAACCTTTTTCTAGCATTTGACGCGTTTGTTTTATATAAAAAAGTTCATAAAATCATTATAAAAACCCTACAAAACTAAATCTTTTTGAGCAAAAATAATGTTTGACAAATACCCGAAAAGGGCAAAATTTTCGAATTTTCGAAAATTCTTAGACTTTTTTTATAATGTCCTAGTAATCAAAAACTGCTAAAAACGATAAAAAGATACGATTTATTATGAACAGTTTATTATTAATAAGCAGAAAATAAAATTAGCTACACGCGTCAGCGATTTTCAAATTTTCTAGGTTCATCCTGCCCCCGTACGAGGCGCTGATCTGCCTGCTGCGCCAGATGACCGACCGGGGCAACTTTGAGTTCACCGTGTTCGGCATCCAAAAGTGGGCTTCACCAGCAGCACACCAATTACCTACCGCGATTCCAGGACCATCGACAAGCAGCGCCTGAAGCTGCTCCACCACCAGAAGGACAAGATGGCCCATGGCGGGGCGAAGAACAGCAAGACCCCAGCGGGCAAGTAGCAGCTGATCAACGCCCGCCAAACAGCCGCCCGCCCTTCATTAATTCACAAACACACTTCTACCTGGTCATTTGGGAACATGATTCGTCATTGCTTATCGCTTGCTTTTGCTGTGGATATGGTGGCATAATAAATCGTTTCAAGCGTTTCCGAGTCGGCTGTGCACTCTAATATATCACAAAAAAATTGTTTTTCAATTCTTTGTCTTTTGCATTATCGGTGGGGGCAATCTTTTCCGGTCTAGCAATGCGAGGAACGAAGTAGGAATGGTTTTAATAGCGTTTTTAGTACCACTTGACGATATTTAGATTGGAAAAAATTTTGAAAACTTAGAAACTAAATACTTACACATCTTGGTTTAAATCGACTTTTTCTATTTTTTGAACATGTCTCATGTTTTTCCGATAGATGACGATAATAAAAATAAATTTAGGAAAGCTTTTCTTTTTATAGTGGAAGGAGTGGGTCCTAGGGAAAAATTACTCAATACCTCGCCGGTAAAAATTTGCCCCCCGGATAATGCAAAAATACCCTAGAATGAAATTCCTTTACTTCTTATTGCTTTGATAGTTTCTAACTCTTTTTTTCTAGCTTGTGTTTTGTTTCGTAATTATTATAGGCCCTTTCTTTCACCTTTTAAATTTTCCAAAAAAAATCTGGCTACCAAGCCATCAAAAACGACCAAAAATGCCACAAATTTTTTGGTTAACAAGGAGAGGCGGAAGAAATAAAAATTAGTTTGTCCGGTTAAACCTCCGCCCCCCGCTAACAGGTCAGCTAACAGCTAACCCCCTGTACCACCTAGTCGTCTACCTTCCCACCAAAAAAAACTAACCCCTTTGTGCCGAGATGCAAAATCCATTGTCTGGGCCACGTACCCCAACATCCCCCTCCCCCCCTCCCCCCCCCCAGCCCGCAATCCGTGAAATTGCGGCTATCGGCGGGTTGGTAGCGCGGGGGGCGCCCGCCTCGACCAAATGATTGCAAATTCATGGCGTTTTCCAAAGCCCTCCCCCCTTTCCATCCACCTCCGCCCTCAACCCCGACGACAACCACCACCTGGTCAACAAAAAAAAGCTTTTTTCTTACTCTTTTGACTAGGCTATATTGGTTTGGTAGTCAATAACATAGTAAAACTTAGTAATTTAGTCATATCAGCCGGTCTGGCCGATTTTGAGCCCTAGAAATCGTGGGTTCGGATTGGTTTAAAGGGACGGGGAAGCAGGACGTTGGATTTTGGGTATTGCCCTTTTAGCGGGGGGCTAACGCTTAGTTTTACGGCTTAAACCGAGCTATTTTAATAGTATTTTTAGTAGTTTTTGATCGCTAGGAACTTATAAAAAACGTTTAACATTTCAAAAAAACTGATTTGATAAAATCAAAACGTTTCGACAATTTGTGGAATGGTTTATGAGCTCTAAGCTTTTTATTTCTAAAAACTGTGCAACATGCTAAAAATTGGTTTATGTTTCATTCTAGCGTGAGACGGCAATACGGGGAAAAATTCGGCCGCGCTCGCGACACGCAACGCGAGCGCTGGAAGCGCGTTACGTGTCACAGGCAAGAGCAAGGGCTTTCTGAACCCTAAACATTCTTTGAAAAACCCGGTAAAAGGACAGTAATCGTTACATTCCCGCAATCGTACGCACGTCTTTTGGAGCAAGCCGTAGCCCCACTGTAACGACGGGACACTCCTATTTACGCGGCGAAACCGTGCGTTCAACGCTATTTTAACCCCTTTTTGGTGTAGGCAGTAGCAAAATTTGAAGCCCTTTTTGCTGTTTAGCTGTCTGTCTGTCTTTCGGATATTTCTCGAATGTCAATCGGAACCGTCGGATACGATGACGAGCTCACTCAACCGGGACGACGTTCGTTCCGCCCGCCAGCTTCTCATTCCCCTTTTTCTCTTTCTCAATGCTCATTCTCCAAAAGATGATGCCCCCAGGGAGCAGACCCCTGGCCCTGGCCTGGAATTGGCTGTTTTGGCCGGCTGGCCTTTTACTCCAGTTTACCCGCCGCCCCCGTTTAACCCAACTACCCTCACCACCATAATTTGGACCCTCTGATGCTGGGCGGAAACGTTTCCGCTTGGTATTAGTAACATTTTTTCAGAACATGATGCTTGTTTTAAGGGGACGGACAAGTCGGAACTGGTTAGAATTCGGAATTCCGGAATTTTTTAAGGATCGTGCCTTGATCTCGGGCGCTTTCGCATTATCGGAGGTGGGGGGGGGATCTTTACACATAGATCCAGAAATGCCTAATAACGTAATATTAGGTGTTTTAATAGGGTTTTTGCTCAAATTATCTATTTTTCAAGCGGAAAAACTATCATAAAAGCTTGCAAAAAATTTTTTTAATCTGAAAAACTTTAATCGTCGAACATCTATTTTTTATTTTTAAAAACCATTTTTAACAAAATGTTTTTGTTTAGAAATAGGAAAGAAACATTTTCTCAATTTACATTAGAAAAAAAATTGGATCCTGAGGAAAAAGATGCTCCCCCCCCCCGATAATGCGAAAGCACCTAATTTACAGCGTTCGGCGCTCGGTTCCTTACATTTGCTTCAAACTACATTTCCAGCTACTTTCTTGTCATGTTTTTGCTTTAGCTTTCCTGGCTATTTTTTTGCGTATCCCCGACAGCTGATCGGCCGAGGAAACGGTAATCTGATCCGCGTCACCGGCCTCTCACGGATTTTCCTGGTTTTCGACTGATTTTTTAGGGGCTTTTAACTGCCATTCAGCAAAATTCGGGTTTATTTTATGTTTTACCCAACGAATTTATAAACTTTAAATTAGGATTCTTAATTTTAAAAAGTTAGAAAATTGTTGCAAAATTAAATATTTTAAATTCATTAACTAATTTAATGCGCTTAATAAGGGATTTTGGTAGCTAGTAATTTGAAAAATCTAAACTTGAAGCCAGATTCCTGCCTTTCCGGTCCCTTTAAAACCCGGGCACCTTGAAAAAACCCGAGAAAACAGAGGTGAAATCGATGCCTGCTTGCGATTCCATCTGGCTGAACTCACGCCTCACCTCGATGCAAAGGAGGGATTTTTGGTGTAAATGGGCCCATTCCGGGGGTTCCCCTACCCTTTCTCTATCCCCGCCCTAGACCCAACGGATCTTACGCAATAATACTCCTTACCTTTCCGAGCCAATTTTTTAGGTATTTGCTTTTGAAAAATACCAAGAAACGGTTTATTTACAGTCTGTCGAAAAATTAAAATGTCGACGTCATTTTGGCAAAAATCAATTTGCCCAATTATTTTGTCGATCTTTCGTTTTGGCTAAATTTTATTTTCTCGAAATTTATTTATTTATTATTTTGTTTTTCGAGATTTAATTTCGTCGAAATTTGCACGTTCGTAATAACGCCGATAGCAAATCGCAAAATTCTGATGTAAAAATAGATACATCTGGAACGAAGCGGGCCAATTAAGGGGCAAAAGGGTAACGGCCAAATCGAGTGGAGTGACCATCCGCGCCGCGCGGCCTGAATTACGTGCCCTCGCGGCATTTTGCCCAATTTTCAATTTCAGTGCTGGTCAATGTGGTTGAATTAAGGGCTAAAGGTTATGCAAAAAGTATAGAAAACCTCTCCCTCGGTCTCGCTTTCTCTCTCTCTCTTTCTCTCTCTTTCACTCGTCTCCCTCTCCCTCTCTCTCGCTCTCTCACTCGCTCACTCTCTCTCTCTCCCTAGCTCTCGATCTCTGACTCTCTCTCGCTCTCTCTCTCTCTCTCTCTCGTCTCTCTCGTTCTCACTCTCTCACTCTCTCTCTCTCTCTCTCTCTCTCTCTCTCTCCTTCCTGGAGTGGGCGTGTTGTGCGACCGGAAATTTGGGTTTCGACGCCCCCCCCCATTTCTAGACTCTATGCTTCAACGCCCTAACCCCTCCCCTCCGGCCAATACACTTTATGCAATCATTTTCAACCGAGCAAAGATTACTAGCCGTCTAGCTGACTAGCACGATTCTTTGAACGTAAAAATTTAACATATTTTCCTAATTAAATCCGCTCCTTATAAATTTATTTTGAGGAATTATTTCCTCGTTAATAGCTGCTATTCCACTCACCAGACATGACATGCCCATATGTGCTTTCCGGAAAAACAAAGCGCTCAATTTTTTTTGGGGACGTCTCCCCCCATTTGCGGGGGAGCAGCAGGAACACTTCCCGCTCATTTTTTTGGCTTTTCTGTTCCGCTAAATGGCTTTATAGGATAATTGAAGTGGGCTGGGATTAGGTTTAGGCTTAGGTGATAACTTATCACTTTCACCACCTGAACGCCCATAAAACCCCGCGGGACCAAATGCGAGGCGCGCCATTCGGGCCATTTTTGGGCACCGGCAATTACCCAGGACTCTCCAAAAATATGTGGCCAAGCTGTGGAGGAGAGAGAGAGAGAGAGAGAGAGAGAGAGAGAGAGAGAGCCATGAATGCTCGGGGTGGTGGCACAATGAATAATGGCCCTGCTGCAAAATGGAACACTTTTTTAGGAAAAGAGCTTGAGGACTGGGGAATGGAGATAAAACTTTAAAGGGGCTCGGAAGTGCTGGCTAAGGATTTTATGGGGTGTTTCATGGAGTAATGGAACGCAACATTTTCTCAAGCTTTAGATTTCTTGTGGATTTTCTGAGGCTCGACTTGAAAAAGAAAAAATTGCTTGTCATTTTCGCTGAACTTTTTGATGTGCAGAATTTAGTTATTTTTTTCGGGTTTCTCGTTCTGATCCGAGATTATACGCTTTACTATACTTTTCCATACTATTTTCCAGATGGGTTACAGTATGCGGGTGTGGCTGAGGCTGTGGATGAAGTTCGTCGGCCCATCGTCGACGCTCCTCATCTTCTTCTCCCTCCTCAACGTCTCCAGTGCCAATCGTTAGTTGAATTTAGTATTTTGGCACTTGTGCATTATCGGAGGGGGATGAGTAAGCTTTTTTCCCCACCAGCCTATTTCACGAAAATAAATGAAGGCCGTGTTACTAGATGGTTTTTTTTGCTGTTAGTAAATTCAAAAATATGATTTGTCGAGCAAACCCGCCCAAATTGTAAATTTTTTCTGGTGATTCTATAGTTTTTCAATTTAAATTTTGGTTTATGTTTATCAGAAACATCAATAAAACCTTACGGTTGGCTCTGCATAGGGAAAAATTTGGTCCCACCCCCCCGATAATGCAAAAAAAATCCAAAAACATAATTTCAAACACACAACATCAAAACACACAACATTTTTGAAGTTTAAAAAATCTCATTGCTCATGCTCCGATATTCCGGGAATTTATGATCTTTGGATCAGACTTTGGGCTCACCTCAATTCAACGGAAAAATCCAAAAATTCGTGCCGAAAGTCGGGGGCTGAATAATTTAAATCCGAGCGCGCAAACCAAAAAAGTGATCTCATACGGCTGGCAAATTATTTGCGCTGTTTTTCCCCCCGGGCAAGCCAGCAGGAACCATTGAGGAAAATCCACCTGTGGAATTTTTACCACCCTAATTTCAGGCGAGGCGCTAATGGATGGAAACGGCGACTTTTTGCCTCATATCCGGCTGGCCAAAGATCTGATGGAAGCGAGGAGGTTTGTCGAAGCTAGACAAATATCATTTAATCCTATAACGTGATATTTACTTACAGAATAACTAGGAAAGAAACGAATCGCATAAAATAATCCCCCTTACTAAATCTAGGCCTCCAGTGTCAAAGTACGAGCTTTTACTGCGTCAATAAAAATTCTGTTTCGCTTCCTTGGCTTTTCAAAGTGGAAGTCAAAAGCTAACGCTCTTTTTAACGCATTAATGATAATTTAAAAAAATATCGCGGGCCTGTTTTAAGGTACGATTCGCGGGTGAGGCCGGTGATGGACCACGCATCGTCAACAAAAGTCTACTTTTCAATGTCACTCTATCAGATACTTTCTGTGGTAAGGTGGCAGCCGCTCTCTCTCCCTCTCGCTCTCTCTCGCTCGCTCTCTCTCGCTCTCCTCTCTAAGTCTCTCTCGCTCACTCACTCTCACTGACTCGCTCGCTCTCTCTCTCTGTCCCTCTCTCCTGCTATCTCTCTCCGTCGCTGTCTCTGTCTCTCTCACTCTGTCTCTCTTTCGGTGCCTCTCTACCGCTCTCTCTCCCGATCTTTCTGACTCTCTCTTGCTCTCTCTCTCGCTGTTTCTGTCTATCTTTCTTTCTAGCCTATCTTTTAGAACGAAAAGCAGCAAAGCATTGACCTAAACGTCTGGGTCATCCAGAAATGGAAGGACGACTTTTTGGGGTGAGATTTGGGCTCTGAAGTGAGAAATCTATCCAGGTGGAATCCGAATCTGTACGGCGGCATCAACGTGACAATTCTACCGTACCACGCCGTCTGGTTGCCCGATACGTATATTTATAACAGGTAAAATCTATGGCCAATGTGAAAATCCTAATGCTTTCCAGCGTGGTGATGAACCGCGAGGAGACGGAGCGCTACATAAACGTCGTGCTCACCTCAAATTACTACAAGGGCGAGCGGGGCTCCGAGATTAAATTCATGTATCCGGCATTGTATCGCACCAGCTGCCAGCTTGATATAAGGTAGGTGGGAGAGAGGGAGCGAGAGAGAGAGAGATAGAGATAAAAATTTCCCTCTAGATTCTTCCCCTATGATCAGCAAAATTGCACGATCGTCATCTCCTCGTGGACCTCGTCGAAATCGAGCATAGACTACTATCCGGAGGAGACGGTAAGGGCCTAATTTCCGTTGCACTACAAATTACACAATTTCAGGAAGTCAGTCTCCTCCATTATATTCCGAACGAGGAATGGGTGGTCGTGTCTTTTAAGATTGACAGATTGGAGGTATGTTGGGCAGAAAGAGAGCGAGAGAGAAAGAGAGAGAGAGGAGAGAGAAAGGGAGATTCGCAAAAATTCCAGAAAAGCTTCCCGTGCTGCCCAGAGCCTTGGGTGCTTCTGCATGCCCATTTGGTAATCCGGAGAAAGCCGCTGTACTACATCGTGAACCTGGTCATCCCCACCTCGGTCATCACCATGGTCGCTGTCACGGGTGCATTTTTAATAGAATAATTTTAATGAATAGAACAAGGTAAGTATAGCAATTTCGAACTTCAAAAACCTATGTCTGTGCCGAACATTCAAAGCTTGTTAAAAAAAGCCTGTTTCTCCGGATGAAGTGGAAGCCGCGTGGTGTGGGCGGTAGGCTAGCACTTACCCTGTCGAGCCATCCCTAAAATAACATTTTTTTTGGATTATTTCTATGGGAAACGTTTTCCAGGCTTCTTCACAGCGGCTTCCACATCCTCTGAACGTCGTGAGAAGCTCTCACTGGGTATCGATTCTCTTCTGGCCATGTCAATTCTGATGATGATGGTCTCCGAGCAGATGCCCACCACCTCAGATTATGTGCCGTTGTTTGGTGGGTTGTGGAAAATGGAGTCAAATGGACCACAAGCTACCATGCAAACCACAAAATGCTTTCAGGCCTCTTCTACTTGACGATCATTTTTGTCATCTTTCTCGGCACGCTCTTCACCGCCTTCATTCTTAATATACATCTTCAGGTGAGGGGTTGAGTACTGGGCTTTTAGCGGGGGGGCTTAACGCAGGGAAATCGGGATTTTTCCGTACGACTTTATAAAGTAACCATTTGCATAGCATTTAACAGTTTTTTAGGCAAAAAGCTTTAGAAAATTCCGGAGTAATGCCTTTTTGTCAAAAATGATTAAAAAATTCCAAAACAGGTCAAATTCCCGAATTTACAGAATTTTTTTGCTGTATTTTTTAAACTTTCTAGCAAGCAAAAATTATTTAAAATGTTGTAAAAAATATGCATTTTATTGTTAAGAAGCATAGGCGGAAAAATAAAAATAGTTTGGCTCTCTGAATAAGCATTTTTAGAAAATGTACTCTCGGCCCATCTCCCCGATCGTCACTTGGTTCTTCTTCCACAAAATTGCCAAATGGCTCAGTATACGGTAGCATAGCCAGGTTTCGAAATATCACATACTTTTAGGCCTCCGACCACCTTGGTCGAGCTGTGGGCGGATACTGGTGTCCGGATAGACGGGGTCAAACCCAAGCCCAAGCCAAGCTACAATCGGCATGCTGTACGTTTTTCCGGGTTTACGGCGGTTTATGCGATTTGTTACAAGCCGAGATTTGTCTTCGAAATTGTCTTAAAGCACCTGAAGCTTTTAGAATAACAATGCCGCGGTAGCGGATCGTCTGATCAAGCAAGTCGCCACCACCCCGGCATCGCCAATACGAAAACAGGCGCCTGGGACGGCTAGGTAGGAGAGGATTTTTTCTCTAATTTTCTCTCCCTCTCTTTACCTGGCTCTCTAACTTGATTGTTGATATTTTTTCCAAAATTGGCCTCTCTTGCTCTCTCTCTCTCTCGCTTAGGTATGTCTCTCTCTTAGTTCTCGTCGGTGCTCTATGGTTCATACGCATTCTCCTTTCACACCCCCCCAGCGCTCTCAGTCTCTCTCTCGTTTTATCTCTCTCGCTCGCTCTCTCACTCTATCCATTTCTCTCTCTCTCTCACTCTCTCTCTCTCTCTATCTCTCTCTCTCCTTTAAAAACGATCCTTTCCAGATCTGCCGAGGAGTCAACCTACCGTAGCGCGATGGCTCGCTCAAATTGGCAACGGTTGGCAAGGACGGCCAGCCAAAGGAGTGAGTCCTATAAACTGAAAAACCTCTCACCCTCCTCGTAAATCTATCCTAATAACCCGTCCCCTAACCCAACTATCTCCCCCACTACGAGCAGGATTCCGCACTCGTCTGACCAGCCTACCGTATACCGCGACTACGAGTCACAACTCTTCCCGAAGGACCTCGGCCGGGATACGGTCATTGACACCCACATCCCGGAGGCCATCAACCCTCCATGAAAATGAGCCGCTGATGGAAATTGGTGCGCAGAATGCTGCGGAATTGGCTTATTTGCGTGCCGTTCTATGATTTTTTTAGTTTTGGCGATTTCATTATTCGTAACTTTTCCGAAAATTACGCTTGGAAAGGCCATTTTCTGAAGCGTGAAAATTCCTTCTCGAAATTAAATAGATGCGCCCCCGGCTGTCAATTGCGTGTCGTTCTAAAATTTTTGGTTTTACTGCATGCCCATCTTCATTATTTTCCGTGGTTTAAAAGGACTGCGAAGCCAATGAAAACCGCTTTTCCAATCCACTTAACGAATATATTCAACGGTATTTCAGGGCATTACCCAGCCTCGGCCATGCCATCAAATGCTTCGGATATTTCTCGAGGAGATGAGCATCGGTCCTCAATGGCCTTGGTGGCCGCCCAGCAGATGAACGAGTCGCTCGTCATTGAGAGCAAGCTCAAGCGCAGGTTTGTTTTTCCCATGTTACTTGCCCCACCATTTTTCAATGTTCCAGAGAGAGAGAGAGAGAGAGAGAGCGAGCAAAAGAGCAAAAGAGAGAGAGCGTGAGAGAGAAAGAGATTAACTTGCAGAAAGATCCGTAAAGATTTCCCAAAATCAGCCTTTCCAGATATGCATTGGAATGGGAGTACCTGGCGTCAGTGCTTGATCGTCTTCTGCTTCTGGTCTTTTCCCTCGTCGTCTTCATCGTCACCTTTTTGATGATTCTCGTCGGAGAGGCGATGCATCTCAGCTACGAACTCAACAATAATTAGCCAGTAGCTCGGTCTTTTGGCTAACTTAACACGGACTCTATCGCCTAGAAAACGGTTTGACGGCACCGTCCCTTTAAAGGAGTGGACAATTTGTGTCTATGGATTCTTTTTTTTGCCGACGCCGCTACGCGCAACGCTTTTCGTTGCGTGAGAAAGTTTTATTTTGCGTGCGTCGCGTACGCGTTGCGTATTTGTTCAAATCCATACGGTCTCCGGTTCCAAAATCCGTAACCGTCCCTGGTCCCTTAAATCCAATTTTGCCTCCGTTGCTTTTTTTAAAAGTTACTTCTGTTCTAAAGTCTACAAAGTTCCACCTTTCTATCCACTAACGCTTCCGCAAATGCCAAATCGGGTCTTTCCATTCCATAATTCCATAACTCATGCATTAATGACAGAATTCCGAATGTTACCGCGCCCGCATAGATGCATGTTGCACCAGACGCCGCCTCGATCTGTGATTTTTGCGAGCCCACCTTCCCCCATCCCTGATCTCCAAGCATTTTAATATTGAAAAATTCGTTCTGATGTCCGTTTCGTGCCTTGGTTTTTGCAAAAAAATTGATTGAATAAACGTGGATTCTAATTTATTGCAGGTCACCCAGGGTCGTTAGCTAATTTGCCGGCTTTTTGCAGACAAAGCGCGAAAAGGAGAACGTGGAGTCCCAGTCGTCCCATCGGGTTTGGAGATAGGCCACACAGTGCTGGTCGTTCATCATCTGAATTTCGGATTGTAGAGAGTGAGAGAGAATGAGGGAGAGCGAGAGTATGAGAGAGAGGGGAGAGAGAGTGGGGAGAGAGAGAGAGAGCGAGAGAGAGAGAGAGTGACAGCGAGAAAGAGTTGAAAGAGAGGGAGAGAGAGCGCGAGAGAGTAAGACAGGAAGAGAGAGAGCGAGAGAGAGTGATAGAAGGAGCTAGAGAGAGAGAGAGAGAGAGAGAGAGAGAGAGAGAGAGAGAGAGAGCAAGCCTCATACCGCATATGTCCCGCTGCAGCTCCCCTTCGTCAAGTCAAAATCAAAGGCACTCCCGTCGGTCCATGTCTTCCCAGTGGCATTACTGCACGAGGCGCCGATGACCACCTCCCAGTCGTGGCACAGAATATCCTTTCGGCTCGTCGCGATCAGATCTGTACGTTGTAGTACATTGCTGATAGTATGTCAACGTACTGCGAATGAAGATGTCCTCCTGATCACTGTGAATCGAGACGAGATGGGCGCCCATCGATTTGCATAGGGTTTCGGCCTGGGCTTGGGTGTAGCTGGCGATCGGGCCCATCGGAGGGATAGTCTGAATTTCAGATTTTGAGCATACTGACGATATTATCGGATTAAAGGGAGGGTGACAGCTAGGTTTGGCCTCACCTGTGCATAGTAGCAAGCGTCCGTCTTGTCGTTGTGCACCCAGCCACTTGGGCAACCTGGAAATAAGCTTAGGTTAGGTTTAGGCGTTGGCTTGGCTTAAACTTAAGCTTAGGCTTAGGCTCAGGCTTCACTTTGGCTTCGGTTAATCTTTGGTCTAGGCTTAGGTTTAGGCTTAGGTGTAGGCTTGGGCCAAGGTTTGGACTTAGGCTTAGGTTCGGCTTTGGACCTAGCTTAGTCTTAGGCTTAGGCTTCTTGTCAGAAACAATATACGTTTAGGCCGTCTGCAACCTACTAATCTGATTCTGATCACCCATCGTGCACAAGAAGGGCAACTCGGTCTGACAATCCGTGGCGTACCACTTGAAGTCGGTGATGTTCAGCGCCGAGCAGTCGCTGATTTTCGCGTACTCATCACCTGAATCGGGCTCAAAATATCGGAATTTACCCCGAAATTCATCGTTTATTTGTGCTTACCGGAAGCAAAATTGACGTAGTTGAGCGGCGTTCCATCAGCGTACACCCTGGTCGTGTTGTCGCGCAGCTTCACCCCGATGGTGATCAACGGCTGATCGGTGGAGGCGACTGTAAAAATTTAGTTTGTGTTAAATCACGGTCGAAAATTTATGTCCACCTATCAAACCAAATTTAATTCACCCCTTGAATTTTCCATTTAGAAATTTCTAAACTTCTAAAAAAAGGATTTAAGCTACGATACCATCCCAGGCTGTCAGAACTGCGAGAAGCTTTTCGACGTCGTTATAAATCTGGGCGACACGCCCGCCAAGGGCACCGCACGTCGTCTGCGCCAAGTCGAAGGTCGACGCTGGAAAGGTCGGGATAAATGGCAAACCATCTTTGCCAGATTGCCCTCCACGACAGGCCGGGGATTCGAAGAAATTGTTTCGGATTTCCGCAAAGGATCTCTGCTAGCTTACCCTAGTGTCTTAATTTCCGCAAAGAACCACCGCTAGCCTGTCCCTCCTGTCTCATCCTAGGCAAAGAATCTCTGCTAGCCTGCCCCTAGAATCTCATTTTCCTCAACAAATCTCGGCTAGCCTGCCCTAGAATCGTATTTTTCTCAACAAATCTCGGCTAGCCTACCCCTAGAATCACATGCTCCTCAAAAATCTCTGCTAGCCTGCCCCTCGTGCCTGATTTCCGCAAAAAAACTTGCTAGCCTGCACCTAGAATCTCAGTTTCCGCAAAGAATAGCTGCTAGAGTTATTTCCACAATAAGGTTCTTTAATTCCACAAAACACCTACGGACGGGCACGGCCAATATACACTCTCCCACATCTCCATAGTCAATCGCTCCATTCGGACAATAGGTGGCCGATACGGTAGTCGTAGCGAGCAATAAAACAACGAAGACTCTCATCCCGAATCGATTTTTAAATAGCAACAATTCCCTGTGATTTTGTGCTCGATTAAAATCGTTTCCTCCGGCGTATCAGCCCGGAATTTTTCGCGTCGTAACCGGATTAAAATCTGGCGTGCGTCTAGCGTGGTCGGTGAAATGTTTCGCGGCTCGGCTAATCAGTGGATAGTTCAAGGGGCACTTTTTGAGATGGGTGAGCTAGCATAGAGCTTTTGTAGAACAAAAAAATTGAAAATTTGCCACGGGCAACCTAGCGGAGACCTTGAGGAGTTTTACCATGGCTTTTCCCGGCTGCATGCTCTGTATTTTTTTGGGGGTCGGGCAACGTAGTAGAGGACTTTGCGGAATTGGAGAAAAATTCATTTTTTTGTGTATTAACTAAAATGATCAGGGCAGGCTAGCAGGGACTTTTGAGGATTCATGGACAAACTAGGGCTAAACCAAAAGAGGAACCGCTAAACCTGAAGGGCAAGCTAGCAGAGACCTTTGAAGAAACCTGACAAACGCTTTGAACAGAACAGCTGCAGAAAATTTTAATCATTTGTTTAGGTGGCAAAGGCAAGGCAGCAGAGACTTTTGAGGAATGCTGGACAAGTGGGCCTGGATAGAAAGCTCAAATTAGTTAAACGTTAAGGGCAAACTAGCAAATCCTTTGAGGATTTCCATCTTCATTGTTTAGCCACCATGTTTGGCAAGGCGAGCCAGCAAGCATCATGTGCGGAATTCCAAAATTTATCCATTTATCAATCGCTCTATTCCTGTTTTATAAATTCCATGGCGAGCCGTTCGCCGACTTCCGGCAGATGGAGCGCCGCTCGCTTGCAGATGAAACGCGAGAATTCGTTTTGCGCGTACCAGCTCTGCCAATTCTGGCGCTGATCGACGAAACAGTGGTAGTCGTTGATCATCTACAACGGGGCGTGGTTTGAAAGGGCCGGTAAAACCATATATTGCTACCGCAACTATTCGAAGCCCCTCTAAAATTTAAACCTACAGTTGGGTTGAGCCCCTGCTCCCCTTCCCCCGAGGCCCCGTTTGGCAAGAGTACACCGCGATACCGTCGCCGACGCCACGGCGCGCGCCCAAGGATCGCAGGCCGCCCAAAGAAGAGAGCCCTCTTCCGAGTGAGTCGCGGATTTTTGGGGAATAGCGCACCCCGTTGCCGCCGGTTTCCCTTTTATTCCCCCCGGCCCCGAGTTCCCCCGTCCCCGAGTTTTCCCCTGTCCCCGAGTACCCCGTCCCCGAGTTTTCCCCTGTCCCCGAGTACCCCGTCCCCGAGTTATCCTGTCCCCGAGTTCTCCTCCCCATCCCCTAGATTTCCCCCGCTTTATTTGCCCCCGCAACTTCTTTTAACATCGTTCGCGCTCTAAGTTCTCACTCTCATCAAATTCCCTGGCGTAGATTATCTCACAATAAACGTATCTCACTAAATTATTGTTTTCTCTAATCACATTCTAGTCTTCTAACAAGTTTTTGGTCGTTCTCCTAGCGTCTTGTAAGGCGCAGCGAGTTGTTTGTGGAGTTAGGAGCTCCCTCATCTTGGCACAACCCTTCTTGCGTGCTCTTCTTGGCGTTGTAGCCTTTGTGAAAGCGTTGGTAGCTGCCCTCCCATAGGCAGCAAAACCCAACTGGGGGCCGAACCGTGCTTTCCCCACCTCTCAACCCCTAGCAGAAGTATCCCCATGTGCTAAAGCGAAGGTTGGCCCAGCCGTTCAGCCCAGAACGAGCTCGGTGGCCTGGCCAAACTCGCCCAGAGTTTTGTGCCAAGAGTTTAACCGTCGATTGGCAGCCCAAGCCTTTCGGACGTCGACATGCTCTGGTTTTGCCCGTGAACCAGGCATGAACAGCCATCGAAAAGCCCTTCTTTGAAGAAGTAGAGGCCAAGGTGAAGAAAAAGCCAGAAATTGGCTGAAAAAGCACCCAAGAAACCCGCAAGAAGGTAGCCATTATCACCGCAGAGACCGGTGGGCAAAGCAAGCACATGTATTGGGGAGGAATACATGATCGTGTTGCTGAAGAGTACACGGACCAAGTGTATATGGGTGAAAAAGACCGAAGAGCTTCCATCGCTGCAGCTGGTTGCTCGCGCACTTTGGTCCGGAGGAATCTCGGCATCATGAGACTCTCAGAGTGGGCTTAGGATCGAATCGCGGAGCCGATGTGACGACTGTGCGTCGTGGCCGCCTTTCCCCCATTTCCCCGTCGCAGAAATGGGAACCCGCCTGTGCATTTTTTTTGGCCTTTACGCAGTCGGCGACTCGTAGCGTGCACAGCTCGAGCCGTTTAAGGTTTTTTTTGAGCTTTGTGGATTCGGTATGTTATTGCGGCTACCGAATGCCCATTGCGCTTCCCCCCGCCATCGCAGTTTGCCTGGATTCTTGCCAGTACGGCAATGTCGCTTCAAAGAAAAAGCCGCCACAAATGCCCACAACTCTAGCCTGAAAGTGAGTTGATTATGCTTTATTCTCAGATACAATTTTTCCAGGATGACGAATGGCGAACGTCACTTTGGCCAGAAGTTCTCTGTGAAGACCGCTCTTTCTGCTCCCAATGGCCTCAAGCATCGCAAACCGGCGTATTCAAGGTTTTATCGGTTTCTCTAACCCCGTCTAGGCTTGATTTTCGACTCGCACCCGCTCCATGCGCAAAAGTTCATCCCAGAACTCGACTTCTTTTGAAAAGTGCAAAAGAAACACGTTTTGTAAAGGGAATTGATCAGCCCTGCGCAATTTTCTGTTTTCGCACCTGCAAAAAGGAGCTTTTGCCTCGCCATGTTGAGCTGTTTCGACTCTATTCGCAGAATTTCTCGCTTCCAAGTGCTCAGCATTGAGAATTCATCTTTTTGCTATCAGCCTATCAAGAATGGTAACCTTGATGACCCCAGCCTTTCGAATACCCGCGCTTTTCATTTGAAAAAGATTTTCAGGCCCCTCGTTGAAAGCAAATGGCATTTCGCAGCTTTTCTTGAGTCGATTGCTCTCTCCAAATCGTTTTTTTTTCAGTTAGGAAAAGTCCTGCACATCCTAGCAAGCAAGAATCTATTCAGACTACGTTGCGCTTCTCCTGTCCCTTGTCCCCGAGTTGATTTTTGCCCCGCCAACCCTTCCCCGATTCATCGCCTTTCAGGGATGAAGTTTTTGTAATTTTCCCGCGTTCTCACCCGCTCCTAAAGCAATAACATTGGAAACCCGGACTGGCAACCCCTTTCGCCAAGCTTTTTACCCGCTACGAAGTTGACAAGAACCCGCTTTTCTTTGTTTTCTTTCGCTACGCCGGAATTTGCTTGTTTTCCCCTGCTCTCGCGCCCAAATTCTGCTTTGAAGGCTTCGAAATTTCGTTGCTAACTTTTCTTTCATTGTCAAAGGCCTTTTCAAATTCGTTTCCCATCTCGAAAAATGCTTTCTCCGCAAAACGCCCCTTTTTCAGGATTGATTTCGCCTCAAAATTCGAGCGAAAAAGCCTTTTTCGTTATGCGATAGCTCTGCCCAAAGCTATACTTTTGAATGGCCGCCGCAAATTGCTCATTTCTTGTGTACAAAAGTTTTGAGAACTTTATTTTCAATGATTGAAAACGTTCCCCGCGATATTTCCACACTTTCGCAAACTTTGGCCCTGCTTCTCGCCTAAAAATCGCCAAAACGTCGCTGGTCCCTCCGCGCTCTCGCATTGCAATTCCTTTTGCTTTGCTTTCCACGTGATTCAAGTTGATTGATTTTTGTTCTCAAAGTTCTGGTTGTTCTCGCCAAATTTTGTTTACATTTCACGTTTTCCAGGTAGCCTAAACCTGAAGAGCCCGGCCTGCCCCTCGAGCTGATGGCTTCCGACGAGGAACTGGCTTGCGTATACGCTGCCCGGATTCTCCAGGACGATGAAGTCGCGACCACCGGCGACAAGATCTCCACTTTCAAGGCCGCCAAGGTTTATTTCGAGCCCTGCTGGCCCGATCTTTTCACCAAGGCCCTCGACGGAGTCGATGTCAAGAACCTGATCGTCCCGGTCTCGTCTGGCGCCGGATCCGGAGGAGCCCCGCTGCTGATCCCCGGATTCGCAAGTTCTCGCCCGTTCAAGTTCTACACGCGCTCAAGGAGTCAAGCCCTTCACGCTCTCTTCAACGCCTACACGCTGTTCAACGTCACAAAGTGGTGAAGCTCGTCAGAAGGATGTCGCGAACAAGGGTCAAGCTCGTCGTCAACGTGTACGCCGTCAAGAGCGCAAGTTCTACGTCGCCGTCGTCACCGATTACTCGATGCGCAACTACATGACAAGGAATCAACCACCAAAAGTAAACCCTCTTTCCCTCGTGCCGTATTGTAATTCTAGTGTCCGTTTTTCATTTTCATGACTGTCTACGTTGTTATTCTCGTTCCCCATTTCCTTTTCATGTGTATCCTTTTCCCGGCCCCACCTTTTCGCTGTATCCCCCTCGCCTCGGCCCGCCCGTCCAAGACGATGGAACGCAAGGAGGTGCACGGGCCACCAACAAGGATTGGATACGACACAAGGAATGGATGTGAAACGACAACTACTACAAGGATCGGATGCGAAGGAAGGATGCGACAAGAATCGCCAAGACGTGCCCTTCAAGTCAAGCCCCACGACGAAGCCAAGCCTGTCAAGTACGTTCTCTATGAAGGAAGGATGTCTACCCGTCAAGTCAAGCAATAGTACGTTTACGTGAAGGAAGGATGCTGTTTCAACGTCGCGGACGACGTTTATTCCGGGGGGTGCCGAGTTGGGTTGAGCCCCTGCTCCCCTTCCCCCGAGGCCCCGTTTGGCAAGAGTACACCGCGATACCGTCGCCGACGCCACGGCGCGCGCCCAAGGATCGCAGGCCGCCCAAAGAAGAGAGCCCTCTTCCGAGTGAGTCGCGGATTTTTGGGGAATAGCGCACCCCGTTGCCGCCGGTTTCCCTTTTATTCCCCCCGGCCCCGAGTTCCCCCGTCCCCGAGTTTTCCCCTGTCCCCGAGTACCCCGTCCCCGAGTTTTCCCCTGTCCCCGAGTACCCCGTCCCCGAGTTATCCTGTCCCCGAGTTCTCCTCCCCATCCCCTAGATTTCCCCCGCTTTATTTGCCCCCGCAACTTCTTTTAACATCGTTCGCGCTCTAAGTTCTCACTCTCATCAAATTCCCTGGCGTAGATTATCTCACAATAAACGTATCTCACTAAATTATTGTTTTCTCTAATCACATTCTAGTCTTCTAACAAGTTTTTGGTCGTTCTCCTAGCGTCTTGTAAGGCGCAGCGAGTTGTTTGTGGAGTTAGGAGCTCCCTCATCTTGGCACAACCCTTCTTGCGTGCTCTTCTTGGCGTTGTAGCCTTTGTGAAAGCGTTGGTAGCTGCCCTCCCATAGGCAGCAAAACCCAACTCTACAGTATACGCGTCGGTACATTGTCCATTTGTCAAATCGAAGTCGAATGGGGTCCCGTCACTCCACGTCGTCTGATTGTTCTTACACGACGCTCCAATTAACGCCTGCCAATCTTGGCAATTTACATCCGGGTCCGAGGTTTGGATGAAGTCTGTAAGGGGTATGGTATTTTAAGATAATATGCAGGTCCTTACGCTTTGTCTAGATTTATGCTTCGCTTCGCTTAGGGTTAGCTTAGGATGCTTAGGCTTAGCTTAGGCATAGCTTGAGCTTAGCTTGAGCTTAGCTTAGGTTTAGCTTAGGCTTAGCTTCGCATAGCTTAGGTTTGGTCGTATTGCATTTCAAAGGAACTGTGAAGTCCATACTTTGACAAATGTATTCTCGGCATCGGTGTGGATCGAAGCCAATTGCCCTCCGAGCTTAGCACATTGCGCGGCAGCCGCCGTTTGATTCAAGTGAAGGGCCTTGGTCGAGGAGATGACCTGCATTTGGATTGGTAATTGGAGCGCATTGCGTGTCGCGTCGCGCGTTTACACTCTCCACGCGTTCGCAAAGCTTCCAGGCTTTTTTCAGGCTACGCTGAATCCGCAGAGCATTCTTCTAGGCCTAGCTAGCTACCCTGCTGCTTGATGCGTAGCGTGTCGCGGCGCATGCCAGCTTTTTAGGGTTTGCTAAATCGGTTCCGAACGCGTGCGGGTCGCGTGGCGTGCTAAATTAGTAAAGCATAGCCAGTCCTTTGCTCTGCGTAGCGTGTAGCGTCTAGTACCAGTTGTCTAGATCTAGCCTACTCCTTCCCGTCACGATCCCTGTGAAAGCATCCCCTTCTCATTTCACCAACATTTTGGATGTAATAACATGAAGACGTTAGCTCGTAGTACTTCCACCCATCCGGGCACACTAAAAGAGTGAAATATCCTGATTATACTCGTTTTAAAGGGCCATTGAAGCAATACCCACTGAGCGTATTGTCCAGATTCGAGTACTGGCATGCGAATGGATGAAGGGCATCGCAGGGGGGTGGAATACCACTGTTGCGTACTTGGGTCAAGTGTCGTACACGCATCGGCCGATGCCCAATCGGATTCTAGAGGGTAAATTAAAGTCTTATAAAACTACCAGACAAGCCTTACCAGAATAAAAATTGTAGTACTGTAGCGGTGTACCATCGGCATATATCCGGTCGACACGCCCATCGGCCTGTTTGATGCCGATGTGAACACGAGTGGTCGCGTTGACAGCTGGAAAATGAAAATGAATTGACTTTACAGCAAAGAAACTCTGCTAGGCTGCCCCTGGATTCTCAATTCCCGCAAAGAACCTCTGCTAGCCCACCCGCAGAGTCTGACCGTTTGCAAAGAAACTCTGCTAGCTTGCCATCTTTTCCTAATTTTCTCAAAGAACTCGGCTATCCTGACCAGAAGTCGAATTTCAGCCAGGAATCTCGGCTAGAATGCCCTCTTTCTTCATTTCCTCAAAGAAATCTGCTACCTGGCCCTATGGATCCAGCTCTTCGCTAAGAATCCCTGCTAGCTTGCCCCTGGATGCGATTTCCGCTAGCAATCTCTGCTAGTTCCTGAAGAGTCTTTGCTAGCCTGCCCTGCAATTTTCGTTTCCCCAAAGAACTCTGCTTGTTTTCTGGATTCGATCTCCGCAGACAATCCATGCTAGTTCCCCCCGTATCGCGATCTCGAAAGTGCTTCGCCAACATTGGATTCTAATTTTCCCCAACGAACTCTGCTAGCCAGCCCTTTTTCGCAAAGAATAGCTGCCGGCTTTCTTCTAAAATGCCTTCACAATCCCTTTGGCCTACTTCTCCTGGCTGCAATCGACGTCAGCAAATTCTCGACCCGACTGATCGGCTGGGCCAGCTTTCCGGAAAGAGCACCGCACGTCTTTGAGGCAACGGCAAACGGAGCAGCTGAAAAATAATTTAAAAATTGAAATTTTCGCCTCCCCCGCAGTGTCGCCGTCCCTTTAAATTTAAAAAACGCCACTTACCAACTTTAAAGACGAGTAGACATTGCCCGACTTCAGTGTAGTCGACAGCCCCCGGGGCGCAACTCCCCGAAAACACCTCATGTAGCCCCAGGCTACAAAGTACAGCTAGCAATAAATACTTCATTTGCAACAATTCTTCGAGGATTAGCAAAGTATGGAAATTGCCGTGATAATGAGCATTGATCGCTGGAGCGTCGCTTATCGCTTTGAGCCGATTATCGAGTGCCCAACCATTTTTCAACGGAACGAAAATTTATAGCTTGGAAATGCGGATAAATTGGTAGAAATTCAGCAATATGGTTTCTAATTAAAAACAAACAGGTAGACAACAGCTATTGTTTGCGGTAAAGAGGCCCCAGGGGCAAGCTGGCCGAGATCTTTGGGGATTTAAGCTTTCTGGGACATTCTAGCAGAGACTCATTACGGTAAGGCATCCCCTAGTGCAAGCTAGCAAAGATTTTTGCAAAAAGTAAGACCCCAAGGTCAGGCTAGCAGAGATCCTTTGTGGAAAGTGACACTCCAGAGGCAGGCTAGCAGAGACTTTCTGGGAAATGGGACTTGAGGGGCGGGCTAGCAGTGATTCTTGGGGGAAATGACACTCTCGTCGTCTGGCCTTCCAGCGATTCTTTGGGGAAAATGAGATTCGGCGTGTAAGCTAGCAGAGATTTTTGCGGAATGCCATTCTCTAGAGCAAGCTAGTAGAGAGTATTTGGGGAATTTGATCCTCCACATGCAAGCCAGCGGAGATTCATTGCAAAAGGAAGACTTTTGGGAGGCTAGCAGGGATTCCTTGGGGAAGCTTCCATGGCAGAGGCAGAAATTCTTTAGGGGAAGTGCCACGCAAGGGGCAAGTTAGCAGAGATGCTTTTCGGAAAGTCACACCCTAGGGCAAGCTAGCGGAGATTTTTTGCGGATCTTGGGTAGGCTAGCAGATAATCTTTGTGCAAAGTAGGACCCTAGGGGCTTGCAGAGATTATTTGGGTGGCGTTTGAAGCTCCCTCAAATGCCTCAAAGCCTGGATCATAAATAGAATAATTTGGGGCAGGCTAGAAGAGATTCCTTGCAAAGGTAAGACCCAAGGGCAGGCTAACACGGATTCTTTGAGGAAAGTAAGTCTCTAGAGGCAAACTAGCAGAGATTCTTTGCGGTTACGGTCCCCCACCCTGGTAGCTGTGAATAGGCGTCCCAATTAGTGTGTTCCTTCCCATTTCTTTTCCGTTCCTTTCCCCCCTTTCTCAACCTCCCCAATGAGAAGCCTTTTGTGGGGGGTTGAGGAGTGCTGTGACTGACTGACTGACCCCAATCTACCGATCCGATCCCCCCGCATTGGCCCAGAAAAAAGGGTCGTTTCCTTTTTGGCTTCGCACACCTATATCTATCGGCTGTCGTGTTTTTGTGTATTCCTGCATTCTGCAAGACTCTATTAAATTATCATTCTAATTTATTCATTATAATGCACATATTTTTGCTGTTATTCGCTGGGGGATGGATGGTGGAAGCCGAGTTGAACGGTAGGGATTTTTTTACTGCTGATTTTTGGTTTGTGTGGGTTTTTTCAGATGCCATAATCGATAACTGCTCCGCTTAGAATTAGGCTTAAGCTTGGCTTAGGCTTGACTTAGGCTTGGCTTAAGCTTGGCATCGGCTTGGCTTAGGCTTGGCTTAGGCTTGGCTTAGGCTTGGCTTAGGCTTGGCTTAGGCTTGGCTTAGGCTTGGCTTAGGCTTGGCTTAGGCTTGGCTTAGGCTTGGCTTAAGCTTGGCCTCGGCTTGGCTTAGGCTTGGCTTAGGCTTGGCTTAGGCTTGGCTTAAGCTTGGCTTAAGCTTGGTCTCGGCTTGGCTTAGGCTTGGCTTAGGCTTGACTTAGGGCTTGGCAAGCTTCCCTCGGCTTGGCTTAGGCTTGGCTTAGGGCTTGGCTTAGGCTTGGCTTAGGCTTGGCTTAGGCTTGGCTTAGGCTTGGCTTAGGCTTGGCTTAGGCTTGGCTTAGGCTTGGCTTAGGCTTGGCTTAAGCTTGGCCTCGGCTTGGCTTAGGCTTGGCTTAGGCTTGGCTTAGGCTTGGCTTAGGCTTGGCTTAGGCTTGGCTTAGGCTTGGCTTAGGCTTGGCTTAAGCTTGGCCTCGGCTTGGCTTAGGCTTGGCATTTAGGCGGCTTAGGGCTTGGCTTAGGCTTGGCTTAGGCTTGGCTTAAGGCCAGCTTAGGCTTGACATTTAGGCTTGGCTTAGGGCCATTAGGCCTGGCAGGCTGGCTTAGGCTTGGCTTAGGCCTGGCTTTAGGGCTTGGCTTAGGCTTGGCTAGGCTTGGCTTAGGCTTGGCTTAGGCTTGGCTTAGGCTTGACTTAGGCTTGGCTTAGGCTTGGCTTAGGCTTGGCTTAGGCTTGGCTTAGGCTTGGCGTAGGCTTGGCTTAGGCTTGGCTTAGGCTTGGCTTAGGCTTGGCTTAGGCTTGGCTTAAGCTTGGCTTCGGCTTGGCTTCGGCTTGGCTTCGGCTTGGCTTCGGCTTGGCTTCGGCTTGGCTTCGGCTTGGCTTCACTTGGCTTCGGCTTGGCTTCGGCTTGGCTTCGGCTTGGCTTCGGCTTGGCTTCGGCTTGGCTTCGGCTTGGCTTCGGCTTGGCTTCGGCTTGGCTTCGGTTTATGCTTGGCCTATGCTTAGGCTTGGCTTAGGTTTAAGCTTTCCTTGGGTTTAGGCCTCGGATTAGGCTTAGGCTTAGGCTTTGGCTTGGCTTATGCTTCATTTGCTTCTGCAAACCTATGCTTTCCGGCTTTTCATGCCATTGTCTATTGAAAAACCTATGTCAGACCCAGCCCCAGGACTGTTATAAAACATATTACATTTAATAACCAAATAAATTTACAATAATTTCCAGCGGATCCTTCTCTGACCTCCTCGCCCTCGTCGAACAGCTCCCGCAAATTCCAGCTGATCTCCGAGCCGGCAATCAGAAATCTACTACTGAGGCCGATCCCGAAAAAGCATGCCAACATGTAGAAATCCATTTTTTACTTAAAAATTGCCACTTTCTAGGCTCCCAAATCTGCAGCACACGATGGCCTTGCCGAAGTTGAGGGATGAAATGGTGATCGGGCAAGGTGGTTCTTAAAACGCAGAAAATAGCTGGTCAGCCAGCAGAGATCCTTGAGGCGTGCTAGCAGAGAAAATCCAGGAATTGCGTCTAAATTCGCATTCCAGACAGCTTCGCCTTTATGCGCGGCCGGGAAATTCGGCGAAAACCGGTGAAGGCGACGAAAAGCGAGGAATATTCTTCGGAGGAATCGATGGAAGAGGATCCGGTTTGTTAGAGATGGGCTCCAATACCGTAGTCACTTTTAGGAAATTTCTCGAATTATGGCCGAGATGGGCGAGGCGAAGGCGGAGATACCAAAGGTTGGTTTTTGGGGATTTTTGGGGGGGGGGGGGGGGGGGGGGGGGGGGAGAGGGGGGGGGGGGGGGGGGGGGGGGGGGGGGGGGGGGGGGGGGGGGGGGGGGGGGGGGGGGGGGGGGGGGGGGGGGGGGGGGGGGGGGGGGGGGGGGGGGGGGGAAAAGTTAGAGTGAGAGAAAGAGCCAGAGTGAGAGAGAGAGAGAGAGTGAGGGAAACAACCAATTTTCCTCCATTTCCAGATTCCCGAAAATTTGATTGTACCCCATTTCGAGAAGCCTATCTACGACGTAAAAGCCCCGCTGGGAGGCTATAAAGTGCGTTTTTGACCGTTTGAGTTACAGTATCCCTTGGTACAGATGGCCTATCCACTTACCCTGCTCCCATTTGTCACCCAGCCCGGCAGTGAGGCCCCAATCTTCACCATCACCGAAGACCCAAGCCAGCTAATTCAAATCGGAAAGATCAGGCATAAACAGGTGGGTGTCAATGGGTGTATTGCGGAATCGAGTGATGCGGAGTTTCAGAAGGACTCGAAATCGATCACGTCGGTGGCGGTGGAATTGCGGCCTGGGGTGGAATTGAAGGAGGAGGAGATGAAGGTGGGCAAAACGGAGGGCAAGCTAGCGGCGATCCTTTAGGAAATGGAAATACCGTAGCAGGGCAGGCTAGCAGAGACCTCTCAGGAAATCTTTAGTAATATAAGCTCCATTCCAGGACGGCAAATACACATTCGGAATCAAGGGGCAAATTGGCGACCAGGAGGACACCACCATGGTTCGCCTTGGAGGGATTACGGTGGGGGAGGGCACTTTCTAGGGGTCAACACATTTCTCAGCCCCGACGGCCACCCGTCGATCCGGAATTCAACAAGGGTGTTGTCGAGATACCGACTCCAGGTGAGTTTTTAGAGAGTTCTCGCTCCCCCGCTAACAGTTCAGCACCCTAAAATTTATGTCAAGCTCTTGCCGATCCTTTAAAAAGGCTTTAAACTCCACAAATTTCAGTCCTCTCCTTCAAGGCGACCGGCGACACCAACGGTACCATATCCCTCGATGCCCTGCCAAACTTCGAGTTCACGGTCCAACGAGAAGGAGAGGTACATCCGGCTCCAAATTACGACCAAAATGTTCAGCAGCAAAATGACCCAATCAACCTGAGCATCAACTCGAAGCTGCTGCAGTTGACGGCCAGGCCAATCAGCCCTGGAGAGAAAGTTGGGCTGAGGCTCAATCCTGGGGCTGAACTTGTTGAGGATGAGCTGGTGACGGTAGGTGAAAATTACTTGTTCTAAAAGCAAATCCCAGATATCTGCCGAGTTGTTTGGAGAGCGTATCACCCAGAAGCTGCTCGTGAAAGCTAGAGCTCAAGAAGAGGTGGAGGGGTCTGGGAATTCGGTGCACGAAGGGGATCCTGGGGAAGAAGACGTCAGCGCCGCGACTGATGATCAACTCCTGCATTCCGAGCCGGAGGAGGCCAAGCAGGTCAGTTAGGCAATAGCAAATCAAAAGTTTTCGAATTCAGGTGGAAAACATGATAGAGACGACAAAACTTCGTGACGGGTCGACGTCGGAGGTTGTGGAGGTTTCGGGGATGAAGTCAGAGATGAAGGTTTGGATTCAGTTACGGTAGTAAATATGGAATTAGGAGTATGTTTTTACCGTCTCGGAGTCCGCGGAGGATGGGATGTTGGTCGGGGAGCTTGATGGGGATGCTGGATATAACTTGGTCGATGAAGGACCGTAGGTTCTCTATCTCTCTCTCTCTATCCGATCTCTCTCCTTCATCACTAGTTCATTAATCTTCTTCCCTATCTCCTCTATTTTATCCTTCTTTTATAGCTCCCCTCTCTCTCTCTCTCTCTCTCTCTTTCTCTCTCTTTCTCCTTTTCTCTCTCCCACGTATCATTTCAGATTCAAACTCGAAAACTCTCAAATTCTCCTGGATTGTCCCACCAAACCCTGCCTCGACTTTGAGCAGCAACGAAGCTACGACCTCCTTCTCCTTCCCATCGACGGTCCGTTTTTTATGTCCGAACCAGTCCACATTTTAGGTGAATACCACGAAGTTCCACGCCCGCTTCGAGTGATGATTAACGTCACCGACGAGGACGAGCACCCGCCCCGACTCGTCGTCCCAACCCACATGATCCGCATCAGCGACGGGGACCTGTTGTCGCCGTATGGAGTTGAGGTATTGTATCTTTATCTGGCTTTTTATTAATTTCTGTCAAGGTCGAAGATGATGACGGCAGCGACGAGAATATCGTAATTCTCGAGGGAGCGGCGGCCGATTTTCTCAGTTTGGAAAAGGTCGAGGACAAGCTTTATGAAATTAAGGTATGGCGTATTAAATTTTTAAATGCCATTTAAACCTTTAAATCGAGTTAATACACCCATTTTTAGTCAATCAAATCGGCACCAAGCGGCAAATTCGAGTTGCGCATCGTGGTGAAGGATCGGGCAGGGAAATTTGGAGATTCGGCGGAACGTGTCGTAGTCGAAGTGGCGGTAAGAGAATTTTTAAAGGCACTAGGAAGGGAAGCTTTTTTACCGGATTTTACCGCATTGATATGAACTATGCCTTTAAAGGTCCTTTCAAACCCCGCCAGGGCAAGCTGGCAAATTTCCGTTGGGAGCTTCCGAATGAAATCCTTAAACCATTTTTTCTATGAATTCCCGGTTTTAGAACACAAAGCCAAATGCCCACTTCCGGAAACCCGAATACGTTCTGAGCGTCCAGGCCACCGAGTTGAAGAGGTACAACGCACCTTAAACTCCGTAGTAATCAACTTTTTTAGCGATCAGCGCTTAGCAGAACCCGAGCTCGAGGGAATCCCGATCGATATGGTCAAATTTGTCATTTTGGGGTTTGTAGTTTGTAGCTATCGACGATATCGAATTCAGACGTGCGCCATCGTTTGTTAAAATCGACGACTACCATGGGCATGTGTTGGTTGGAAATTTGCCAAGGTCGGGTTTTTTTAATTTTTAGAGGCTTTACCATTTTTTTAATGATTTTGACAAAATTTCACTTTATCAAAACCCGTTTTTCCCAAATTTTTTCCGAAAATTCAACTTTGTCGGTATTTTCAGAAAAAATGGAATTTCTATATATTCGTCTGACCGAATTTTTTGAAAATAAATTCCGGCACGCTCATTTTCGAAAAAATGAATTTCGACATCAAAAACCTCTGAAATCTCCGAATTTCAGCGAGGGCCTCCGCACAGCCACCCACAACATCTCGATCGGAGCCGTCAAACGCCATACCGGCGAGATTGTCGCTAGATGCGAATTTTTGTTGACGGTAGATTGCTGTCTCGAGTAGTGTACCGTACCCTACTTTTAGATTCTAAACGGCAACCCGGCACTTTCACCGTTTACGGAGAAGGTCATCCACCAATCGTTTGACAGGGGTTCGTTTTGGAAGAGGGGGCAGGCTAGCAGAGATCCTTTGGGGGATCCGGCGGGATTAATTTAAGTTTAACCTAAAATTTTACTTATTTAAAATTTTCCAGAATCACTAGACGAAATTCGGATACCGCTACTGATGGAAGACTTGGAGGATGCAAAAGTGGAGAAAATACTTGGAATCGATGAGGATGGGTTCCAGAAGGAGATTGAGAATGTGGGAGAGAGGGGAGAGCGAGTGAGAGAGAGAGGGGGAGAGAGAGAGAGAGAGGGGGGGTGGGGGGGGGGGGGGGAGGGAGGGGGGGGGGGGGGGGAGGGGGGGGGGGGTTGGGTGGGGGGGGGGGGGGGGGGGGGGGGGGGGGGGGGGGGGGGGGGGGGGGGGGGGGGGGGGGGCGAGAGAACGAGACAGCGAGAAAGAGAGAGAGCGTTAGTGAAAAATAGTTGTAGAAAATGGGGGAGGGTGGGTTGGGGGGGGGGGGGGGGGGGGGGGGGGGGGGGAGAGAGAGGGGGGGGGGGGGGGGGGGGGGGGGGGGGGGGGGGGGGGGGGGGGGGGGGGGGAAGGGGGGGAGAGGGAGGGGGGGGGGGGGGGGGGGAGGGGGGGGGAGCGGGAGAGAGAGAGATAGAGTGAATGTACTTTTTTGCTCTTCAGAATTTCACCTCCGAACACTCCATCCGCATTCCCCGCTCAACATTCGCCAAACTCCGCCACCTCACCGTCGAGCTCTCCCACCGAAACCATTACGGTAACCACAACCCCGATCTTCAGAACCCATTTTTAGCCTCTTTCCTCACCACCCTCACTTCAACCCCTGAATATATTGCCGAAAAACTGAAAGCGGAAAGCCAGCCCCTCTTCATCCCGCCCTGGGCACCGAATAGCACACGGATTACGGTAGGTGGTCATCGCTATTCCGATAGAGTCCGCGGTTTTCAGCGCGATCTGCGTGAGGAGGCTCCGATTGGGTCAATCCTACTCGCCCTGCCGGCCAATAACCCGAAAAGCGGCGAGATGGTGACGGTGAAGATGTCCGGGAGGGATGCCGACAAGTTTTTGTTTGATCAGAAGACTGGTAGGTTCAATCGAGCGATCAGAAGATCAGAAGGGGCTGGCTAGGCTTCGGCTTCGGTTTAGGGCTGACTTCGGCTTGAGCTTAGGTGTGGGCTTACGCTTGAGCTTAGGCTTGTGTTTGAGATTGAGCTTAGGCTTAGGCTTAGACTTAGGCGTGGTTTAGGCTTGGGTTAGAAAGAGACCGACAGCTTTTTCCAGGTTCAATCACCATCAATTCCCGGCTAGACTACGACAGTCTGAAACCAACCCAACGCACCCTCGAGCTGATTCTCGAAGCCGGCGACCCAGGCTACGTCTCCAAAGCCGAGATTTTTGGTTTGGCATCGGATTCTCTAAAAGTCTACCCTTTTTAGTGCACCTAAAAGATATCGATGACAATGCGCCAATGTTTATGACGAGTGGAGTGCCAAAAGAAGTGAGAAAAGCAGGAATTCTGGCTAAATTGTCAGTTTCAGCTTGACCTCTCCGAAGACACGGCCCCCGGCACCGAGCTGTTCAAGCTGGAGGCCATCGATCTGGACGAGGTCTCGACGGGAAAACTACTCTATTCGCTGGCCGGCCACGGGCATGAACACTACGAAATAAAGGAGGTAGGTTTTTGATACTTTGTTTGGTAAGGTTGACGTTTTGATTTTGTGCTCACTTTTTTGCTCATTCCGGATCCGGAATTAAAAATTTCAAAACTTTATGGTTAAAAAGTCAAAGGTCCGTTTTCGCGCTCAAATCACCGAAAATTTTGGTCGAACGTCATGCGCCTTTTAAAACAAACTGGAGTGCCTAAGAATGGCAAAAATTAGCATGCCAAACCTGTGAAAGGTAACTTCCCTAAGAATCTCTGCTAACTGCCGCTCAACTCGACCAGTAAATTCCAAATATTCCGTCAAAAACTCCCACAATTTCAGAAAAACGGCTCTATGGTCTTCCAAGTGGCCCCGAAGGCGGATTTGGATCGAGAAATGGGTGCTGAGCACTATTTGGTCCTACGAGTCGAAGATCCCGCCGGAAATCGCGACGAGATTACGGTAGCGCCCAAAAAATACCGTAACCTACAGACACTCGTTTAGTTGACCCTGTCGCTCCTCGACGCCAACGACAATACCCCGGCCTTTGATGAGGGTCCCGATGGGTTCGAAGTTACGGTAAGAGCCTTACAATCCGCTCCAACTACCGTAACCCTTCTAGGTAGTGGAGAATTGGCCAATTGGAGCGTTTATCGATCGATTCGAGGCGAGGGATGCGGATCAGGGGCAGAGGATCAGCTATAGTCTCCAGGGTGATGGGGCGGAGAGTAAGTCGGGGACCTTTGAGTTTAAAAGGGACTGGAGAATCTTTTTTTTCCTACAGTATGCTAAAAAGGCGATGTTTTAGAATTCGATGTCGATCCGGTCACGGGTGTGTTGAGGATTGGGGCGGATTTGGCGGGGATGGCCAGTCCGGAACCGTACTCCTTGCAGTTGGTGGCCGAGGATGACGGTGGGATTTTCAGAAGAGAGAGAGGAGAGAGAGCGTGAGAGACAGCGAGCGAGAGAGCGCGAGCGAGAGAGAGATATAGTGGGAGAGACAAAGAGAGAGAAAGCTGATAGAAACCGCTACATTTCAAAATCCTTTTTAAACCACACAGTCCCTTTAAAAGACCCCTATTTTCAGGAGAACCCTCCTTGAATACGACGGTACCCCTCCGCATCCGCATCCTCGTCCCACAGTATATTGCCAACTACGGACGCGACACCGTCGAGTACACCCGGCCAGCCAACGACTTTGTGCTCCGACTGCCGGAGGTAATCAGAAACTTTAGCGGTATGAAGGAGAAAGAGAGAGAGAGATAGAGAGAGGGAGGGAGAGAGAGAGAGCGAGTCTGAGAATCGGTCGAGAGCGAAAAAGAGACGTAAGATATCCCCCAAATTTTAGAACACCCCGATCGGGAAGGTCGTCTACAACGTGATGGCCATCAGGCGAGCCGATGCCGGCAACTCGTCCGAGCGCATCAAGTACACGGCTACGGTACGTTCAATTTTTTTGGTAAAATTAAAGTCACTTTCCCCTTAAACTGCGAATTCGGCTGTCACTGTCCCTTTAAAAGTTGCTTCCAGCCCCTCTCATCCGCCGATGAGGGATATCTGGATGTGGACGAGCGAACGGGAGATATTTTCGTAACGGGGGCTCTCGATTACGAGAAGCTCCGTTTTATTACGGTAGGTAATTTTGGGGGAAAAAGCGATAGGGCGAACAGACGAACAAAAACGCCTCTAGTGTTCGATGTTTTGGGCATGGAATGTTGTTTTTCGAGCAGAAAAAAAAACGAGTAAGAGAGGGAGAGAGCGAGAATGAGAGAGAGACAGAGGGGGAGAGATCGACAGACATACAGACAATAGGAATTCCATCTGGATCTACAGATCGCGGCGAGTGAGCATGACAAAGCTTCTCGGGTGAAGGATTCCAGATTGCTCCCGTCCGAAAAAGCCTACGTTCCGCTCCTAGAAACGAACAGACGAAAGCCAGAGGCTTGCTTATTTTTGCCCTCGTTTTTCTATCACATTTTTATAACGTATTTTGAATATCAACTTATTTTTATTGCCTTTTTGGTATGTTTTTCATGCTAATTTTGCCAGGCAATCGAGCAGCGATCATTTGGGAATCGGTGATTTCGTACAAATCCCGAATTTTTTTGGAAAAAAGCCGCAGTGACTCGATTTCTCTCTCTCTCTCTTTCTCGTCCTCTCTCTCTCTCCTCTCTCCCCTCTCTCTTGCTCTCTCTCTCTCTCTTCTCTCTCCCAGTCCAAAAACTCTACAAAACTAGAGTTCACCTACCGCTTTCAAAGAGATGTCCGTTCCATTCCTTGTCAACAGAATGTTCTACGTAGCGAAGCGCTTACCCAAGAGATCAACCCCTATTTTTTCGCCCCCCCCAATAGTCCGGCTATAATCCGGAAAAACGTCTGTGGTTTTGCAAACGGTTTTCACGCGTCCCCCCCCATCACTTTCTATTTGCCGCGCTGATTTGTGCGGAAAGGGGGAGGGTGACTGGGTATGTGTGAGGGGGTGGCCATTAGAGTGGAGCCATTTTGTCATTTTTGAGGGGTAGTGGTCTAGGTTTATGTAATTTTATGGTTTTTCCTTGGTATGGTCTATCTATATTAGACACCCTCTCTCACTCTCACTTTTGCTCTCTCTCTCTCTCTGTCTCTCGCTCTCTCTCTACCTAGTTCTCGCCCTCTGCATCTCTCGCTCTCTACCGCTCTTTCTAAATCAACATTTTCTGCTCACGCACTCTCTAAAATTGAAATATATTTTCTATTTTAACCCCCACCCGTAATTCAGTTGCCATCCAAATCCCACCTAGCTCGACTACCCTACTACGCAACGTTACTGTTTCCACTTGATCTGGGGGATAAAGCCTGCCACCCACCGGCCGAAACGGGACTTTCGACCCCCGCGCGCATGCCGGAGGACAAAAGCTATCCGCCGCTTTGGCTGCCAATCCCTCAACACAATGGGGGGCTAGCAGAATGGCTTTGGGAAAGGAAGAGGGGGAAGGGATGGGAATGACTGGATATTCCCACAATTATAGAGGATAGGGGGTAGAATATGCCCCCGGGATATAACAGGATAGCGGGGGAATTGTATAATATTTTTTTTTAAAATTTTTAAAAAATTTTAAATTTTGAAAAAAGATTAAAAAAAAGGTGGGGGGAGGAGAAAAAAAAAAAGGGGGAAAATTAATAATTATTTAAAATATTAAAAATTTAAAAAAGGGGAAGGGAGAAAAAAAGAAGAAAAAGGGGAAAAAAAAAAAAAAAAAAAAAAAAAAAAGAGAAAAAGGAGAAAAAAAAAATTAAAAAAAAAAAATTTTAAAAAAAAAAAAAATGGGGGGAAAAAAAAAAAAGGGGAAAAAATTAAAAAGAGAAAAAAAATTTGAAAAAAGAATTTTTAAAAAAAAAGGGGGGTTTTTTTTTTTTTTTTTTTTTAGGTTAAAAGTGGGGGGGAAGGGGGGAAAAAAAAATAAAAAAAAAAAAAAAATGAAAAAATAGAAAAAAAAAAAAAAAAAGGGGGGCCCCAAAAACAAAGGTTTGGGATTTTTTGAGGGGAATGGGGAAAAAAGGAAAGGGAGGCGACCCGGGCCAGGAGAAAACCAAGCGGAAGCATAGGAAATTTTTATTTATTTTAAAAAATAAAATTTTGAAATAAAAAATAAAAAAATTTTAAAAAAAAAAAGGGGAAAATAAAATTTTTTCTTCTCCCCTTGCGTTGATCGGCAATTTTTTTTGGGTTGAGAGGGAGCGAGAGAAAGAGAGAGAGAGTGCGAGAGAGAGCGAGAGTGATATTCCATGGCCGTCTTGATTTTGTTTTTGGCTCCGTTTCTATGCTTCTGTTCCAATACCCCGAACGACCTGATAAAAACGATGGGTACCTTGGGTAAATATCGTCTTCATTCTCTCCCTCCTCCTCTCTCTCTCTCTCTCTCTCTCTCTCTCTCTCTCTCTCTCTCTCTCTTTCTCTCTCTCTCTCACACACTCATAATCTCGTCTATCTCACTACACGCCCTTCCAATCAACATTTACCCCTCGGCTTTTAGCCACCCGCCCCGACACATGATTCCCCGGCTCGATCGCGCGGTTTAGAGGGATGGTCACTATCAAAATGGCCCTGAAGCATTATTCCCCAATGATCCCTGCTAGCCCCCTCGCTTTAATGCCTCAATGAGCATTCGCGAAACGCCACTCAATTTCCCGCCCATCGACATGACGGGGGTGAACTGTTTTGACGGGGCCGAAAATGGGCAGACTCCATTTTTCGGGCCGTTTCTGGGATGCGTTTTCGATATTCAGATATTTATGGCATGTAATTTTATCATTTTTTTGTGTCAAAACAATTCTCAGAGTTAATAAGCGTGTATTTCTACTTTATAAATTATTTTGATAAAGAACAAAAGTTTTTAAAAATTTTTTTGATCTTTAAGGGGTTAAGAAATATTTTGAAGCGTATTTATCCCAAGAAAGATGTTATTTTAGCTGATTTTCCAAAAGCATTTTAAGTTGAAAATAAGCGTACAGGTAGTAAATAGGGGGGGAAGAAGAAAAAAATTCTAGGCAATTTGCCAACCCCACCACAAAAACCATTTATTTCCCCGCGCTTCTTGCCCCCCAAAAATTACCCTCCCCCTCAAACGGTCACTGTTTAGCGGCGAGCGGGGAAAAGGAGAGTGCCCGAATTGTCCATCCCGTTCAGAAATCGAATTTTCTGGGGAAAAACTTCCATTTACCCGTTGCGAGATACCAGAATTTGGAGCAAGGAGGAGGAGGAGGAGGAGATGGAGAATTATTCCAGGGCCGCCTATTCCCTTTGATGCACCCAAATCGCCGGTTTCGAGCGGGGGCGCGGGGGCGATAGATTGAGCCATTTATGGCCATCATCACCAGTCCGATTTTTGAATAGTCGCTGCTGGGGTTGAGGGCCTACGGAACTTTAAACCGTTTAGAAAAAAAAAATTCTCCTTTGGGGAAGGGTTTTATTTTTTTAAAAATTGAAGACTCGGGTCAAGAATGCAATCTCAAAGCGTATGGTACACAGTACGTCGCAGTACTCCGCGTTTGCGCCCTCATTTATGTCGTAGCTCATTTTTACGTCTCCACTCATTTTTCGCGTGGCAAGATACATTTTGCGTCGTGGCGTACCGTAACGGAGCGTTGCGTACGCTAGTGCGTTCCAACGTACTGATGCGTACTGTGTCGGACTGCAGCTCATTCTGACCTGTTCCAGCGTACTCTGGCGTGATCTAGCCGATTTTCGCGTTGTATAGCGTATTTTTGCGTATCATTTCTTCCGGGTCTAACGTACGAACAAGGACATATGGTGGCATGCATTTCCCTGTCGTGACCGAGCGTACCGTAATTTATTTTAACGTACTGTAGCGTATCCTTGCGTACTGTGTCCAAATCTAGACTACTATGACTTCTTTGCGTATTGAAGTACGTAGTCTCGAACATACTCTAGCGTACAGTATCATCCTTATCTCTATCGCACCCAAGCGTAGCGTAATCTGGCATACTCTAACCTAGTCGGTGCCCATTTTTTTTCATTTTTCAGTTTTCCGGAGCTTCCTACGCTCCAGCAAAAATCTATTAAAAGCTAGCAAACCCTAGGCCCAGCACAAAAACTCTGGTACGCAGAAAAAACAGAAAAATTTTGACCTACCGGCCGGGATAAGTGTTCGGGTTGTTGACCTAGCGGATACGAGATATCATGGAGATCACTCGATTAGATATCTACTGCCACGTCGAGAAGCTGTTTGTCCTCTTCTTCTTTCCCAAAAGAATCCACTCAACTGGGTGAGCCATGTTGGCAAATAGTGGTTCCGTGTCTCACCGGATATTCCATCCATCCTGCTATCCCCCCGACGATTTTGATTTTCTCATCTTTACTTATGTTTCTTTAACCTTTTTCCTTGGATTTGGCTTGAATATGCCTTGAGGCTGGTTGAAATTCGTCTGTTAGGTCAAAAGATGCGTATTCGCAACGTTAAGGCGGGGGGCAACTTTTTGGATCTTATGCATTATCGGGGGGTGTAGTATCCAATTTTTCTAATATAAACTACGGAAGTGCCTAAACCGTTTTTACTATCCCTAAGCGTGATAACGTTGCCTGTTTTAGGAAAAAATGCAAAATGGCGGTTTTTCGACCAAATTTCGATTCAAGGTTTTTAGCTCGTTTTAACACTGTAAATACAGTTAGAGTTTATTAATATCACTATTAAAACATTTTTTATACGTTTTTAGGAATTTTTGAACCTATAAAAAATTCAGGCTCTCGCCGAACCCCCCCCAAATAATGCCAAAGCGCCCAGAATCCATTGCGATTCTGCCCTTTCCCGGCCCTTTCAAACTCGGTTTTTTCGTTTTCCGTCGGTCAAAAGACGGCTGGGCGCACTCGATCGCGCCTCCAATCCAACACACGCAAAAAAACGTTTTCACGAAAAATAGGTGCGGGTGGAAATGGAGTATTTGCACAAGAGCCCCGGCCAAGAATTGGAACGTGTTGCCCATGTTCGGGTTTTTTTGAAGGGATGGGATCTCTATTTTCCCCCAGATTCCTCGACGCCCATCTACCCCCGTTTTTAGATGACAAGTAAAAAAATTCGGGCAATTCGGATGGGATGGGTGGTATTTGCATGCCAGCAAAAAGGAAGCGCCCCGTTTTTGGGGGTGGAATCCTGGCGGGGTGTATTTGCCCTCCTCGGTGATGACGTCCACACTTTAGAAAAAAAACGGCAAATACGAAGAATGGAATCGCAGGGCGCATAAAATTTCGGTTGGCATAATGCCAGTCCCGTTGAATTGGTCGGCACTTCTAGGTGTGAAAATTGGAGGCGGAGAGGGATCCTAAGCCGAAGCCTAACCTAAGCCTGCCTAACGTAAGCCTAAGCCTCCTAAGCCGAAGCCGAAGCCTAAGCCTACACTGAAGCCTAAACCTAAGCCGAAGCCTAAGTCTACTAACACTAAGCCTATGCTTAAGCCTAAGCCTCATCTAAGCAAAAATTATGCGATTGCAGGTGTCGTATTGAAGCGTACAATAGCGTACTATCGTGCCGCTTGGCGTACTGTTGCGTACTCTAGGCCTGTAAATCGTGCGGTAGCTACGGTAGCGGGCCTACGTAGCCGACAACGGCCTAGAATAGTGTACTATATCGTAGTGCATTGTGTAGTTTAGCGTACCGCAGCGTACGCCATCATACCGTAAGATAACGTAGTGTAGCGCACTGTAGAATAGTTACAAGCCCAGTCTGAACAGAGAAGTTCCCAAAAAACCTCTGCTAGCCCCCCCCCGCCTTGACAACCCGGAAACAGCTTCCCACCCACTAATGCGCGAAAATCCCCGCGTGTTTGGGGTGCTTTTCCCTTTTTGGGGGTGGCCTTTGGGCGCTACGGTAGGCGGGGCATCCGATAGAGGAGCCAGAAAGAGGCGAGAGAGAGAGAGAGAGAGAGAGAGAGAGATCGGAGAGAGTTGCCGATCGGAATTCGGGGATCCTCAGCCGACCCCACCCCCTCCCTAGCCTGCCATTCTGCCATTCTGCCTCGGCACCGAGAACCGAACCCCCCCCCCCGATCCATTTCTCTGCTCCATCTGGTTGCGGTAAGGTTTTTACGTTTTTTGGATTTTTTAATGGTATGTGCTAGCCTGCCAGTTGCTGTAAATAAATTGCATATGATCTCAGCTATCCCCTCGTACGCCAAGCATCCAAAAAATTTCCTGAAATGATTCTGCTAGGCTGCCAACTTTTTTTGTTATTCAGTTTCTTTTCGTGTTTTACAAATCCCATCTTTAGATTCCATTTTCTTCATCCGCCGAGCTTAATAAGAAACAGAAGGCGGAGGTGGCGCGACCGGAATGGAGAAGCTGGAGAAACGGATCGGAAGAATATGGAGGAGGGTTCGAAGGGGAGGAAGAGATGATGAAGGGAGGAGGGGTGTTACGGTAGGTAATTCGAGAATCGCAAGCGTTAATCGTCAGCGATCGAGTTCCCTAGGGATCTCTGCTAGATTGCCTAGTTCGCTTCTCGAAAGCTAAATCCCAACATCCGATAACCTGATAGAAAAAACTCCGGCGTATTCTTGACGCTATTTTGGATACCACTCCCTATTAGACTGCTATTTAGCATGCCGGCTGGCTGTCATTTTGGTTGTCGGCATTTTGGTTGTCGGCATTTTGGCTGTCGGCATTTTCCCTGCCAGGATTTCGAATGTCGTCATTTTGTGGTTTCCTTCCAAAAAGATCCCTGCTAGCCCGCCCTGACAACGCGAATTTTCCAAAACCTGCAAATAATCTTTGCTAGTTGCCATTCAAGAGTTCAGAAAGGGCTAATTCCTTAAGAATCTCGCCTTTCGAGGTTCTGCGGTTACATGATAATTCCTCAACGATCACTGCCAGTCCGCTGCTTTCCTCAATGATCCCTACTAGCCTCCCAATTGTGACGTTTTTAGTTCAAAAGTACGCGCGGCTCCAAAACACGGTCGTTTTCTATTTTCCTTACTCTTTTTGGGCTCGAAATCCTCTTGTTGCCTGGGGGTATGTTTGTCCTCTTTTGGTGAGCCATCTCTCTCTCTCTTTCTCTCTCCTCAATTGAAGGACATAGCCCCCCATTTTGGACTTATGCCGGTCAGGAGACTAGTCTTTACGCAGTCAACTGTTCACTGCAAAAACGTGTTGAGGGATGGGGGGTAGGAGGGAGTAGCTGGCTGGTGAGTAAAAATAGACATATAGCCCTGACCGGCTGCTGCTGGCTGCATGTTGAGTGGTCAGCAAAAAAGTGCGCAAAGAACCGGGTTAAAACGATTAGCCAATGTGGACTTTGGCCGCCCGCCGTTAAAAACTGGCCAGCTGGCAGTGATCCTTTGTGGATGTTGAGACTGAGCTAAAAGGTTTTCTTGAAAAATTCTGGGTACGGGGCATGCTAGCAGAGATCCTTGAGGAATTCGTCTGACGGGGGCAAACTAGCAGAAATTCTTTGGGAAGCTAAAAATATAGGTGGCAAGCCAGCGGAGGTCTTTTAAGGAAATAGATGCATTAGCAGATTTTTGGAGGAATTCTTAACGGGGGCAACCTAGCAGAGATCCTTTGAGGAATTTGCCTGCAGGGGCAAACAAGCAGAGATTTTTGAGAATTTCAAAGGACACCCGACAACAATCCCAATTGACTGCCCTTTCAGTCGACATCAAGAACACCAAAGCTAATGGCAAATGACCCGAGCCCGGGGAGGTCAAAGAGTCCCGGCGTCACCAACCGTATCGTCATCCATTTGCGCCAGAAGCGGGACGGCGATTTTGATCAGGCGGATTTACACACCGTTGTTCCAAAGGTTTGTTTGAGCATGAGCTTCAGCATGAGCTTCAGCATAAGTTAGAGCTGAAGCTCATTTTCAGCTCGTCGCCTCCGAACTTGCCGCTCCGAATAAAAAGCCCCAACGATCTCTGGAGACCAAACCGCCACGCCTCATTCGTGATTCGTCGGAAGAGCGGGAGAATAAAAAACCACAAAAAAGGCAGGCATTCAATTATTTACTCCAAATATCAATTTTAGCGAATTCATAGAGGTGGAAAAGAGGAGCTCCGGAATTCTCAGGAGGCAGAGCTCAAAACGCAGCGAGTACGTGACAAGCTCGGATGACGGGCCGGGGATACGAGACAAAACGATGAACATCTATTTGCCGGGTGGTACCGGGCTTACCGGAAGGCAACCAGAATCCGGAGAAGCTGGAAAGGAACGAGCCGGGATTCTGAAGAATGGGGCCGGAAAGAAGAGAACATCTACCATGAGCTCTGGATCTTCAATGGGCAGCCCGCCGGGGAGAAAGTGGAGTGCAGGTTTGTAATGATTAAAGGCAAACTCGCAAAGATTCTTGGAGGCGCAAGTAAAATCTAAACAATCTCTTTCAGGAAGTCAAACCGAGCTGCATATCCGAATCCCAGACTCCCCGCCCTCGTCAGCCTCCCTATCGCTCCTCTCTTCTGGCCCTCGTCCATCGATTCGCATTGTCAGACAGGATCCAGATGATTCGAGTGGCTATGAGTCGGGCTATTTATCCCATATCGATCTCAATACTCCGGATCTACTTTCGAGGTGAGCAGCAATCGGATTATTATCAAACCAGATGGTTCCAGTCGCTTCGCGACTGTAACCATCTGGCCTTCGGGCTACCCTTCATTTCATACACCATCACACCATCCCTACCCTCCCAAAATACCCCCGCTAATGGCTACCGATACCTCCCCTAGCCGAAATCCCCTTCAAAAACTACCTAAATACCTTCCTGATGGCTTCAGATACCTCCCCTAGCCGAAAAACCCAAAACACCTAAAACCCCGATGGCTCGATACCTCCCTAGCCGAAAAACCCTTCAAAAACACCTAAATACCTCCTGATGGCCAGATACCTCCCCAGCCGAAAAACCCTCAAAAACTACCTACAACCTTCCTGATGGCTCAGATACCTCCCTAGCCGAAAAACCCTTCAAAAACACCTACATACCTCCTGATGGCTCAGATACCTCCCCTAGCCGAAAAACCCTTCAAAAACACCTAAATACCTCCTGATGGCTTCAGATACCTCCCCTAGCCGAAAAACCCTTCAAAAACTACCTAAATACCTTCCTGATGGCTTCAGATACCTCCCCTAGCCGAAAAACCCTTCAAAAACTACCTACATACCTCCTGATGGCTTAGATACCCCCTAGCCGAAAACCCTTCAAAAACACCACAACCTTCCTGATGGCTTTAGATACCTCCTAGCCGAAATCCCCTTCAAAAACTACCTACATACCTCCTGATGGCTCAGATACCTCCCTAGCCGAAACCCCTTCAAAAACTACCTACATACCTCCTGATGGCTTCAGATACCTCCCTAGCCGAAAAACCCTTCAAAAACACCACAACCTTCCTGATGGCTTAGAAACCTCCCCTAGCCGAAACCCCTTCAAAACACCTACAACCTTCCTGATGGCTCAGATACCTCCCCAGCCGAAAAACCCTTCAAAAACTACCTACATACCTTCCGATGGCTCAGAACCTCCCTAGCCGAAAAACCCTCAAAAACTACCTAAATACCTCCGATGGCTCAGAACCCCCTAGCCGAAAAACCCCAAAAACTACCTAAATACCTTCCTGATGGCTTCAGATACCTCCCAGCCGAAAAACCCTTCAAAAACTACCTAAATACCTTCCGATGGCTTCAGATACCTCCCCAGCCGAAAAACCCTTCAAAAACTACCTAAATACCTTCCTGATGGCTTCAGATACCTCCCTAGCCGAAAAACCCTTCAAAACACCTAAATACCTTCCTGATGGCCAGATACCTCCCTAGCCGAAAAACCCTTCAAAAACACCTAAATACCTTCCTGATGGCTCAGATACCTCCCAGCCGAAAACCCTTCAAAAACTACCTAAATACCTTCCGATGGCTTCAGATACCTCCCTAGCCGAAAAACCCTTCAAAAACTACCAAAACCTTCCGATGGCTTCAGATACCTCCCCTAGCCGAAAAACCCTTCAAAAACACCTAAATACCTTCCTGATGGCTTCAGATACCTCCCTAGCCGAAAAACCCTTCAAAACTACCTACATACCTTCCTGATGGCTTAGATACCTCCCCTAGCCGAAATCCCTTCAAAAACTACCTAAATACCTTCCTGATGGCTTTAGATACCTCCCTAGCCGAAACCCTTCAAAACTACCTAAATACCTTCCTGATGGCTTTAGATACCTCCAGCCGAAACCCCTTCAAAAACTACCTAAATACCTTCCTGATGGCTTAGATACCCCCTAGCCGAAATCCCCTTCAAAAACACCTAAATACCCCTGATGGCTTAGATACCCCCAGCCGAAACCCCTTCAAAAACACCTAAAACCTTCCTGATGGCTTAGATACCCCCTAGCCGAAACCCTTCAAAAACACCTAAATACCCCTGATGGCTTAGATACCCCCCAGCCGAAATCCCCTTCAAAAACTACCTACAACCTTCCTGATGGCTCAGATACCCCCCAGGCTGAAATCCCCTTCAAAAACACCTAAATAACCCGATGGCTCGATACCCCCCAGCCGAAACCCGTTAAAAAACGAAAATAACGACCGACCGGATGGAATGAGAGAAAAAGAAATGAAATTCCCCGTGAAAATTTTCACCACGAAACGCGCGGACCTGGCCACATGCGAAAATCGGCAACCCCGTCCCCCCACCCCTACAAGGAAAAAACCAAAGTAATTAATAAAAATTAAAACTTCAAAACAGTTTGGGGTCTGACCATGCCTATCCGAACCGAGAGAGCAGCTCTAGCCCTTCCCCCGAGTTGAACTGGGACTGACCACGACACGCGGACGACACCAGCAATTATTTTCAAATGTCGATATTTTGGGACCCTAAAATGTCGAAATTTCGCAATGCCGAAAACGCCGCAGCTCAAGGTTCCAAGAGACGATAGAGAAAACGCGAGAGTGAGAGAGGGAGAGAGCGAGAGAGAGATGGAGAGACAGCTAGAGAAAGCGAGAGAGCGAGAAAAGGCGAGATTGCGAGAAAAAGCGAGAGAGCCATGGAGGGAGAGCGAGAGCGAGAGAGAGAGACGCAGGGTTACAGGGAATTCCTCAAATCCAGAGAAAAAATGCCGGCACTATGAATTTCGGCATTGTCAAGCCTCGACATTCCGATATCGTTTTGTCTACCCCATGATTAGTCGCCATTCTGTCATCATCAACAATCCAAAAATTGGAACCAATTCTCCTCAAAGGGATCCATATGGCTGAAAGTTTCAGGCCCGGTTCGGAACTACAGCGGCCAGAATCTCGCCAATTAAAGGAGCCGGGAAGGCGGCCATACCGGGCCGAGTCCCACGACGAGATACGGGCATTCCGGAGCCCGCCGGACGCGCCGGGATCGCTCGCCCGTTCAGCCACCGCCTCGCATATTGGGCTGAGCGAGCAGTTGGTGTCCGGATTACGGTAAGTGGACTGTCATTTTTTAGTCTTTTTGAATCAACTATTCGATCAATTACACACGGTCTATTAATGCGCGAATGCATACCTCAACTACGCTACTGTACTTATTTTATCCTCTCAGCAACCGCATCGACAAGACCAAGTTCATCACGTGCACATTCGAGGCGGCAAACGCAGGGCTGGATACGGTGCTGCCGGATGTGGTACAGGAATTGAAGAGGTACGCAGGGGACCAAAAGACAATTATTCAAGTTTTATGGCTATTTTAATGTTATATTAATAGGTGGATCGACGGGAGGGCGCTGGGGATTGCGTGTGAATTGCATTGGACGGTGCCCGAAAAGTTTAGAAGTCGAATGGATGAGTGCAGGTGAGGAAAAAGGAAAGAATATAAAATAAGTTGATTTTTGTTTATAGGGACAGGCTCAGGGTTAGGCTTCGACGTTGGCTTGGCTTAAGCTTAGGCTTACGCTTATGCTTATGCTTAAGCTTAGACTTCGGCTTAGGTTATGCTTAGGATTAGGCTTAGACTTATGCTTAGGCTTAAGCTAGGCGTAGACTTAGGCTTAGACTGGCTTCGGCTTAGGCTAAGGCTTGGGCTTAGGATCAGGAACGCTAAGACTTAGGCTTGGGCTTAAGGCTTACTAGGGAGGTATCTGAACTCGGCATCGAACTTTTGAGAAGTCAGATACACCATTCGACGCGCCTTGTCGAGGGGATTCCAAATATATAATAAAATCAACCAGAGCGTATAACCGTAAAAAGTTATGAGCATTCAAAGTCTGCAAAATGGTGAAAAAACAGTATCTTTGAGACCCTGTATCATCCCGCGGAATGGAATTTAGTCTAAACTGATTAGTATTCCTGATTATTACATATTTGGAATTCCCTTGACAAGGCGCGTCGAATGGTGTATCTGACTTCTCAAATTTCGATGCCGAGTTCAGATGCCTCCCTAGTTAGGTTTGGGATTAGGCTTGGGCTTGGATTGGCATTCGTAATCGATTCCCCCACCCTCCCCCTTTCAACCAGTTCCACTACGGGATCGGGGGCTGCCGTTCGAGTGGCCACTTCCACCGCGTGTTTTCCGGACGCGAGAGAGAGAGAATGAGAGAGAGAGCGCGAGAGAGAGACTATGTAATGTATACACTGGAAATCGAGCCATCGGGTTGCCCCCGTTTTGGGGCCGGTATTCACCCTTGAACCCCCCGTTGACGCACCACCGATTTTTGGGCTGCTAAAAAAATTGCTCGAACTTTAAAGGGACTTGGAAGGCTTAAATCCATAAGGAACTATGATATCGAAAAATAGAGAGAGAAAAAAAATCAAAATCAAAAAATCACTCCCCCCCGTAGACTAAAAGAAGCTGTCCACGCCGTGCTCCGCGAGAACAACCGAGCCGTCCTCCGGGCAGAAGATGAGGCCGGCGACGTGAAGCTGTCCAGCGATCGCCTGGCCGAATCGAATACGCGGGAGAATCAGCGGAGAAATCAGAGGAATGATAGTTTTGAAGGTAAGTTTCTCCAACAATCGCTGCTAGCCACCCCCTATCAAAATATCGCAGTAATTGCCGCCGAAGTCCTCAAGGACAATGAGTCATGCTCAGATGCTCATGCTCAGAATGACGCTTGTTTTGCCAAAACGTTGTATTTTTAGGTGTCTACCAGCGCTGTTACATCCATCTCCTGCCATACTGTCACCACGACACTGCACATTGGCATCATCCGTACTGGGATTGGGAGAGTCTCGATCGGAATATGCCGGTGGGGTCGAGGAAATTGAGGATTTTCAATAATCTCTGCTAGCCTGCTTCGATTTTTTGTCTAAATGCCCCCATTCAAATAAATGTTATATGACCTCGCTTCCAGATCCTTCCCCACGCTGAACTCTTTGCCGCCCGGGACACCGACCCGAAGACGTCGACGATTCTAGCGCTGCACGTCGTCTCCCTTCGCCTCCGCCGCCCTCGCGCCAAGTCAATGCACCATCTCGCCCAGTCAACATGACCTTAAGTGGGCTGGGAATTGCAATTTTTGGCTCCTAAGTGCCTTGAATTACCGTATGACGCTTGTGATTGCAATATGACCCATTTTGTGATTTTTAAAAAAGCTTCCGGTTTATACTACGCAATTTGATGGGCATAAGGAAGCGAGAGAGAAGGGGAGAGAGAGAGAGAGAGAGAGAGAGAGAGGGAGAGAGAAAGAGAGAGAGAGAATTTTCTGCCCCTTTGAATCCTATTTTCCGGGTACAAAAATAAGATAAATGCTTTGCTATCCCGTGCCCCACAAGATACCGTATCCACACAATACCATAAAAGGAGTACAAATATATAAAAAACCCGATTTTAGCAGATTTTTCGGTGTTTCAGTTGCTCCTCCGAGCCGAGCACCCCCTATTCGAAGACTCGGCCGATGAGCGTCTCCTCCGTGTCGATCTCATTGATGTAGATGACAACCAACCACAAATTATGCAGGTAATTCGGTTTTATAGGGTCTGGAAAGGAGAAATCTATTAATGCGAATTCATCTGGGAATCGGGCAAATAATACTTCTCCATTAATGCGGGACCGTTCAGAGCCCGTACACCGTATTCCCAGCTCCTCTACCGGCCGGCGAAACAACGAAAATTGGGCGCATCGCGGCGTTCGACCTCGACGCCGAGCCGTTCAACCACATCACCTACCATTTGATGCCAAAATGTTGGAGGGGGGGGCTAGAGAATTCACCCACATTTTAGGCAATCAGCAATACCCTGAACTTGTTGAAGTCGACGCGGCCACTGGGGTGCTATCATTTACGCGGGAGGTTCCGAAGAGCGTCGCCGAGTTCGAGACGTTCTGCGTACTGGCCAGGTAGCTTAACAAGAAAAATGGCATCTATTGGGCTAGATAATCTATCAGATGCAGTTTTTTGCGCTGATTCTGAATCTGTACTCAAAAATTTCCTACAAACTATGGTTTTAAAGATACAGGCATTTTCATAGAAAAATTTCACGGCTACCAGCTAAAAACTCCAGAAAAATCTTGGAAACTATAGTTTTTACTAAAAATGGAATACGTATTCGAAACAAGCGCGAAAAACTGCGTAAAATACGTTATTTAACCAAACACATTCCACTTATTTCAGCCCGTACGAAACAGCGCACGTGTCCCGCCTCGAGTACTCGCCCTCAAATTCCTCGATGCTCCGCTTCCGATTGCATTTTGTGGCCGACCACTTCCACTTCCCTCAGATGCCATTCAGGGCTAATAATACGGTGCTGACCATCGGTACTGTACTTTTCAAGGCTTTGGTAATCGACTGAATAGACCCCGACTTCGAGGAGTTGCGCTTGCCGTTGGCCCCGCCCCATAACGTACCAGCCAATGTCAGCTTTGCGATTCGGGAATTCAGCTTTGAACCGTAAGTAGGGAGGGGTAGAGAGAGAGAGAGAGAGAGAGAGAGAGAGAGAGAGAGAGAGAGAGAGAGAGAGAGAGAGAGAGAGAAAGAGATAGAAAGAGAGAGAGCGAGAGAGAGAGCAAGAACACTATAACGAACTAACATCGAAAAGGAGAGAGCTAGAGAGAGAGCGAGATAGAGAGAGAGAGCGAGAGAGAGAAAGATATTCAAAAATCCTTTCAGGGCCACCTATTCCGCACCCACTTCCACCAATTCCACTCCAACCCTCTTTTCGGTTGACCCACAAACTGGCTCGCTGCGCATCTCCCCATTCTTCGGCGAGAGCGAGCAGGTAAACTTTTTCTCTTTTATTGATCTCAAAATTTTACGCTTTAAAGGGGCAACTGTAGGCCATTTCCTTGACTAAATTGAACCCATTTTTCCAAATTAGGGCATCTACACAATCCACACCGAGGCCATCGACGCCAAATCCGGCAAACCGTTCGCCAGCTATCTGCAAAATGTGAGAAAATCTGGGGGTACGGTACCCGATCCATGGAATTTTAGGTGCACCTCGTCAGTGACACCCAAAAGGTTCGACTGGTCTCCGAGCTGGCCGTGCCCGAGCTCGCCTATAATGGGGAAAAGCTGTTGAGGTACGGTAGATGGGGGAGGTTCTGGAATTCCGGGGCATTTTAGGCAATTGGCAGCAGCGTTGCAGCACGAGGATCCCGATCGGGCTGTAGATGTGGTTGGAGATCGGTTGGAGAAGTATCCGGGAGAGAAGGAAAGGTTGGAAAAATGAAATTAAGGGTGGCAGAGCTAGGCTTAGGCTTAGGCTTAGGCTTAAGTTTAGGCTTCAGTTTAAGCTTAGGTTTAAGATTAGGCTTAGGTGTAGATTTAGGCTTAGGTTAGGCTTAGGCTTGGCTTAGGCTTAGGTTTAGCTTAGGATTAGCTTAGGCATAGGCTTAGGCTTAAGCGCAGGCTTGGACTTAGACTTAGGCTTAGCTTAAGTTCTAGTTTTTTATGCTTCATTTAATCCAGTTAATTCAAGAGCCGGTCTCTGCGTGCACGTGGCAAAAGGCGGCCGAGTGTTGTCACGCGAGGAAGTGGTCGCTTTAATCGGGCAAGCGGTGCGAAGAGCCGATTCCCCGCTTCATAACATCTATCACATCTACAAGATCGTTTCCGTTGAGGTGTGTGCATTTGAAGCTAGTTGAAAAGAACCGTTCCAACAAGGAAAAGCTCTAAAATTCAATTTTCAGGCCTGTACGCCATCCACGAAAAATCACGACCGATTGAGGAGCAGCTCGATTTCCAATTCTGTCAGCTTTTGGAGGAATTTACTTTCTACTCTATCTTAGCCTACCGTAACCTACCATAGAAGTTTCTATTAGTGGCGCGTAGCCTAGCGTATGTCGTCTACCGTAGCCTACTGTAGCCTATCATAACCTACCGTAGCCTGCCATACCGTAGTCTACCTTAACCGACTACTATAAGCTAGCTCAGTCTCGTGTAACCGACCGTGGTCTAGCATAGCGCTCCGTAGCCTATCGTAACCTAGCTTAGCCGACCACTGCTTACCGTAGTCCACCGTAGCCTAGCTTACCTTACGTGACCGACCGTCGTCTACTGTAACCTGCCATAAGCTACCGTATTCCAGTGGCTATTCTTGCTGTGCATCACCAGTGTCGCCCTCCTCGTGATGTTCGCCGTCACTTCCTATTACTGCCTGGTGCATAGATATCGAGTACGGGCCCAGGAGAAGCACCGCATGCGAGTGCAAAAAGGTGCGTCGCGTAGTCGAGCCTGGTGCTTTTAAACGGAGCGTTGGAAGTCGATCGTTATCCCTTGAATTTCAGGCCCATTCCCGAGTGGCACACTACCAGCTCTACCTCCGTCGCATCTTGGGTAGGTTTGAATGATTTATTTGGTTTTTAAGGGGCGATGAAGGCAAAATAGGCCCATGGCTGAGGCATTAGGCTTAGTTAAACTTGGCTTAGGCTTGGTTGTAAACTTAGGCTTAGGCTTAGGCTTGGCCTAGGCTTGGCTTGGGCTAGGCTTCGCTTACGATGAGGCTTGGTAGGCTTAGGATTAGGCTTAGCCTTATGCTTGGCTTAGGCTTATGGTTACTGGTTATTTAGGCTGGATTCCTTAATGTTAGTATCAATTAACGATTTCAGGCTACCTCCAATGTATTAATCGTCTCGACCTACCGGTGTTTGTGCGTTTCTATGCAGCGAATCTCAAGGCCAAAGAAATTACCATCAATCCGAATATTAATAAAATTTAAAAAATTACGGACGAGAGGGCGAGAGAGAGACAGAGACAGAGAGTGAAAGAGAGTTAGACAGAGGGAGACAGGGAGAGAGAGACAGAGAGAGAGAGAGAGCGAGAGAGAGAGAGAGCGAGAGAGCGAAGAGTGAGAGAGACAAACAGACAGACAGAAAGTGAGTGATAGAGAGAGAGAGAGTGAGAGCGAGAGATAGAAAGATTCATGGACAGACAGTCAAAAAAGCCGCATCTTCCCAGCTATATGCCCTCATTTTTGGCGGGCCATGGGGGATGGTTATGTCGCTGCGTCCCAGGATAATCTATGAGATCCCTGGGGACCCAGCAGAAGACGTAGAAGCCGCCCAATCATTTCGTCGTGCCCTAACAATTTTGGGCGTGTTGCTAGTTCCGGTTGTCCAAATCGCATTGTTGCTCTTTCCGGCCAACGATTCCGTAAAGAATCCCTGCTAGCTGCCCTGTTTCTTTTTTGTAAACTAGCAAATTGATTTCATAAAACCGACATTTTATACTGCCGGGTTTTAATGCCGAGTTTTGATAAGAAAATTGAAGTACCATAGCGTTTTCAATTTTTTAAAGCTCTCCAATCTACCATTTTCCAGCCAAGCGATCAAACCCTGAAAGGCACCCAAACCCCAGAATCGTGCCCTAATCAGGAAATGGCTGACCTTATGGCGTCGTCCGCCGGAAAGACCACAAAATAACGGGGGCGAAAAATCGGATTTTAGTCGGTCGGGCCATCGGGCGGGGCGCTGGCCCCCCGAATGGACCCATCTCCGATTGCCCTTCAGTGCTTCGGGCCTCCGTTTCCCAGAGCTCTTCCCCAGCCAGCCCATTTTCGGGCTCTGCATTGTTGGTTCCGCTTTTTGTGGGAGAGTCTAGGGAGATTTATGTAGTTTCGTGCGAGGTGAAATCATCAAAAAAGCCTAGGCTTAGGCTTAGGCTTACGCTTAAGCTAGGCTTAGGCTTAGGCTTTGATTCAGGCTTAGGTTTAGGCCTGAAGCTAGGTTTGGGCTTGGGAGTGTTAGGTTTAGGCGTGGGTGTAGGTTTGATTTAGGCTTAGGCTTAGGCTTAGGCCTGGGCTTGGCTTATCGATGTTCCAAGTTCCTATTTTTCTTAAAATCGGATTCTAGTTTGAACCACAAAAACGCTTCCGCTTTTTTTCCTCCAACATTCCCACACTCGGCAAGCCGAACCAATTCTACTCGTCAGGCCACCAGAATTTAAAATTTCGCCCGCACCACTTTCTCTAGGTGTCCAGGCACCCAAATGGTCTCTGCTAGCCTGCCCCCCTGAAACTCTGACGTCCATCCACAAAACAAAAACAATAAAATAAACCGTAGAACTTCCGCCCCCCTAGCCCACCCCCAGACTCGCCCTAATCGCTTTGGGCTGCGGCTAATTTCCGGCGCCCAAACAACCCACCCGACTCGGGTTGCCCCCCCTCCAAATGACACGGCCTTTTTTGGACTTGGCGCACAGATCGATCCTTTTTTAGAAAAAGACGTCATAACATTGCGTAATCGGTAAAACTTTGGAATTCCTATGCTTGCGCAGCGCATGCTACACGCGTAAGTGGCTTTTTCTCAAGATTTCGACATTTCATAATGAAGAAATTTCGAAATGTCGATATTTTCAGATGTCGAGATTTGGGTGGAATTTTTTGCCATAAAATTTGGTGGATTTTGAAGGGCATTTTGGTCAGGAAAAGCTTTGATTTTTTGAGGTTTCGACAATGTGAAAATTCAGCACTTTGAGATTTTGGCATTGTCAATCTTGAAATTCCGGTCAAAATTTACGCACGTTGGAGCGTATCGTCTTCCGTCCTTTGGCTACGACTGAGTCCAAAAAACGTTGCAGGTCTTTCCGCTTTTTACATATTTCACTTTTGGAGACTTTTCCTTTTCACTTTTACACTTTTTGGTCTCGGAGTTACATTGCGTAACCGATTTTTAATGGGGGATAGCAAGCTAGAATAGGGGTTTTTCTATTTTTCTATTTTCTGAAGCAAAAATAGATCCGAACAGAGTTACTCATCACATTTTGGAACCTCAAAAACCGCGATCGCACCCCCGGTAGACGCTCAAATTTCGCAGCCGACCTCACCCGGGTAGACAACTGTCAAAAAGGGGCGCGTGTTTCTGATGCCCTGTAAACCGAGAAGGGGCCGAGCCTCACGAAAAGCTCAGTTTGTGTTGAAAAACACAAGATTTCGACCCAGAATTTCCCCTCATTGATTCCGCTACAGTACGCCGGGTACGGATGCTAGACGACTCGTTCGAAATGCCTTCATTTGGTGCGTTGCTTCGTAAATGGTCTCGGCTAGCTTGCCTGCTAAAATAGGGTTGTCTTATCGAAAAGTAAAGTTTTCGGTTCTGCACTGTTAACGGGGGGGCAGGCTGGAACCCTTGGCTGGGGTGGTAAAGCTATCTAGTCTGTTCTGCCTGCCTATGACATTTTTTGCGTTTGCTGTGTATTTGCGGAGGATGTTTTATCCTTTTTGCAATTTCTAAAAAATCATAAAAAATCCTAGAATATTTTATGTTTAGAATTTTTAGAATTGCTAGAATTTTTGGCGATTTCCATACATTTTCGATGAAAAACCAATTTTCTTTGAAAATGTTATGATTTTTATGAACCGGTTATAGTTAATAAAACAGGTCAAAATCTATATAAAAGTATCTATTGATATATTGTATATTCAAAACGTTCGGAACGATATCACAAAATTACGTATTACTCCCCCCGGTTAGCAGAACAGAACCGGAATTTTGTGTTGAATTTTATCGTCAGCAGAATTTCTCCGCCCTGGCCAACCTTTAGTCCCATTATCTGGCCGAATATAATTATGGTGACTTCCGCGAAACGCGATGAGAAGGTTGCGTCCAGAATAAAGGGAATTACCCTGTGCAAAAACTGGAAGATTGGGCGCGGGCATTTTGTGTTATTTCGCTCGGCAGTTCGGGGCTCGATTCCCGCGAAGGGGCCATTCGGTTCGGCGGCAATTGCCGAGCGGCGGCTGAACGTACTGGGGGCCACTTTTTCTTTAGCTGTTTCGTCGAGGTATTCTAAGGAATTACTATAGAAGCTTTCGAACTTTTTTATGTAAGCATGCGGCGTAAGGTGCTAATAAAAATCATTATTTCACATTTCAATAAAAAAAAAAAAAAAAAAAAAAAAAAAAAAAAAAAAAAAAAAAAAAAAAAAAAAAAAAAAAATAGTAAAGATTCCATGACACTCCCCCCGCTAGCACCAGAATCACGAAAAGATGCCGACTTTACGAGTGAAACCCGCGAAATGGGGAGAGATTCAGCATAGTATTACCTATCTTTTTGCAAAAAAAAAGACTAGAAAGAGCTTAAAATAGATTCCCCAACGCCCGCTGCTCGTTGGCCCCCCTACCTGGTGCACCCATAAAAAATAATGACGCTGTTGGCCCACCCATCGCCCTCTGGCGGCCCTGGATTCTCTTTCGTTTTATCAGCCAAAACTCACGACTTTTCCCTACAAAAAAAGAATGTTTATGCTCTAAAGGACACCAAATACAATAGAATATGCTGTAGATGTGATGCCCTCGACAAAGCCAGATGACGCGACGCTACGGCAGCTCGTCGCTTTCCACACCGGTACGTAGAAAAAATGCCTGATATATATCAGCAGTCGATTTCATAGTGTTTTTAGTAAAATTTAGCTATATTTAGAGCAGAAAACTATCTAATAACTTACAAACTTTTTAAATTATGACATTTTGGTCGAAAATCGGTTGAAAAATCCATATTTTTGATGTTTTTTCATAAAAATATTAGAAACATTGGAAACTAAGGAAAAACATCCCCCCGATAATGCAAAAGTCCCAAAGGAAATTTAACTCTTTTTCCTTCTAGTCAACATCTCGCTCGGGCTCGTGTGCAGCGTGTTGGCGCTGATCCTGATCTTTGTCTTTTGCACGAGCACAAAGATGGTGCGCCGAAACCGGGTGGGTTTCTTGGATCCCTAGCTTTCTAAACGATTCCTTTTAGTTTTTAAAAGTGCATAATGTGAATTTTACAGCTTCTATTCACCCTGGCGCTGGCCGATTTTTGCAACTGCTTGGCCATCGCGCTGATGGGCGTGGATCGGGTGACGCTATATGAGGTGAGTTTTTTAGTTTACTTCATAATTATCGTACGAGTTCATATTTAGTTATTAGAAATCGATATTTCTCCAAAGTTTTATGTTTAGGACCTCCTTGAGGGCGGCGAAGCGACGGAGAAACGAGCCGCCGAATGCGCCACCGAGTTCTGGCTGCTCTTTCGCACGATAGGTACTTTTTTCGGGTTTTTTTCTGATGTTTCAAAAGATATATTTTTTCATTTTGCGGTTTCTTTGAATATATGAAAGTTAAACTTGTAAGCTTTCTAAGTTTTCTAAGCCAAAACGCCCGTTTAGGCGACCTCTGGCCCCCAATTGTGCAGACAATGATCGGCCTGGAACAGCTGCTGAAGGTCTGTTCACGGCACTACAACGAAAATAGGTCGGTTTCTATAATTCTAATATTATTGTTACTTTTATAGGTCACGCCACTTCCAAATCTTCACCATCCTGTTTGTTGTCTGGGCGTCGAGCCTCGGCTACGCTACGGCCTACGGGCGAAGGAATGAAAAGGTGGGCGCGTCGAAAAAACGGCTTTATCCTCAGCCTGCAGGTGAAATACTTCTGCGGCCGGAAGGCGTCGTTCGGCAAGGTGTTCTCCGTATTTATCTACTTTCACAACGTGTTCGGCTACGTGGCGGGGCTGGTGATGAACGTCACAGCGTATGCGGTGGCAAGCGGCCATGGGCACAAGTTGGTCATAAACAATAGCTAGACTTGCTGCAAGAACAAGAGATTTCTTTCTTGACGAAAAAAGAATCGTGTTTTTGGAAGTTCAAACCTTTACAAAATGACAACTTTTTTTAAAACAGGACCGACGCAAAAATCGCAGATGAGCCCGATGACAGGTATAGATTTAGCGCACGGGCAAAATATTTATGTTCATCCACAGTTCGCAGAATCATGATATTTTTTGTTTCGAGGCATTTTCTAAGGCAAAAGAACTTGAAAAAAGCTAGCAACGCATGCCAAGCACTCATTCATTACTGTCGAAGAACAGGAACTCCTGGAAAATACCTATACCGTTTTTTCGTTTCAGAATCAGCCCGTCGGCCCATCGCCAGATGCAAGTATGTATCATCGTATCTTCTCTGTCCACGATGCTCGTTTCCTTGCCCAATTGCCTCTCCGTCATCTCGGCCGTGAATATTGCGGTAAGCAAAGGAGCAAGAAGGAGCCCGATAGAAACCTATAAAAACCAAGCCTTCAGATGTCCGACTACATCACGAAGCCGGCTGTCTACGCCACGTGCATCAACTCGGGGATCAACATTTTTGTCTACTTCGCTTTGAACCAGGAATTCAGGTAGCAACCCATCCTTTCTTTGTTAGAAAAATTGGACCTTATGGAAAAATTGGTACCCCCCCGATAATGCGAAAGCACCGAAAATTCGAAAAAGTCTTGCTAAACCGCTCTTTTATTTCAGACGAGTCTGCGTATACTTGCTGACGCGTGAGAAGCCAAGCCCGGCGCCCAGCTCGGGGCAGACGGCCGAAGATGAAGTGGAAGAAGAATGGGCCGAGCAGAGCACCGCCATCACTGCCACTCAATCACATCATAAGCTGATGGATTGAGCTTCAACAATAACAACGAAAGCCTGGATTCCTCCATTGTAGGCCGGCTATCGGAATTTACAATTTCTGGGAACCAGTCCATGTATTTTATTCGGCACCCGTGAAACTAAAACGGAACATATACGGCTTGTCCTTTACGATAGTACGGTTACTAGTAAATTTTCGCTGTCTGTAGGCAACTGTACATTTTATACAACACGTAAGAACCAATTAACTTCAAAAAACAATCGGGAACAACGGGAACTGGGCCTGGTCGGGTGCGTGGAGATCGACAAGGAGACACAGCGCCCCAGCCCATCCTTCATACAGCGAATATGGCGAGTCGGGGGTACGTTGCTGGTGGCGGATCTCGTCGTCCATCATTAGCAAGGCGAAACATCGAGCGCGATCCAGCCTAGAAAAGCGTTGAAACGAAACACGACTAAAAATAACCATTTCTGATCCTGGGTGTGTGTGTTTCTGATCCAGATACTCAAGAGTGCATAGGCGTTCCCAGAAATCCCGTGGCACAGGCCGGGGCCCTTTTTAAGAAGCCCCTCCGTCCAGATCAGCTCACCGGCGCGAAGCAGGGCCTGGAAAGAGCCTTGAAACTTTACAAAACCTTTTTTAAACTAACTAAAAAAAAAATTACCTCCAGATAGTTATCACGAGCCTCGTGCCGATGCATTGTGATGAGAAGCGGGACGACACCCGGCGCTCCGTGACACCAGTGCACCAGCGGCTCTTCCTTGCCCTTTCCGATCCACCTAAAATTGCTTATTGAGTTTTCCAAAGCAGCCGACTTTCTGGAAGATGGAAAATTCCCGGTGTCATCTTGGATGCTGACCATCCATTCGGCCGTTCGTATTACATCGGCGTGCACCCCGGCGGTCAGAAGATCCGGGAAACTAGGGCAATATTTTTCCACATAGATGATCCAAGGAAAACCATTGAAATCATCGAAAAACCACCTCAAAATCAGATGCAATATTCCAGCAACTCCATGCGCCGCCCCCAAATAATCGGTACCATGCCATTCCCACATCAATGGAGGTGAAGAATCCCTAAAAAAAGTCATTACTGCGTTTAACTGAAACCTACCCAGATTTTCCTTCTTTTCCTCGATACACAATTTCTTCAATGACGGCCTTGACATCTGTGGGGTTGATTACATCCGTGCCGTGAGCAATCCTCAATAACCTTAAATTTCCAGATAGTTTCCACCCACTTCAGCCACAAAGCGGCCGCCAAAAATCCAGCTCTCCCGTAGAGCACCTCGTCGCAGGGAAACTCGGGGCCAATCAGGGCGCGAACAAGCGCGTGAATGTTCTAAACGAAGTGATAAAAGATTCGAAACCAGCTAAAAACACCTTCTCAATGCCCTCATCTCTTTTGTAGGTGAGCGCAACGGTCATCGTCCCAAGGTCCCCGTCCAAGTAGCGAGCTTGCTTCTCTGATTTCTCTAAGAATTACACTATTGAGGCGAACAAAAATAGATCACCATGTCGCAAAGAGTGAGCTCGCTGCAGCAATTTCTCGGCCTCGCTACACAAGTCCCGCTTTCCCAAATGACGACCGGCCTTTGCCAAGCACAGCGCGATCCCGGCAAGCCCTTTGTAAGGAGCGGCTAAAGATAAACCCCTTTAATAATAAAAAAAATCAACAAACGAACCATCATTCATCTCATCCTCATCCCGACGTCGAGACAATATCGTTTCAACTACCCGTTTCGTGGATTGAATTAGAAATTCTTCGGTGCATTTTTCGGAACCTAAAACGGCGACTTTTAGCATAGCGCAAAATTTCTCGACATCGCGATATCAATGCCATAACTTCTCAATCCCTTCAAAACCCAACCTTCTTGCTCTCGGCCATGCAAGTAGGGATTGTGGATGTAGCGAACCATCGCATCGGGAACCTCCTGTTTGCTCAAATCGACCAAACTTCGCGCATGCACCGCGTTCTAAAACAATAAATTGAACGTCTGCATTTCGATGCCTGTTTTGTATCGCGCTTGAACCAGGAAAACCCGCACATTGACCAGCTAAAAATAGACTGGATGCTTCCCGCCCGAATGCTGGGTAGGATATTGAAAAGCTGCCTAACTGTTTTTGTGTGCTCATGGCCACGTAATCTAGGCATTTATTAACGGACGAATGTAAAATATATGATGATGATGATGTTGGTAAAGCTACCGGCAGAATGAAATGAGCGCATGAATCAGAGGGGGGAGGGTACGGGTATGCATCAGCATCGCCAAAAAATACCAGTAATGGGCACGTTCGATTGGGGGAATGAGAAAATTGAAATATTTAAAAGATTGGGGAGGGGTTAGGCAAGAACTCAGACATTTGAGTGGTCTATATGGCAAGAAGTGGATTCCTCGGGTTGGCAAGACAAGGCAGCCCATGCAAGGGCGATGGATACCCGGATCGTAAGGGAAGACAAAAATCAGCCCGAGTGCGGGCCAGACCGGATACAAATGCAAGGCGACATGGCTTCTAATGAAAAAATATTAAATGAGTGGGGTGATAGCACCGGAAAGCTTTGAACCCAGGCGCAGCCGTGCCCGTTTTGGCTTGATTTCTACTGCGAAATCAATGGCAGTTTGGTGCTGCAAAACGGGCAGGGGCGGAGCGAGGTAAACATCCCATAGCAAAACAACCGGGAGGGAGGGGGCAGGGCAAGAGCGGATGGATTAGGATGCACCGGGGAGAGAGAAAGGCAGAAAGGCGATGAAAAATTCGAAGGAATGTACAACTTGAAAAGCTAGTATTCTAGTCGATGGGGGTGAGTCCTCGTTTGTACAAAATTGGCATGGAAATGCTGCTCGGCGGCGCTATTGGACGTTGGCCTTGCGCCGACGGAGGTAGGCCGCAATCGGACGGGGCAGCGAAACCGGCAAATCGTATCTAAACGGAATGTTAATCGGGGGTTTAGAAAAGCCGCGTGCGAATTTTGATAGTTTCTGGATGATTTTCTTTCAAATGTCGAAATCTTAATCCTATTTCCCAAAAACGTTGTCGAAAATTGAATATTTTCAAAACCCGTTGTAAAATGGGCCAAACTGGGCCAGGCCATTTACTGACTGCGAAAAAGTTCATGTCATTATTGTAATTTCGAAAAAGTACGATTGCAAAAAAACGGAGATTTTTCGACAAATGAACAAAATGAGCTACTCCAAATTAAATTTAGATTTTCGAAAAAAATAAAAATAAGCCCGCGTGAAAACTAACCTCCTTGGAACTGGCTTCACAATTCCGCTCTCCATGAACTTGAAAAAGAAAAACCACCACTCTTTTCTGGCATGACTGTGTTGCGATGTCTAAAACACCCAAATTTGAGAAATTGAATCCAAATCCCAACCCGCAGAGTCGGATGAGCAGCCAACGTGTGGTAGGTCCAGAAGACGCGAGTGCAAATCCAATAGGACAAGATTATGTCGATGGTGTAGTGTCCCCTAAAAACAGTCATAGCAGTATTTTCGGGGATCTCACCTAGATATGATCAAAAGCGCCATTCCAGACACAGCCACCAGCCACGACAGCAGGTGGATGATCTTCCAGCGTCGAGGAGTATCTAGAAAAGTTGTATAATGGCATTCAGGCAGAATACTTACATTCTCCGATGAAGAGCGCCGAGATGGTGAGAACAAGTGTATGGCCGGAATAAATGTAGTCGCCGCATAGGGAATGCTTTCCGAATAAATTCAGACCCATTCCAGCCATCACCTCCAGCGCCCGACGGCTGATTAGCCAGAACGTCGCATTTTCGCCCTGGAAAACTCAATTTGAAGACAAAGTCAAATTACTATTTCTGATCAAAAAGGCATTCAGTTTTAGAAAAGTGACGTACCAATTTCGGGGAGCAGTAGTAGTTGGGGTCGGCAAGCGGGACCACTGTCGCGTACATCGTCACACATCGGCAGAGGTACAGGATGGAACCGATGAAGCACAGCCGGCGCAGCACGATCCAACGATGACGGTGGAAGAGGATCAACACCAGCACCGAGATGAATGAGCCCAGCATCAGGTATTCGCAATAATTCAGGCCTAAAAGGATATACACGGAAATGAGAATCGCGATACCTATTGCATAGTACGTGGTGTGTCGGAATCCCACATCTGGCAGCGGATCTTGCTTGGCCAATTAAAAAGAATAGGATTTCTAAGATCCTGATATTCTCACCAATTCATGGACGAACGACAACGTCAGCGTGTTCAAGAAGCCGCTGAAGATCACCAAGAAGCACGCAAACTAAACGAAGGTATTTTTCAGAAAAGGAACCATACAATTGTCTTTCCCTTCTCCTTCGGGAAGCGATCGTGCGGGCTGGCTGGCTTGTCCTCTCCGGGCATGTCCACCCGAACATCGCTCGAGGTACCCGGGTTGAGCAGGGGAGAAGTGCCTGAAAATTGCGAATTTCAGTAAATCGATCAAATTTGAAATCTGTTTCTCCGTTTAATTATTTTCCCAAACTAACAACCTTCATCGTCATATTCATCAAGCGCATCCTTTGATAACAAAGGTAAATTTGCCTCGTCGGAGTCTGTGGTATCGTCCATGCCACCGCCGATAGCCGGCCTTACCCTAATAATCAGCCAATAGACGCGGAACAAAAGAAAATGGTAGAGAAGAAATAAACTACCGGAAAGGGCGGATGAGGAGAATTGGGCGCGTGGGGTGCGTCAAACCGTGAAATCTGCGCCATTCAGAAAATTCGGAGGCCCAAGAATGCGGAGAAAGAGGAGGGTAGGTATGACAAAGCGAATCTTTAGAAGGTCTAATAATAAATCTAACAAATCTATATACTCTCCACAAAATCAATCAGCCAGTTCCACTCCAGAAAGTGAAAGTACTGTATTTCAAGGATGCCGATCGTCGAGGGTGACATCAAGCGCTCCCAAACACACAAAAAAGGCCTCGCACGGTTTGTACATGCTTCCCAGTCGTAAAACAGTCTAATGGAATCGCCGGGTGGGTGTCGAAAAGGACATTGAGAAGCCGGCGCGGCTGGTCGCACTGCTGACAATCAAAAAGGTGATCGGGAGCGAGAGTCATGTGGGTGTGGGGGTGAAAGGAGAGGCTGGGGGGGGGTCGTTCGCCCGCTACAGACAATTTCTCCGCCCTTGCCGTGGCATTATTTCGAGAAATGCGAGAGCACGCATACACGGAAGGAGATCGACTCATCCCGCCTTTCTTCCCATGGGCCTGCGAATCGAACCGCGGGGGGGGGGCCATTCGTCGGGAATCGAATACCGGGAAACGTGCGCTTCGGGTGTTGCTTGATTGGCGCGCACTATTATCGCCGATACAGCACGAGGAAATGTTGCTTGAGCCCCGGGGCAAAGCGATGAGATCATTGCGCTGATAGCGGCCAAACAACAAATGTCCTCGGAATGGCATTGAACAAATAACAAGGGCGGTCTCCCAAGAATCGTCCTGGCTAAGGGTACTGGCGAGGAGACCTATACCTTTCTACTAGTAAATTTTTGATAATTTTCATACATTTTTGCCCAAAAATCAAAATTTCGGAGAATATTAATTTTTTTTATGAGCTTTCTAACCTTAAAAATGGCGGGAAAAAGCCATTTAAATTGTATTATTTCATGGTTCGGACTCTAAAGGGCGCTTGGACAAACTTTAGTTTTTTAGTTTCCCGTTCTACCCCCCCCACCCCCGCTAACAGAACAGTACCTCGGAAAGCAGGTCAGAAAACAAAAAACTACGATGCAACAGAACTAACCGAGCAAAGGCCGAGTTCCACAGCCGCCAGCCGCATGGCACATCTTCCCCGGGGCACTAGCCGATGGTATCCCGAGAACATTTTTTGCGGAGCGGATGCCTTAGTTTTTGGCAGGCGATAAGCGAGTGCGGCGGATCTGGGGGGTTTTCATCATATCATGGCTGCCCAAAATCCAGCAACAAGAAGGCGAAAAATGTTACGGCCACCGGGGGCACGCAGTCGGGAGCGGCTGGTCGATCGGATACGGGCAGCCGTTATCAGTGGGGCGATCCCCGGGATCAGCCTGTAGGTTTGAGTGATGCGCGGCGGAGACCGATTACCCTCTAATGCCTTTCCTAATCTTGTCAATGAGCCAAAGTATAGGTCTAGGCTATAAGGTCACTTCGTAAATCTAGCGCTTGGCAATAGCGGCACCGGGTTTTTTTTATTCCAGCTGGGGACGACAGAACCAAGTCCCGAAAACTCACCGTTAGAATCCTCGATGATCTCCTCATCCGTCTGACTGCCGGAAGACGTCGCCCCTCCGAGGCCACATGGTAGACGGCGCGAAGAGGAGGTCGTCGTGGTGCTTTCAGGCGGCGGTTCGAAACCCTCGTTCCAGATCCCGTCGTCGGGCTAAAAAGGAACGTTTCTGAAAGACCATAAGCCGAACCATGTGCACAGCCGCGGAAGTTGATTGATGGAAGTTCTCGTTGGACATCGTCACTGCATAAGACGGGAACTGAAAAACCGGGAATTTTAAAGCATACACTACCAAATCTGTACAAAATCCAAAATTTACCTACGGAATTATTGTGTTCTTCCGGGGGAGCGGTTGTAAACTGCGATGGTGCCGCGGGCTGGCCTCACGCCCGGTATCAGCGCCGTATAGGCGGGTAGCCTGATAAAGATTCAATAAGTTGGGTCGGAAGTGAGAGAGAACGACTTGAATACGGAAGAAAAAGTATACAAAAAGTGGGCAATATTATCATGGGTGGACCAAACGATGACGCGGATTGCGAACTGATGAAAAGCCGGCAAAAGCGCCACGGCGAAATAACATGAATTGAAAAAGCGGCATTCAGGCGCCGGCATCGAGCTGACATAGAGACCGGAACCCCCGAGCGGTCAAACACTGAGAAGATCGTTCCGGATCGATTCGTTCAAGTCCAAAAACAGTGGGGGATTCCGGGGACAAGGAATTCAGCCTTGGCCCTTGATGTTTTGTAATCCTGAATGAAATTAGCTGTTAACTCTCTGACTACACCTCCTTAAAGGGTATATATTAATACTACGAATTTGTTAGGTTGTAAAGTATTCAGATACGTTGTTTTATACGGGCTAAGGTAACTTTTTTTTAAAAACAAGAAAAATAAAAAAATAAATGCCTACTCCCTTAGCCCTAACGCGCAAAGGAAAACACACACAAAGCAAAATCGACGGTGCAGCCAGTGACAGTCACTGGACCGTGGCTGTCAGCTTGGGTACGGCCTAGACAAAAAGACTATGAGGGGCAGAGGTGTCAGTGATGGGGAGCGAGCCGAGGGAAGAGGAGGAGGAGGTCGACCATGGGCGAGTACCATTGATCGAAGAGGACGAGGAGCACATGTGCGACTCCCCGGCCGGGTTCAGCCCTCTGCCCATTCGTAAAGCGGCCCTTGGGGCCAGCCGGAAGGGCCACCGGGGCCCCGGCTCCCTGTTGCTTTGCATAATGCCCCAGTCGCCCCGGAAGCTTCAAAAAATGACCAACACTACAGCGCTGGCCAGGCGGGCACCGAAATAGATATTCCCAAAACACCCACTGATTTATTTATGGCGCCAAGAAGAGCTAATGCATCCCTCCGAAAGCGCAGAAAGTGAAATTATAATGGGCCTGGGGAAGGTCGACGGGACAGAAGAATGGCTATAAAAATGAAATCGCACGACAAATATTCGTCGAATGTAGCTAATAAACAACCAAACACCTAACTAGCGGGTTTCCTATAAGAAATAGTGGCTGGAAGGCCGATTAGTGTTCAGCGACGCCAGTTTCAGGTCAAGGGTGATAAGGAATACGCAGGATGCCCCGAATTTCATTGGTGGTCTCAAGTCGTTTCATCAACAGATCCCGGCGCCGTAAGGGAATTACGGGGTTACCAGAGATCAAAATCCTTGGGAAAACGGCAAGGTATTGCTCCGAAAACAAATATATAGTTTTTACAACGCAGGAATCTATTTCTTTCTTGGGGTACCCCGCCTGCCGCTAAATGCAAGAAAATGCGACACTCCAGAAATTTCTTACAGGCTACCTTTTAACTAAAAGGGAAATTATCTTACCTAAGATGTACAAAAGGGCGAGCAATTTGGGGGGCTATAGCTTTGTAATTGCCCCACAGGCAACGGGGGTGGATGACGCGGGTATCGCCGGCGTTTGTTTGGGCGCCGGTTGATCGAAAATAAACGGCGCGGGGCTGACGGAAGGCGCATAGGATATTGATCTGTTTTCGCGATAGATAGTACAATAGATTATTATATCGGCAAACAAACGCCGATCCATCATTAAAATAGCCGGGAAGCGCATCATCGCCCTACGCCTACGAAAAAAGGCACGTAACGCCGAATGTCGAAACCCACGTGATAATCCAGTAGCCCTCAAAAACTACTCTGGCGCCGGGTGCTAGGGTAGGATGACACGAGAAAAAAACCAACGACTCAATCGATAGGCAATGGCAGCGAGCGAGAGCAGCTGATGTGGGCGACATCTCTAACCGAGGGAACGCGCCACATCGTCCCTGCCAGTCGAATCAGGGTATTTTGTTGGCATTTCGGCCACCTTTCCCTATAAGGATAAACGAGATGGGCCTGAAATTAAGCGGGAAGTGTTTAGGAGCATTGTTTGCCCCATTCGGCCGTCACGCGGCGGCACAATTTTTTGAATAGCGCATAATTGAACAGCCGCAATTTGCGCGAAAGTGGGCCGAAACCGGTCCGTAGGCGCCTTTGGCTGAGCAGTGGCATCGGGTAGAATGACTGACTGCGCTCCACGATATGCCTACAATACTTTCTAAAAAAAACTACAGCATTCGGTAGATATCGGGTAATAGTGACACTTCAGCCACACCCGACAACGCTGTTGGGTTGGCTGACGCGCATACCAACCTAATGGAGCCGGATGGATGCCAAAAACAACCCGCCGCGCTATGACAAATCCACTGGCGCCGCATATAATGCGGATTTGCCGATGAGCCCCCTACTCAGGTCCTGGGATCCACCCGAAATCCGGTCGGCATCTGCTCGCGACACCGATCGGAATTCCAGTAGCGGACGCGACCGGATCCACGTGGAAATCGACCGGATTGCGGGTGGATGCACGGGTGGAAATCGGGTGGATTGCGGGTGGAACGCATGGAAATCGGGTGGAAGCGGGCGGTTTCCACCTGGATTACGGGTGGATACTGATTCCATTAGTGCGTGGATAGCGGCCGGTTTTGCCCCCCGTATTCTTCGTATTACATGCAGATACACGCTTATACTGTACCAAAACATTTATCCACACAAATAACATCAAAATATAAATTATACAACACGAATAGATGCGAGAAATAGAAGATATACAAACGAATAAGTTATAAGATAGTCACAAACATAGTTACAAGTATAATATGAAATATTCTTACACATTCGCGTGACAGAAGGGTTTGTGTTGCTCGTCGGGTCGGTGCAATGTCGTCGCTGCTGTTGGTGTTGTCGTTGCGCGTGGCGGCTTCATGTCGTCCAGTTCCACGGCTTCACGCTGACATCCCTAAAGATAAGAAAAGATAAGAAAGTCGGAAATCGAACTCACATTTATGCGCCATACACAATCCATCACAGCATCCTCTCAGCCTAGGGAGAAGGCTAGAAAAAATAATTAAAAGCCATTCAAAAAAGCTACCTTTCTGAAGAGGCTCAAGCCGCACTGTCGTAAGTCCACATCCTTCCTTTGTATTTCCTAAAAAATATAGACATGATAAAGAACAACAAATCGAACCAAAATCCAAGATCGCGAGGTCGATCACTTCTGGCAATTCATCTGGGAGGTAGATGAAGGCGCTACCTAAACTTAGAAAATTTAATGCAATTGAAAGTACGACCTGCTCCGGAACATACACCGGCACCATACACCAGCATCACCGGCCATTCGTTTCGCCATCTAGAAGTCGCACTTTAAGATCAATATTAAAAGGACTAACAATGAACCTTGATAAAATAAATCTCTCCTTTATAATTTTAGCACACGTGAAGCCTAAATCTACATAATATTTTTTTTTCTCCTTTCATTATTCATGGACGACTAGAAGGTTAAAAAAATATTGGCCTAAGAATATCGAAACGATGGTGCTTCCGTGTTAGCCGGAGATAAGGCTAATTTTTCAATCTATTTATGGATACTTAACTGCTAATGAAAGATAATATATTTTTATAGTGTTTTTAGGAGGTTTCGATAATTTATGAAAACCTGGATAGAAGCATCATTCTAAAAGGTTATAAAAGCTCTTAAAACTCAGAGGTTTTTGTTAAGGGTCGTCATTTTTTGTACATGTATTGTCGGAACGACTAAGTTTTTGGCACTTTCGTAATTTAAATAAGTTTTTCTATATAAAAAACGCTGTGGAATGTTTATCAGTTTTGCTAGAGGTGGTTTAAATATCAAATTTTATCTGCCACGCTGCAGCCCCTCGCAAACTTTAGCCTTACTAACCCCGCTCACCCGGAAGCTCCGAAAATACTACCTAAAACGATCCATCTTACTCAGAATAGGTCAAAGAAAACTAAAAACACACCGGAAGCCACGTTTCAAACAAAATAAATCTATAAAAGTTCTTAAAATCCAGAAGTGGTTGTTCAGTTTTGGTCATTTTCATCCTATTCTGGCAGAAAATGAAACATTTTTGTCATTTTCGTAACTTTATTAAGTTCTTCTAGACTAAAAACCCCGTCGAAATGGTTTGTTCGTCTAAATAGAAATGGTTGAACTATAAAATTTTATTTGTCACGATAAACCGCCCTCGACAAGATTAGTCTTGCTCCCCGCTCACCCAGAAGCTCCGAAAAATTGTCTACAATGACCCACCTTAGTCAGAATAAGTAAAAAAGATAAAAACACACCAGAAATCACTTTTCGGACCATATACTACTTGTCCTCGTCACGATCATCGAACCAAGCCTTGAGCACTGCCGATTGTCTCTCCGGATGTCGTTCTTGCAGAGAACTGAACAAAAACTACATAAAAAGTGATTAAACTTACAAAATGCGTGATTCCAAACCCAGGTTTACGCTTGGCGCACGTCAAGCTTTGCCTCACGTGGTTTGTGCGGTCGTTGAATTGACGCAGACATGCCGCTACCTAAAAAAACTCGAAATAACGAAGTACCTGCTGGGCATCGGGCGTTGAAAGTGCTTGTAAGCGCGATCGTTCTTGGCTCTTGCTCCCGACGCCGTACCTGCAATTCGAAAAATAAAAAGTGAAAAATAATTCTGAAAATGGCAGAAAAACCACGGAAAAGCTCGATAGAATGTGTTAAAAGTAGTCCAGGACAAGTTTTGACGTTTATTAACGCAGAATATGAGGAAAACTCACAAAAGTAACCAAGAGTAACGATAAAACACTTTAGAAACAATTTTTCTTTTAAAAATAATTCGAAAAAATGTTTGCCCGCCGCCCGGCGACTTTTTGTAGTTTGTCGTCTATTTTCCACACGAAATCGGGTCGATTTCCAATAGCTCTCGGAAAATCAGTTGGAAATCGAGCGGATCCGCCCGGTTTCCACTCGATTTCCATGCGCCGCGACGCGTGCGGCCCGCGTTGCGTCGTGTTTCCACTCGATTCCGTGTGCATCCACCCGAAATCCACCCGATTTCCATGCGTGTGACCCCGAATCCAGGTGGAATCCGATCGGATTTTGGGTGGACCCCAGGACCTGAGTAGAAATAGCGCACGCTTTCCAGACTTTAATCCACTGCAAATTGTGGCCAAGCGACCCAAAATCTCAACGGTAACGCGTTAAACAAAACATTTATCGCTCTTGTACTTGTGTACATACCCGTAGAATACACCACCAATAGAGCAAACTTTGATTATGGATAGTGATCACAGCAATTACACCAGGCAAGAAAATGAGAAATTGCAAAGTGAAAGAAGACTAAACTATCGGGATTTGAAACTGAAAGCGCAGGGTGGGGGTCATCGATGCGTCACCGGTCACATAAACACATCTGGTGACCGAGTAATTCTAGACAAACAGCTGGCCACTCAGGCAGCATCATCGGGTCGCTCCAGCATACGCAGAATGAAGTCCTTCAATTCTTGTCCCCGTCTTGAGTTCAAAAAGTAATAGGTCGAGCCTAAAGTCAAATTGGGAAAGTATACGAAACCTTCGTACCTGCAATGATGACAGCCCAAGCACCCAGTAGGTAGGGAAAATTTGCATTTCTGTCAACCTCGATTACTAGAGGGCCCGTGTAAATTGGCTCGTAAGTGTCCCTAAAAAATAAAAAATTAATTAAAAGATCAGAATCGATACCTTGGTTCCAAATCGGTCCAATAGCGCACGAAGGCCGAGAGTCCGCGATCAACATGCGTCTTCTCCTCCATGCGAGCCACCGCTATGCCCTTCACCCATAAAATGACTGTCGGCGTTCCGGAGATGCCATATCGCGAGTTGAACCTGAATCAAAGAGAATTATTTGATCGGTAGCGGTTCCCAACGTACTTGCTAAACTCGGTGGCGTCGATGGCAACAGCGGTGACTCTGGGATATAGCGATGGAAGAGCGTTGAAATAAGGGGCCAACGAGGCGGAGAATGGGCATCCCGGCGAGTAGAACAATCTGAATTCCATTTTGGAAACGGGAATTTCAAAAACTTACGCTACTAGACACGTCGATCTTCGATAAAGTTCTCTGGAACGCAACAATTTGATCATCTCGCTGGAGTTTAGAAGCAGCATCTCCTCATCAAACGTCGAATTTATGTCAACTAGAAAAAGCGGTATCTCCATTAAAAAAACACCATACCATACTCAAAACAGCGATAACGCAGCTCCAGACGATTGTCCAATGAATCATCAAAGCACTCATCATCAGTAGTATATGGGCATCTGTCGTATAAATAAGCGTTGAAGCGATCCAATCGATTCAGACTGCATTGCTAAAGTCAAATAAGCTTATTTGAAACATGAACTCACCCCGGAATCGCCTTCACCAGAAACCAATTGGACCGAGAGCACACCCGCAATGAAGACTAGCAGTGAATTCGTCACCATTATTTGATCATCCACCTGTAATTTTATTATGTCTCACAACATGAAAATAGACCCGCAGCAAATAAGAGAGGAGAAAAATATACAAAAAGGTATTCAGGCTTGTTCTTCTAAAACCGGTGGTCTTTCTTCCGCTTCCTCGTCATCCTCGTGCTCCTCTTCCACCGGAAGTTCATCTAGGCGTTGGCGCTTGCGAAGATAGTAGAGCCATTGGAAGATCAGCTGGTCCTCGATGTACTTTGCGTTCGCGCAAGATTCCAGCGCCTTTCTGAACTCGGCCTCCTGGAGAGCCTCGAGCATGAATAAACACTGCGGGTATTTGAGGCATTTCGCGTATTCGGGTCGTTTCCAGTAGAGCAGATATTTGAGGTAGTTGATGAAATATTCCTCCTTGAAGAAGCCGCGTTGTGATAGAAAATTGAGGTAGTTTGGGTTGGCTAGGGCCTGGACAAATTCGCACTCGCATTCGAAACGCCGCTTCTGCTCCTCAGACGATTCCAACATTCTGAAAGACATCGTCGTTGTTTACACAAATTGCGTTACGAGCGTTTTTAGAAAGTAAAATCGAAAAAAGCAGCGTTACGAATGCTCCAAATGACAATTTGATCATTGTTGTCGAACGGAATAACCGACAGGAAAAATGAAAAATCTTTTCAGACAAATTTTTTTTTTGCAAAGCTTATTTTCTTTTCTTTTCTTGCTTTGTTAGGAAAATTAATAACTTTTATGATTCTATTGCCGTTCCAAATTACTTGCCATGGATTTTGTTCACTTTTGCCCTGGCGCCTTGTGGGCAGACACGCAGACGGTGTCATTTGGCGCTCGTAGGCTCCAGTAATTTTGTGCAAAACCGGCGAAATCCGGTGAAAACTTACATGGCGTTTTTTGTTGATGCTTTACGAATTTTCAAGCGGATCTCCCTATTCCAACTGCCCATAGGCAAACCAAATTTTTCTCGTTGATTTTTTGATGATTTCGGACCCCGCCTGGGCTTTTCCCCCTTCTACTTGCAATTCCAGGGTTCACAATGGTCGGCTGGCGTGCTGCTGGAATCAACTACGTTCGCTTCTCCCAGATCGCCGCGCAAGTGACGAGGAACTGCACCAAGAATGCGAAGAAGGCCCCGTCGGCTACATTGAAGATCACTGCCTGGAAGGATGGGAAGCCGATCAAAGCTGCTAAGACCGACTAAAAACATCAGCTTCTCAACGACGATAGACCCGCGATTGATCTTTTTAATTGTCATGTATCCGATGTTCTCCTTGTGCTCTCTATAGCTGATCACTGCATAGGTTAAATAAATTTTTAGATGTATCAAAGACGGCCACCACAGAAGCGCACAATATACGAGGACTTCCTGACCCCAGAGGAGGCGCAGAAACGCTTGGCAGAGCAAGACGAGAACTTTGTCAAGGTGCCTTTTTGCAGACAAACGTCATTATGTGTTTAGGGTACATTGCGCATCAATGTCCGAAACTATGAAGAATCCTATATTGATGACCCTCGTGGCAGTGATTACAACGATATTTTGATCTATGGGATGCCGGACAGGAATCGCGCTTTGCACGGAGATCTTGTTCTAATTCAACTTTTCCCACGTAGTGACTGGATGGTGAGCCTTATTGGCTTTTTTCAAACTTTGTTTAGGTAATTGATTATCTTTATCAGCACTGGAAGGCGGAATGCAGGGCGAATCCAATTCCGGAAGCTGGCGATGCAGTGGAGGAAATTAAGGTTTATATTTGCACACTAATGGCATGTGTTTTTGTTTTAAGCGTTCCATTCAAGCATTGGGCCTGCAGAAAACTAGCTCGGAAACGAAAGCAAATGCCACTCCACAAAGCGAAACTTCTCTAGCCTGCCACGCAACGGATGCCCGGAAAGGAACGACCAGCGAGAGAAGACTCTTGAGCGATTACCCGGGCAGTGCTCTGATCCCCGAACGTTGTCTACAAAAGCGGGGAAAGGTGAGTTTTACATTACTTATCCGTTTTTATTTTTTTCTGGCTATATGACTTTTTAAGGTGGTGCACATCTTGAAATGGAAGCACACGCGGACTGCCATGGGACAGCTACGCCCGATGAAGGACTATAACACGAATTGGGCTCTCTTTGCTCCAACTGATTCACGTATTCCGAGGATGATGATTCCCGCTGTACAACTGCCCGACGATTTCTTCACGCGAACTCATGACTACGGAAAATACGTGTTTTTGGCAAAAATCCACGAGTGGCCATCGACTTCACAAATGCCACACGGGGCTTTGCTACAGCAAATTGGGTTGGCAGGTAATTGAAGTAGCTAGTTCTACGTATTCTTTGTTTTTAGGTGACATCGAAGTTGAGACTGAAGGGCTTCTTTTTTCGAAAGGAGTTGACACCAGAGAATTCACGCCAGAATCACTTTCATCCCTGCCCATACAATCACAGGAGGAATGGAAGATTGATGAGGTAATCCTGGCTCTTGTTCTGACCACCTGCTTTTAGTTCGAGTTTCGCTATCGAATCGACTTACGTGAGGAGACGATCTTTACAATCGATCCACTTACTGCCCGAGACCTCGACGACGCCCTTCATATCAAGGCCTGCTCCGATATCGATGGCAAAGGCACGCCAGGCTGGGAGGTAAATGAAATAAAATGGATTATATTGGCTTAGATTGGTGTACACATCGCCGATGTTGCTCATTTCCTGCTCGAAGGAACCGAGCTTGACGAATGGGCCAAACAGCGCGCCACGTCCGTGTATCTCGTGCATCAGGTGGTGCCGATGCTGCCACGTCTTCTCTGTGAACAATTATGCTCATTGAACCCTGGGGTTGATCGTCTGTGCTTTTCCGTAATATGGAAAGTGGATAACGACGCCACGGTAACGATTCAGCAAGTTCGCGTTATCTTTTTAATTTAGATCGTTGATGAACGTTTTGCTCGGACAGTGATTCGAAGCCGCTGCAAATTGGCCTACGAGCACGCGCAGGATTTCTTGGATAACCCCGAGAAATTGTTTGAAACAAGTGAGCTGCCGGAGCTATATGATGGTTGCACGCCTGCTGATATTGGCGCCAAGGTATAAATCGTCAAAAATTCTGGAAATGTTTTTTATTCAGGTTCACATGCTATGGGACGTTGCACAGAAACTGCGTGCAAAGCGAGTTGAGAAAGGCGCGCTCCGTCTCGACCAGCCGAAGCTGAAGTTTGCCCTGGACCGCGAGACCAAGATGCCAACTGCCGTCGGTGTCTACCAAATTCGAGATGCGAATCGTTTGGTCGAGGAATACATGCTGTTGGCTAATACGAGGGTCGCTATGAAAATCTCCTCAACTTACCCGAACTTTTCTGTGCTACGACGCCACCCTGAGCCAAAAGCCAAGGTGCTCGCAGAAACGGTAATTCCTCGCCTGGTTCCTGATTTTTTTTATTGATTTAGTTGGCGCTCTGTCAAAATATCGGATTCCCGATTGACGGCAGCTCTTCGAAAATTCTGTCGAAGGAACTTAGAAAATTCGAAGGGAAAAGCGAGGTTTGTGCTATTTTTTAGAGCCTGCATAATCTTAGGCTGAAGATCTTATCATGATCAGAAGTAAATTATTTTTTAGGTCCAAGGAGCGATTAATCAAGTCTTATCGCTGCTCATGATGCGCCCAATGCAGCTGGCACAGTATTTTTGCACGGGAAAGGCGGCCTCGGAAGAACATTACTATCATTACGCCCTGGCTACCGCCTTGTAAGCACAGTTTTTTTACTCGTTACCATTTTTGCAGCTATACTCACTTCACATCTCCCATTCGGCGCTACCCTGATGTGTTGGTGCACCGATTGCTCGCAGCGGCATGCGGCTACACAAAGCCGCCAGAGGTCCAAGATCCATCGGTGCTTGCCGAGATATGCTCCCATTGCAATGACTGTAAAACGAACGCAAAAGCTGTGTCCGACGAGAGCGCCGACATGTTCTTTGGTCTTTTTGTTCATGTAAGTTTCGCTCCTTTGCGACGACGTGCTTCTTTAGCATGCCGGCTCGATCGAAGTGAAGGGAGTTGTCATCGCGGTCTTGGATGCTGCTTTTGACGTACTCGTCTTCAAGTACGGCATCGTGAAGCGCGTCTATACCAATGTACGCTCATTCCTGTGCTTCTTAATTAGCTTTAGCAACTTCCTCTACTCGGCAACCCGTTCTTCAAGAAAGGCAATCCAGCTCGACTGACCCTGCATTGGAAGAACGATTCGGGCCCACCAATCAACCAAGAACTCACAATCTGCTCGATCGTTGACGTCGTTCTCATTCCGTTAGAGGACCAGCCCACTAAATACAAGGTTGTTTCCCTAAATTATGCTCATTTTGCTTTAGGCATTGATCAAGCGGTCTACCACCAAGGGATCCCCTGATTTGCATAGTCTCTACAAAGGAGGAGTCGAATTCCTGCAGAAGCCAGAGGATCAGCCCGCATCTGAACGGCCGGCGACCCCAATCGTTGATGATCTCCTAGCTGAATCGGTGTATGCCGAATACGATTAAATCAGAACCGTTGAATTGTTGTTCTTTACGTTGTTATGATTTGTGCGCTTGTTTTGTTACTGATGTTGTTGCTAAAACGGGTTTATGTTATCGGTGACCATTTTATAAAGCTTTCATTCCATGGAGTCTTTTTTTCATCATGGGCGTTCAGTCGGCAATATTATTTTATCATATTCTTCAACTGCCAAGTTTTTCTGATTCCCAGAGCTATAACGTGTTTTGAATTACAGGTAAAAATGTTGAGCCGGGTGAGCGTGCGTGGGGCCTCCAGCGCCGCTGCGGCTTCAGCCTCTGCCCCACGGACCCAGACGACCCCGTCCGGTCTGACGGTGGCGGCCGACGAGCGAAATGGGGCCGTTTCTCACTTGGTAAGCATTTGTTCGCGTTGGTATATTGCCACTGTACAGGTTCTCGCTTTCCGCGCCGGAACCCGCCACGAGCTGCCGTCCCAGAAGGGTCTCGTCCATCACCTGCGCAACTTCGTCGGCCGTGACACCAACTCTTACCCTGGGGTTTCGCTGCTCTGGAGCACCGCGTCCATCGGAGCCAATGTTGTAAGCATTGTGACGGACCATTTTAGCTTGATTGCTTGGAAACCTCGTTATAAATCTCATTTAGCGCGCTTTCGCGACGCGTGAGCTGTATGGAGTCGCCATCTCCGCTCCACGTGCCCAAGCCAACTTGGCCCTGTCCGTGCTCGGCCACATCGCCGCCCAGCCATCCTTCAAGCCTTGGGAGCTCGAGGACGTAAGAGACATAGGTTTTTCCTAGATTTGGCTTTAGATCAATGAGACCCTTGCCGCCGACATTGCCTACCGCACCCCGATCGATTTCCTTAGTGAAGACGTCCATCGTGCGGCCTACAGGTTTTTAACATTCCATGCATTTATATTGTATTTACAGAAAAGGCGGCCTCGCCAATGGCCTCTTTACGCCAAAGAAGCTGATCGGAAAGTACAAGCAGGAGGAGCTTCAGCATTTCGCCGTAGGGCTTGTTCAACTTTCTATCCCCATTTTTAGGGAGGTCATTTGCTGGCTGGAGATGGCGTGCTGTTTGGCATTAACGTCGACAACGAGACCCTTTTGTCGTACGGAGAAAATCATGCGCCGATCAAGGAAGGAAAGGGAAAACCAGTTGATGTAAGTTCTCGTTGGAGCTAGTACCTCAGCGATTTCTGCGTGACAACTGTACCATTTTCTAGGCCTCACCATTCGTCGGTGGCGAGATTCGTCGCTGGTCTTCCGGCAAAGTCGCCCATGTTCTTCTGGGTGCGTTTGAAATCTTTGGCTTCACTGTAGTTTAGTCGGAGAGGGTGCTTCGCTGTCGGACGTGAAGGGAATCGCCGCTCAGAATGTGCTTCTGGCTGCCCTTGCCCACAACACCTTGAAATACGGCGGAAAGTCTGGCAATGGTATCCTGGCCAAGGCTGCCGGCAACGAGGGAGCTGGGATCAGCCCCTACCAGGTCTTTTTGATCCCTTTTTAATAAAGCTTTCCTTTCTAGGCTGTATACAGCGACTCTGGATTGGCTGGAATCCACCTGACCGTCGATGGAGCGGCTGCCGGCGCTCTCGTGCGAACCGTTGCGAAGACCTTGAAGAACGTGTCCGTTGAAGATTTGGAAGGAGCGAAGGCGCTGGCCACCGCGCGAGTGATCTTTGGCGTGGTAAGTCACTATCTAGCGACTGGTAGAACCTTTTTTCCAGGAATCTGGCCGGGATTTCGTGATTGACAAAGCAGCGTATCTTTTCGGAGGAAAAGGAGAATGCATCGTTAACGCCATTAGCCAGGTAAAACTTTTAAAAATACATGTTTATCATTTTTTCTTTAGATCACCAAGGCCGATGTCGACGCTGCCGCCAAGAAGTTGACGAAGAAATTTGCGATCGCCTCCTACGGTGATATCGACCACGTGCCCTACGTCGACGAACTGTAAACACGTGCCCGGTTTGCAGTTATATTTCTCATTGCCTCATGATAGGATACGCGTCGATTTTCTATGTACTAGACTTAAAATACCCCCCATTGGTTTCTGTTCCATTGTCCCCGGCCCATTTCACCATAAGAATCATTACGGCACGTCGCAATTTAGATAATTAGACTTCACTCCGAACGTGTTTGTAGTGATTAGTTTTTTTGTGTGTGTAGCATCCGCTACCAATAAATATATTCACCCTCGCCATTGTGCCACACACCATACCGAGGCTTTACACGCAACATCCATCTGAGAATCGAATGGCGGGGCAGCCTGGTTGTGAACAAAACTGGTTCGACTCGAGATGGGTTGCAGCTTGATTGCTGATTGCCTAAGTATCCTCGTTGTTATCGGATATGCAACGCTACGGGATCATCTTTTACCCTCGACGCCGTTCAGGCTGGCCACCGTAGCGACGAATCGCCGCGCATGAAATGCGCTCGTAAAAATTTATCATAGCCACTGGGCGGAACCGGGAAAGCAGCGCGATGGCCGATGGCGATTGACTGTAGCCCGGTCGGGGGGTATGGGGCATCGTGTCCGGAAACCGGGTGTTCGCGAGCGGGCGCTAGGGCTGTAGCCAGTTCCTGCCCCCTCCCTTAGCCTCAACACGGTCTCGCTTAATTTTTAATTGCCTGGATTGAAGCGGCGGATTTTGGGCTACGTTAACACGCCCTGTCGTCGATTTTGAGTAGCACTTGCTGCAGAAGATTCCTTTCCTGAAGTGCGGAGAGTTAGTAAGGAGGTTGCCTCTTTTCCGGACGTTTACCATAAATCCGGCAGGTTGCTTTTCCTTCTTATGCTGAAAAATTTATATCTGTCTCTCTTTCTTAAGGATGACACTGTGTAATTACAGTACTAAATACGATTATTAGCGTCCTAGCCCAACGCCAATGTTCAGCGTCTCACGTACTCGAGCACGTGGCCCACAGTCCGGCTATTGCGCGGGGATTTTCTTTTGACCCGTCGACAAGCTGGGGGAGTGTCAGTGAATGGAGTGTGAGCATAGCGGATCCACGATCTTCCAGTCGTATTGTTGCGAGTGACCGGTTGCCCGCGGGGCTGTATAGTATCCCCCTTGGAACATCCGCTCGCTTTAGCACTTTCTCTGTCGCGTGGTTTTGGGGTTGGCGGGCGGTAGGGCAACGTTTTTCCGGTCTTTTTTTTGTTGCCAAAATTTAGGAAGTTAGGTGTGGAAAAGAGATAAGTTTCGCACGGCTCAGTTATTTATTTCTAACGGAATTTTGAGGATGCACGTACTTTAGAAAATGGTTTACACATCGTATTTAGTTATTCAGTACAGACGTTTTTGCGTTGTGGGAACGTAGCAAAGCTGCTCTGCTTGATGTTTTGTCCAAGTTCAAATTTTGTTCAGCAGGTGCAAAAACTGGCAAAAATCTACGCTTTCGGCACGAATTTTCTCGCACACAGCTTTCTTTGAGCCGTTTTGGCAAATAGGGCGTATTCTAAACTTCAAGCTCTTTCGAATGAGCACTATTTTTCTCAGTTCTGGACGTCGTGTCTCCTCTGATGGCTAGCTAGAACTGGAAGCCGTTCAAAATGCCACAATCCGGCAAATCTCATCTCACCCGCAGCCAGCGTAACATCCATGACATTCCGCGTAGAAGCTAGGTGATTGCCCACGGGGCTTTTCGTACGGGAATGCAGCCGATATCAGCCGGGTTCCCCTCCAAACGAACATCTATTCCCCCATCAAAGAACCGAAACCCCCCTTAATCTAGGGCGATTTTTGGGGGGAAAGCCTTGCCCCCGACTCTCTCGACCCATATCCGTTCGCCCGTGTTTCGTTTTTAGCTCATTTAGCGTAGGCTTGACCCGGCTCATTGATTAGTCTGATTACTGGGTTCAGCAATTCGCAACAATGTTCTACGTTTTCACTATTTTTCGAATTTTTTGAAACATCTTTCGATAGAGCATCAGAAAATCTACCAAGGGTTTTCATTTAGGATCAAACCAATGTAATATAGAAAAGTTATAGCAAAACAAGATTTAGGCGCGGAGTGGAAGTGGAGTAGAAGGCTAGTTTTCGACATTTTCAATATTTATTAAAAATTTCTTTAACGCGTTTTGATAGAGCGTCAAAGAAAATACTAAGAATTTCATTTGAGCCCGAATTAATGCAAAACACAAAAATTATGTCCGAAACAAGCAAAATACGAAAAACCGTGAAACGCTAATTCAAGATTATAAATTTTAGTATTTATTTTTTCGTAATACCCGCTGGAGGAACGATTTTATTTTGGGACGCTCCGGTTGGGGGTGGAGTTAAAGTAAATTCTTACCATTTTTTCGACATCCTTCTGGTTTTTAAATTTATTCCCTCATCGATCAGGTTCCCTTTTTCTAAGCCTGGCTTTATCACGTTCCCAATCCGTGGATCACTAGCAGCCTCCACTTCCTTGATGATCCACCCCATGCCGGATCCTCTATCATTACGGTTTCGCGCCGGCCGGCAGTGGATGGCATACAGAAAGTTCATGCCGATTTTGCCGGGTGGCGGACGGTTGCTGCTGATTCCAAAACTGCCATTTTGCGATCCCAGATCTTCTATGGATTTTGTAACACCTCGCGCCCTCTAGCCATATTGTAGCGCTTGCGGCGATCCCGTTCTGCGCCAAGTCGTCCTCCTCCTTGACGGCTCAAGTGCCTCAGAAATTTGCCGCTTGGGCGGCGACCGGGGGAAAAAGTTCGCGTGGTTTGCTTCGTGCGATAGGGATTGAAATTCTTTAATAAGTTAATAATTTTAATAAGTGTTGACGCTAACTTTCAGTAGTAATACTTTATTAGCTAACTTTAACTTTAATAATACTGCGGTTTGGCGTAAATTGTAATTTCATTGATCTAAATAGGTAAACTGCTTCTAAGCTGTTTTTGCTAGTTTAAAATGTAAAAATGTGACAAATTTTGCGTTGAAAATAACAAAAAAAATAGAAGATTTTCCATCAATGATGGCCGATCGAGCCAAAATTTTGAAATTTCTGATTTTTAGGTAATTTTTTTGGCTTTACGTATGGTTGGATTTTTCTAAAAACACTATTAAAATCTTCGCTATGGCGCTACTAAGAATTTTGGCGCTAATAGAAAAATTCTATTCTGATTCTGATTTCTGAGATAAAGATATCAATTTGTTTCGTAATTATTATTTTACCAGCGCCCAAAACCCGCTTCGCGGGCCTTGGGCGCTGGAATGCGGCCTTTGCATGAGAAATTTTACTTTCTGATAGCTTGGGTCCTTCGGACCCCTCCCTTCCTCCGACCACACCCGCGCGTGCAACTTTCAAGAATGAGGAAATTTGTATTTTTTGGAATTATGCAAAGTAGCCATCCCTGGCGCCGGACACACACACACACACACACAGAGATACACGCCAAAATTATATAAGGTAGGATTATTCTTCAGCGCATGTACTTTACGAATTTTTACGAAATAGTACAAAAATAGTCTTTCGAAAAAGGCCGATTTTCGACAGAAATCTCGATTCAAAGTTTCCCAATTGCCTTCTCGAAACATTCTGTCTTAGATGTTCCAAAAAACTCCAAATCCACAGTGGTTCGTTCGGAGGGATGGCTGGCAGTCCTTGTGGATCGCATTGTTTCGTTCTCCTCTTCTTCCCCTCCGGATTGTTTCTTGGGGGGTTCACCCCCCGGGGTGCCACGGCTTTTTCAACCAATTTCGGTGGCTCTCTCCCGCTTCACCCCATCCGGCCGCCCGGTATCCAGTTTTCTAGCCGTCTTTTTGCGCGTGGCGACCGGCCCGGCCGGCATGTCGACCATTGTTTTTGGGGGGAAGAGGTTCGGGGTGGCCAGCCTAGGGGGCGAGGAGTGCTACTTGTTTTTTGCGGCTCAAGGGGGCCGGGTTAGCCTTTGACCTGTACGCGAGGGGGGAGCAGCAGCGAATTGGATGAATTGAGCGGCTAAGAAATTGCGGGCTCTAGCAAAGCTTTTTAGGGCAAGTAAAACATGCCAAAGCCGGCCAAAAAATTACCAAGTTTCGAAAATTCTTTGCTAGGTACTTTTGCATTATCGGGGGGGGGGCAATTTTTTTCGTAAGTAACGGATTTTTTTAATATAATTAGAGGATTTTGTTTCGAAACTGTTTTTTGATGATTCCTAGGCGCAAAACGTTACAAATATGCATGAAACCACAAAAAAATATCACGTTTTCGAATAAAAAGGCTGATTTTCGTCAAGTTTTGCCTTTTTGCTTTTTTGCTATAGTTTATTCGCTGGCAATAAAGTTAAAATTTACTAAAACTCGATTAAAATACTTACTCTGACGCTACCAGTCATTTCTGACTGGTTCCAAAAAATCGTTTCTCACACCCGATACCCTCCCCCCCCGCTAATGGTCCAGTACCAAAATTGCTGGTTTCTATCGTATCTGTTCGTCTTTGCTTCACCACTACCCCTCCCAATCCGCCCAGAGATCAAATTTTGTTCACTTTCGCCGGCCGTATATTCTCCCTCCTCGGGGCGTTAACCCTCGATTTCTGTGAGATTCCGTGCCGATACCCGCTCCGCTATGAACCCTAATATTTGGCTTTCCGGCTTCACAAGTCGCGGGCGGCTTTAGGGAGGGGCTGCATGCCGAGATCTGAATCTCATCGGAGGCCGGCCGGTTCCTTCGGCCCCGGATTTTCGCCTTTTCACCCTCCTTGAATACCTAACCAACCACCGGCCGTTACTTAATTTACTCATTTATAGGCGGTTGTTGTAATTTTAACAAATTTATCCAACCCAAAAATTAACGCGGGTTTTTCGGGACTGTACTCTTAACGGAGGGGGGCTTGTTTCTGTTTTTTTAGCCTAGATCTGCTTGTGAGCAATATATGGTGTGTTTTATAGTGCTTTTAGTAGTCCAGTATCCGATTTTCTGTAGTTGAAACTTCGGTGAAATTTAAGTATTACATTGACAGCCCATTCTATTAAAAGCGGCAGCATTCCGTGCGCGATTTCGTGCTTGATCTCCGTAGAAAGCTCGCCACGATCCGGTGGAATGCCAGAAAAAGTGTCTAATTGGAGCAATAGCGGTGTTTTGAGGCGTTTTGCGCATTTTGGATCGGTTTCGTTAGCGGGGGGGGGGGGACGGAGGTGCTAAATTACTTTATTCAATCCACTCTCGATAGTAATAAAAATACAATCCTGAAATACACGCTACAAGCCCGCTCCCCCCCCGCTAACGCACCAGCGCTCTCATTTTTGTCATTAGCCCCTAATACGGTATTTCAGGCCGCTTTTAGCGTACTATTTAGTAAAAACTGCGATTTCCTGTTGTCATTGCCGTCCGTAACGCGATTTACGCGCTCCCATCATCCACCTAGTGGGGGAGAATCTGACCCCGTTCCTTCTGCTAATCAGCCGTTCTCCCGTGTTCCGTGCCGGGGGTTCTGTAGTAGCCAGATTTTACTCAATGTTTTTGGGTTAAGCCTGTGGGTGAAGCTTGAGGTAGCGAATTTATCGAGTTTTTCAAGGATGAGGTATAACTCTTGCTCCTTTTCTTGCTCTAAATTTGAGCTTTTTCAAGGTTTTTGTCGCTCTCAAATACATTTTTCTATATATTTTTGGGCTCTTTGGCATTATCGGGGGAGGGCTAAGTTTTTATATGTAAAGCGTAAAAACTATATAAAAAATTTCACTAAATTCGCCATTTTGGTCGAAAAATCGGCCTTTTTAATCTTTTTTTTTGAAGGCTCCGCGATACCCCCCCCCCCCGATAGTGCAAAAGCCCCGGTTTTCCGATTTATTCCATACCTGCTTATTGCTGTTTGTAAACTGGCAGAACCTTCATTTTTCTAGCATTTACATCACGATGCGATCGGGTCTCCCGATCGTGGGTCTGCTGCTGCTTGGGACCCTCGTTTCGGCAGGTCGTGAGAAGGACGATGATGAAAAAGTGGGTCCATTTTATTGGGCCGTGAGGTCCCATTGTTTCTAGTTCGTTAGCGGGTGGGGGGATAGGGCCATAAGCCTTTCCCGATGGGCTAATGCGAGGCCATTGGGAGCCCCCCCGCGCTAAGTAACTAGAACCGACAAATCACCCGGATTCCATAAATTTGTTTTTACAGAGCCCAAAACAAAGCGAAACAACGACCGCCTCCCCGTCAGATGACACGACGACCCCAGACCCCGATTTTCTCGATGTCCGAAAATTGATTAGGGTACGTGTATTTTTCTCCATGTCCAGGATACAAATTTTTTAGGGCTCCATCGACTCGCTCGCCGAACTGCCCAGCAGCCAACGACCAAATCGAACCAACGAGCTGTACAAGTAACGCATTAACTGGGTGCGAAGGACATTTTTCAGGCTTCTCGAACTGCCCGCCGCCATTCTCCAGGACATTGCCGGTGCACCGGTGGTGACCACCACCACGGAGATGGCCAAGTAAAGATTTTACGTTTAATTTTTTTGGTTTTTGGAAGCTTTCTGTTTTTTTCGTTCGAAAATCCTAGAAAAATCGCTTGTGCTCTTGAGTTTCAGGATAATCGGTTGCTGGTTCATTAGCGGGGAGGGGTCTCCCTGGCCAACCCCCCGCTAACGGACTAACACCTGAACAGCGCTTCAAGGTGTGTATCATGTTGCAAATTCCCACGCGAAACGTGTCCGTTTTTAGCACCAAATCCCAGACAGCACTCTGAACTCGACTATTACAAAAAATGTCGTGCGCTTTCCTTGATTTCAAGACTTAAGCTTAGGCTTAGGCATCGCCTAGGCTTCGGCTTAGCCTTAGGCTTGGCTGAGGCTTAGGCTCAATCTCACTCCGCCACAAAACAGCCGCTTCACCACTTCCAGGGTATCCGACAGCGCAGCCCCTTTCGTGCAGCTATCCTCATGGGAAGAGGAAGAACGGGCCAGGCTGGAAGAAGCTCGTCGAAGGGAGGAGACGCTCAAACGGCTCGCCGTGGAGCGGAGGCTTATCGAAGAGGCTCGCATCCGGGCCGAATCACAACGACGGGCCGCCGACGCTGAACGGCAACGAATTGCCGCGGCACTGGAGTCAGTCCGACTGGCTGCTTCTATGACCACCACCACTGTTACCACCCCGGCCGCCACCGGCTCCACCAAGTATGCACTGGCTTTTTTTTGTGGAACGCTTTGAGGGATGGCTAGTTTTTAGTTAGATCTCGCCTGGAATCAATGCAAAAAGCTAGTGAAACCGTAAGTAGCAGGAAAGGTTATTTTAATGTTTTTCTGACGCTTTGTTTGATCTCAAAAACACTATAAATTCACCGGAAGAAAGTGCACGTATTTCGCTGGTTCGGGAAGATTTGCTATCATATTTTCGAAATTTCATAATGTTGGCATTTTGGCATAGTAATTAAGAGGTTTTCCAGGCTTTGTTCTTTTCAAATTTTCGACATCGCGAATCTAGACATTGTCATTTCGATTTTTCGAAATGTCGGCATTATGCTATCGAGATTCAAAAAATTCGGCATTATTAATTGTCGGCATTTTGAAATGTCGGCGTTTGGAAATGTCGGCATTATGAAACTTCTCCATGCCAAACTTTGACCTTTGAAAAGTAACCCATTCTTCAAAATTTACAGAAGTTTAAGCACAATTTCCAGGCCCCCGTCCCCTTCCATGTTCGGTCTCCCACCCATCGATTTCCACAGGCTATTTGGTGCTCAACCGTAAGTTTCCGTTTCATCTCTCAAAATGTCGAAATTCAGCGGCCCGCAGTCTCCGGTCCTCCCGGCCGTGAATCAAGGGGCAGGCCCTCAATACGCCTATCAGCCGGTGATCCAGTCGGATGGCACTACGTAAGTGTCCGCTACGATACGCTCCTATACACAAATATAATAGGTATTACCAGCAAGTGCTCATCGTCCCCAGCAGTCTGCCGATGCCCCTCCCTGCTGCTCCACAGAACAATAACACGGTTGGTGCTTGATTTTTGCAAATTTTGGTTCTTGCGAGTTAACGGGGGGGTAATTTTTAGGAGCTGGTATGTTAGCGGGGGAGCAAAAATTTTCCGAGCTCTCCCCCATAGTAGAAATAACCAAATAGAAATAATTTTTCTAGCATTTTACGCAGTTTTTAGCAAAAGGCAAATAAAAATATGAAAATTTCGCTAGGTTTTAAAATCTAAAAAAATATTAAAAGTCTTTATAATTTTCTAGCAATGAAAACCTACCAAAAATAAATTATATAGTATTTATTATATAATTATGTAGTATAGTTAACAGGCATCAACCGAAAAATAAAAATGAGTTTTAGATTTAAAAAATTCGTGGAGGCGGCCAATAACAAAACATCGTCACGTTTTGGTCAAAAATATTCTTAATCTGCCCTCTCGTGCGCCCCCCGCCCCCCGTTAAGACATAAGCTCCTAAATTTTGTATTTCTAAAATCCAGGCCCAGACACCAACCACCGAGGCGCCAACCACCACCGAGACACCCTCGACCACCCCCGAAAATAGCGTCGAGCTGGAGGCCCCGCGTAAACTGGACTTCCACAAATCGGTGTCGACGAAGAAGAAGTTCAAGTAAGCAGAAGCACATGATTTCGAAAAACCAAACGACTTAGAACGTACAGCTCGAAGACGGTGCAAACCGATCAGCCGCTCAGCTCCGAGCACTCCGAGAAGACGATGGAGGAGACGCTAGTGGATGGAGAGCAGAGCGATGATATGTTTCGTGAAGTGGTACGTAATAAAAATTTGGCTTAAAGGAAAGATGTTAGAAAAAGGGCCGCTCGACCCTGGTGACGACGATGCTGCCCACACTCGAGGAGCAGCGCCGTGTCGCCCAGATTTTTGCTGATGAATCGACGCCCACCACCGCAGCGTCGAGGCGGTTTTATCGGGTGCGGAACTAAAGTAAAAACTTTGAAAATGCGACTTTTAGGTGAAAGCCGTCTCGCCCTACTTTATGCGATCGACGGATAATGCGCGAAAGGGGAAACTGCTTGGACAGTTGAGACGCGATCCGAACATTGAAGGGGTAGGGAATAAATTTCGAATGAATGAATCCTATTGGTGCTTCTCTCTTCGCGGGGGATAATTATCTTCTATTCAACTACATCTATTACCAAGATATTTTTAATTTGATAGCGTTATTTTTTTCTAGTAGTGTTACGTTGTTCCAAAATTCGAAACTTATGCCTTTTTTTTGAATGTGATACATTTTGGAGTTTGTATCTAAATAAAGATTAGGAAAAACTATGTCTTTAGGAAAGTCTATCCGACGCCCCGCCCCCAAAAAAGCACCTGAAGCGCCGCAGGTCCTGGAGACGTGAGATCCACCGTGCCACCACCGAGGTACCGCTGTTTTTCTGAAAACTCAACTTTTTAAGGTCCCGACAACAACAACGACCGCTGAAGTAGAGGAAGAGATTAATACTACAACCCAGGAACCCACGACGAAGCGCTTGAGGAAAATGCGGCGTCTGGAGATCAGAAGAAAACCCATCACCAAGGTATGTTGATTTTAGTAGATTAACAACCACGATGTATAGGACATGAACGAACAAAAGCTGGCCGTGTCGAAATGGAGAAAAGCGACCGCCGAGCGGGTCCAGAAGCAGTTCGAGCCTGAGCAAGACTTCAAAACAACGCCAACCACCACCACTACGCAAAATCCACAACAGATGGACGAGGCCATCGACAACGCGGCTGATGCGGTCGAGCGGGAGCTCGTCAGGACTAGGGCCGAGGCCATGGTTTGTTTCAACCCGCTACTTCCAACCTTTTCTAGGAGAGCATCACCACGGAGAAGCCCAAAAGGAAGCACAAGAAGCTGAGGAGACGCCATAGGAAACATAGAACGGTAATTTCCGCTTTACAAAGCAGTTTATGCTCGTTTTCAGATTGCTGCGAGCACGAGCTTCGGAGAACGCAGGATGCCACAAGACGACGAAAAGGTCAGGCTACTTATCTTAACGGCAAAAATTGTCATTTTAGATGATGACCAAACGTGGAGGCGCCCCTCTGGCTATCCGCTCGAGCGAGGATTTCAACATGGCCATGGATGGAATCGAATCTCAAGAAGTCCAGACCCGACCCACCCCGACCACAACCACAGAAACGGCCACTGGAACCCCAGCGCTGGATGAGATTGAGAACAGACTGAAGAACGCGAAGGTAAGGGGGAACTCAAAAGTAGAAACCATTTTTAGGTATCGAAAAACCGACGTGTATCGGCGCGGAAAGGGGTCAGCCAAGAGGTAGAGGACGGTCGACTGCACACGTCACGTGATTTGACATCATCCGAGGAACGGATGCTGATGGGCGACGATCTGTCCCGCGAGATCGAGCGGATATTCCAGGAGACGCGGGCGGCAAGAAGGAGGGGCGGGGCCCATTCGCGAAGTGAAGGAGCCGCCGAGAAGCCATTGAAGAAGCACAGGCGTAGGAGGCATCGTCAGCGCGCTGCCATCGTGGTAGGTTAATAAAGCCGAAACGAGCTTTTAAGAAGGCGAACATGAAATGTATAATCGTCTAATCAAACATTTGATTAGACAACAACTGAGGCTCCGACGACGACAACAACTGCTGAATTGACAACGGCTTCCGATACTGGGCTCAATTCCGGGGAGGAGCTGAGCCTTTCCCAGGTAAGCAAAGTTACAATAGAAAGTATGAAATTAGCGCAAAATCGCTTATTACTGGAAAGCTAGCTTTTATAGGCGAATGGCAGAGAACCGATCCACATCACCCGACATCACTGTAAGAACATTCGCTCGTTTGCTTGGCAATATGGTGAGTTTTGGAGCTTTGGCATTATCCGGAGGGCGGCCGGGCGGAGTTTGTACGTCCAGAAAGGCTATTAACCCAATTGTACATATTTTAATAGCGTTTTTAGCATACTTAAGCTAGTTTGCAAGTAGAAAATCCTATGAAAAACTTTCATTTTTAAAAATCGGCGTTTTTTGTTCGTAAAATCTATATTTTTTTAAAGAAAATTGTAAAGCTTTACGTTTAGGAAGGGTAAAAAAACCGTGTAGAAATACTTTCTCTATTTATATTAGCAAAATTGGATTTCTAAAGTTTAGAAAAAGTTGTCCCCTGATAAATGAACCCCCCCGATAATGCAAAAGCGCTTGATCTATTGATGCGACTGAATATGGCTAATAAAGATTAATGAAACAATTTTGCAGGAATGTCCGACGTCACCGACTTTGCACTGACCCATTGCTCCTACATCGAAAACTACTATCCGACCCTGCCGTGCAGCCGAGCCGAGGAATATATGGTCTACTGCCGCCAATATTATAAGCAGAATTAACCCCGAAATTCCCGAAATCTCTCCTATTCTATTCCCCCCACGCCTCAGTGCCTGAAAACCGCCATTTCCCTGTGCAATTTTCTTTGGAGGTGCTATGCTGTCGATCAATCTATGATGTATTGTCTTCTCTCCATGCGAGTCCCGTGCTCAACCCATACGAGTCTGGAAAAAATTTTTGAAAGTTGTGATCTTCGTTTATATCGATTTACGATGTGCTGTTGTGCCGAATGGGTCGACAGAATAAATAATTGTATCGTGGACCCGGATTAACAGTGGAAGTAGCCAAGTCCCGACGGCCAAGATGGGGCAAATGGGCGGCTTCTCAGCGGTTCCTTCGAACGATCACTCCGCGAATGGCCCCCCTCCGCCTTGCCGCCCGCGTCTCCTGGAATATCCGCTCGATCTCGCGGGACAGATCGTCGTGCATCAGCATCCGCTCCTCCGGTGATGTCAGATCACGCGACGTATGTGGCCGACCGTCTTCCACAGCCTTGTTGGCTCCTTTCCGTGGAGATACTCGTCGCTTTTTCGATACATAGAAATGAGTTGCACTTTTTATTTTCCCACTAACCGTGGCGTTCTTGAGCTCGGCGTGACGAAGGCCACCGCGGGACAGGTGCGCTCAAATTTTAGCGCTAAAATGTCAAAAAAAAAGAACGGCTAGATTTTACTGTGCCCCCCGCCCCCGAGCCCAAAATTTTTCGAGATCGCTTTTTTGTCTGGATTTTGACTATGCCATTCGATAGAGCACCAAAAATATGCGCAGAGTTTTGATTCAGCCCAAAATAACGTCATATAAAAAAGTTATAGCGAAAAACCTTGGAAAACCACAGTGTAGACAGCCATGGGCCCTAGTCAGGACCGGGGCTGAAAGCCGCGAAGCTCTGTTTCAATGTCGGCTTAGGATCTAGGGAGGTGGTTTTGAAAATAACCGTTTTTGGCGCGTTTCGTATTAAGTAATGTTTGTAATCGATTTATAAATGTTTATTCTGGAGCATGAGGGGGAGGGGCCGATAATTGACGATGATGGGCCGAGGCGGTGGAGGAGGGTGGAGCAGCAGCTAGAGACGACGAGGGAGCAACAGCCGCTGACGATGACACTGAAATAAAAATAAACAAAATTGAAAAATTGCTCATAATTGTTCAAAAATTCGGAGCTTTGGCATTATCGGGGGGGCAGGGTTCTAATCTAAAAAGAAGACGTATTTCTACACCGACTTTCTATATAACTAAATGTAGAAAATTTGAAAATTTCTAGGAAGCCAGAGATCATCTAAAATTCGGAGCTAAAATTAAAATAGACTAGAATAGAATAAACCTAAAATTACCAAAAATCACTGACAATATTTCAATCCAATTATTAGGCAGATCTTGCTTCATAGGAAAAATCTGCCTCCCCCGATAATGCAAAAGTTCCAAACATTATCAAAAACAAGGCCAAAACGCGGCTTACCGATATTTGGAGGTGGCGGAGACAACTATGGGCTGTCATCCTCCGAGGCGGCGTCATTCTTGTCTTTCTTGGCGTCGATGAAGTAGTGCAGGATCGAATTGTGGCGCAGGAAACACTCATGACACGCCGCCTCTAAAATGAAAACATTAGGGGGGAAAGACGTGAGAGTATACCCGACAGTGCGTATTGGGTCGTCTTTAGATCACGCGAGCCGCTAAAATGGAAACTTAGTGATGTAGAAACGCGGTTGTCGCTTTTGGCTCGAGCTAACGCTGCACAACAGGCCTCTTCAAAAATCCAGAACGCGTCGGAAAGTACTCACTAGAAAGAACTCCCGTTCTTGGCCAGCACCTTGCACTGAAGAAGATCCCTGCAGCCCGGGTTCTTCCGGTTAGGGTTGGGTTTTGGCGCAACCGGTTTCCGATCGATCGCTTTGTATATCCTAAACGATTAAATCGTTGGACGAAAACCGGTTTCCGGCATCGAACCGATTTAAATCGGTTCACGAGGCAAAACCGGTTTTTGTCAGGCTCGGAAATCGGTTCGGGGTAAAAAAAACCGATTTTTCACGATTCGGTCCCGGAAGTGAAACCGGTCTTTATGCAAATCCCCAGCACACTTATTATTCAAATTGCGGTAATGTAAAGCCTCAAATTTCATAAATTTTTGGGAATCGAGTTCTGTCTTAGCTTGTTAGCAATGTATGGTCTCAGAGACAAACGATTAGAACGTCATATTAAACGCTGATGCGTGCCTGGAGCGCTTCAAAATGATCGAGTACAATCTAAGGCTATCAGTAACAGTCGGGTCCGCGCGTGAAAGCGGGAAAATACCTTGCTTATCTAGAACTGTGACCGAAAAGACAATCGTAAACGACTGGTAAAGTCCGAAAAATCAAGTAGCAATCACGCTGTGTGAGTTGATTAGAATTAATATTATTTGCATAAAGACCGGTTTCACTTCCGGGACCGAATCGTGAAAAACCGGTTTTTTACCCCGAACCGATTTCCGAGCCTGACAAAAACCGGTTTTGCCTTGTGAACCGATTTAAATCGGTTCGAAGCAGGAAACCGGTTTTCGTCCAACGATTTAATCGTTTAGGATATACAAAGCGATCGATCGGAAACCGGTTGCGCCAAAACCCAACCCTACTTCCGGTATCGCCTGAATTCGTGGAGTTACTAAATGGACACAATTTACTCACTGGGCACGACCCATACAGCTGGTGCAGAGAAACGGCACCTTGTACAGCCGGGTGCCGACGTTCGCGGGGCACGACCAGCACTGAAAATGATTAGCGGAAGATAAGACATGCGAATTGGCCACTTACCTGGTTGGTTAGGGTCACATAAAATCGCGAATCTTCAAAAAGGAGACGATGTTCGGCCGCAAATGCTAGAAATCCCACTATATATAAAAAAATAGTGTCTGTGTGTTTGTGTGTCTGTGTGTGCCACTTTGCATCCACTTCCGTCTGTCTGTCCAGAGGATATCTCGCCAGGGGATGAATTTTAAGAGATGTATGATACGTCATTAGGTGCGCAATGGCCTGGAGATGACTGCACACGTATTAAATTTTACAAAATCAGCTATTTTCGACATTAAATTTAACTTTTTGTGAAAACTTCTTTGTTAGGAATAATTAGCATAGACCGGAAGTGGGGGATTAGACTATATAAATGGACAGGAGAGGTGTTTTTCATTTTTTGGCATCAGAATTTAGGACAATTATGTAAATTGAAGGATAAAATGGGGGGTCAGACGGGGCCAGGGTTGAAAAGTCGCGAAGCGGCTTTTCAACCCTGGTTTAATTGAAAATTGTAAAAAAATGAAGGACCCGATCATCCTGGGTGATCGCGCGCATTGAGGAAACTCCGGTAGTCGTTGCGGTAGTAGTAGTCTTCGTTGTCTTCGTGCGAGGCAGCTAAAGAAAAAACGATTGCCTGACCACAAACGCACCCACCCACGGCTGCATAACCGGGTCGGGAATCATCCCCACCAGATCAAGACGAAATAACACGATAGGGAATTTCTTAGAACATTACTCATATATGTTTTAGCTATATGCTAATCATCCCTCAACGAATGTGATCGTGATCGTTATGCAAATTATTAATTCGGGCGTACAACGGCTACTTCCGTCTGGTCCGGGCTACCAAGCCTCCGGAAGCTACCAAATCCGTACAACTCTCTCATGCGAAGAAGTGCTTCGTCGCTTCCTTTTCCACAAAATTTTATTCCGAAATTTCACTATAAAATGAAGATCACAAGTTACCCGATGACTATGCAAAATGGCAAAATTGACACGTTAGAGGGCACCGGGTGGCCTTACTTCTCGGCGGCCTCGGGATTCATTTGCTCCATCAGCTCGTCAATCTCGGTCTTGATATTTTCTTTAAAGCAGCTGCGTCTCGAAGAAAAATATCAACTTGATATTTGCTTTTTCGTGGCTGCGCCTCAAATAAAAATACCCCCTCATGTGTTTTGCTCTTCTTCTTTCTCTGCGCCTGTTCCTGCCCTTTTCACTCGTAGGTCTAGCCCATGATCGCACATTTTGGCACATGTGAAGACCCCCCGGCCCAAGAATGGCGAGCACCCACCCATCGACCCGAGCTGGCTGCTGTTTGCCCCCAGAGTCCAACGGGACAACCTCCTCTCCCCTCCCGGCTAGAACCACAGAACCAGGTGTGTCTGTTGGGTCCTTTAGTCGTCCTATTGTGCATCCCTCCTCAAGCCCCTTCAACCCGTGTCCCATCGATCCCGACTTGCGTGTTTCCGCTTTGCGTTACCGCGGCTTGATTGAGATGATTTTTGGGGCTTCGATGTCTCTGAAACTTAGAAAACCTACGCCTACTTAAAATTTTTTAGATTTTTGCGGTGTTACTAGCCAGTTTCGGCTAAGGAGGCAAAAATTTTTTTGTGGTTAATCTAACGCAATAGTCAACTACCAAGCTAAGCGGAGCTAAGCTAGGTGGAAGTGCCGTTAAGTCTAATAATTTTAGAGTGAACATTGGAGAGGGTAATATTCCAGTCTAATAATTTTTAGGTGATATTGGAGTTTTTGAACGAGATCTAGCTAGTTCGATAGAGAAAAAATTCTGAGCAAGATGTCGTTTTCTAAATCTGCTAACCGTGTACGATATTCAATAAAAATTAATTTTAATGAAAAAATTCCGTGGCGCCACGCTGCCACAGAAGGATCAGGCCCGGGACATAGGCCGCAACGCAAACCAGCATCCGCATGAGATGGTGGCCTAGTGGCTAGAGCAGGCGCCTATCAAAGTTTTGCAAATTTTTGTTCAGGGTTCGGAACTTTTTTTCATTAGCTGTTTTGCTTTTTGGTTTTTAGTGCTATTGAAATCATATTTGGCATCACCGAGCAAAAAGCAAAAGTTTTTCGCCAGCTAAGAGTCGAACCCAGCAGCCAAAAAAAAATAAAAATTTATGAAGCAAGCGCACTACCATTATGTCACGTGGTCATGTCTTGACATGAGCCTGAATGGGGGTTATGTTCACGCCCACCTAGAGTGCAGAAACGCGGATCAGGCACAAAATGATGGTGAAATTAACGATTTTCAAATGAATTTTTATTGAATACAGTACACGGTTAGCAAATTTGGAAAACGATATCTTGTTCAGAATTTTTTTCTCTGTAAGTCTGTAAGTCGGTTCTGTAAGTCGGATCTGCAACAAAGCCAAGCATCGGCGGAGCTGTCCCGGGATAGCGTAACTTACGTTTAGCCACTACATTATGCGCATGCTAAGCCAATACGCAGCTACACTAATTCCGGCTGGAAATCACCACATAATCCTGAGATTTGGAATTACCGTGCAAGTTCGCGAGTGCCAATCGATACAGCACCGAAAAATACGCTAAGGAAGAGGGCTTGTAAGAGCTTTTTTATGGCGCGAACCCATAATTAAAACTATTTTTATCACGGAGATATAATCAGCGCCACTATTCTTATATTTTACCCCCGCTATCCCCCCCCCCACCCCACCTTGAAGAACACGGCGATTTCGAGAAACTGCTCGCCTCGCCAAAGTTGCTCCCGATAAGGGCTTTTTCTGATCGATTGATCACCCGCCCATCGTTTTCTGGGCGCTTATCAGTGTTGAGCAGAGCTCGGCTTGCTCTTCGGTGCCCCGAATTCACCGTTTACTTGAATTTCAGTTTGGATTGGTTCAAATTATCAAAATTTTGCGAAAAAATTGAAGTCCTTGGCCGAAAAATGTACAAAATATTGTCAAATATGTCAAAAATTGTAGGTAAAAAGTTTTGCTATTCTTTGGTTTTAGAAATTACTAAAAAAACGATAAAAATTAGAGCTATTTTGTTACCGTAGTTTAGGCCGAAAGCCAGTCGTTTTCTCGGCTTTTCGAGAGCTCTCGAATGCGGATACTTACAAGCGTAGCGCTACAGAAAATGGTTTTTGGGAATCCCCCTCGCTAACGCACCAGCACCTTCCGAACCAGATTCCTGGGACTCTTAGCCTCCGCCCAATTTTCGTGCAAATTCGTGCTAATCTGAGGCCGATCGGTCATTAATTGGTGCCCATACTGGCTTGATCGTACCCCGCGTTGAATGCTACAGCACATCCCTCATTACAGATGAGCTCCCATCTCACCGCGACCGCTTTCCGATCCGATAACCCCCCTGCTTGCCCTCGTCGCCCCCCCATCAACCGCATCGATCGACCGGTCGACTCCGTTTTTGGGGTTCTCTGAACGATTCTCCTCTCAATACATCGCGCAAAAACGTTTTGCGCTCCGATTTTGAGGTATTGAAACGACCCTCCTATTTTCTCTAGGTTTCCCTTTTTTTCGCTATACGTTTGGTTATATTATAACGGTTTAACTGGCTTATTTCTTTAAAAGAGGCTATTTTTATTCATTTCATGCTTCAAAATACTCAAATTCTTCAAAATAGACACCTTAAGTCGAAAATACGATTTTCTTTTAATTTGGAATTACCAAACTTCAGATTTTTCAAATTTTTAGAATTTTTTATAGTGGAAATTTAGTAAATAAAATATGAAACACCTGGTGCTTTGGCGTTATCGGGGGGAGGCGGTTATCAGGGGAAACCCAACTTTTTCCTTCGAATAAATTTTATTAACATAAATAGGGAAGTGTTTCTAAACTTATTTTTAGCATTCCCAGTCTTTAAAAAGTTTTATTCAAAATTTCAAAAAAATTATTTTTCCACTAAAAATCGCCAATTTTCGACCAAATTTTCAGATTGTTTTACAAATTATCTAGCTTTAGAAACTTTTTCCACTTTGCAAATAGTTAGATTTTGCTAAAAATATTATTAAAACATCAACTAAAAACGTCCGAACTTTGACTAATCACGATTGCTAGGCCAATACGGATTCATCGGAAAATAAATAGCCTCCCCCGCAATTGCACAAGTACCCAGCTAGTGCCGTTTACGCATCCCCGTATCGTTATGCCAGACTTTCGATCAATTACCCGTGAATGGCGTGGGCACCGTTTGCTCAACCTGTGTACCGGCTCCCGCCCTCCCGCCCGACCGTATTTACCTGCTCTATGTGGCCCGGACTCCACACAATATGTTTCAACCATTCAGCTATCGTGCCTGCTTGGGCTCTACTTGGACCTTCAACCCCTAAATGGTTTTTTTTTTGATTTGTTAAAGATGACTCACCTCACTGAACTTACCGGTTCTTTGGCATTACCGGGGGGGGGGATTTTCTACGGATAAGTCAGAAATGTTAGAAACGTAGTAACAGTATATTTTAATAGCGTTTTACGTAAAATGTAGCTATATTTAAACTGGAAAAATGATCTAGAAAGCTTTCGAAACCGTTAAAATTTTGGTCGAAAATCGGCGATTTCTGTCGAAAAATCGCTATATTTCGCATTTTTCGAAATTGAATCCAATTTTTCCGGTTTTTGCGAGTGCAGACAATATCCGAATGAAAAGGAAAAATTTCAATTGGCCATTTTTGTCGAAAAAATTCGAGAATTTTTGTATGTTTTACTAAGCCTTTTTAAAGCTTTTAGGTCTGGAAATCGTAGAAAAAGACGTGACAACAGTTTCTCTACTTTTATTCAAAAAAAAATTACATCCGGCCGATACCCCCATCCCCCGATAATGCACAAGCCTCGGTTTATCATCTGGGCTGAGCACGTGTTTTGTTTCTACGGATTCGCGCATGCACCCGGATTAAACCACGCTATTTATCCTCTAGAAACCGGAAATGCCCTCAAACATCACCAAGCGATTGGTCTCGCGGACTTTCCGGTCGCCGTGGGCAACGTGTTCCATTCCGTGCCCCGCGGCCGGTTGAGCGAAGCCGGCGATACAGGAAGTTCCTGCCACGAATCTACCCATTTTTCTGGCTACCAAACCTCTAAAAATGGCCGGGGGTAATGCTTTGGCATTGGCCAAAGGTCACCCGGGTCCCATTCAACATCACCATCCACCTCCGCAGCTCTTTATAGGGGGCACAGATCCTGACAAAAGCCGCTTTGCGCGCCCTCACCGCCACTTGACCTCGAAACCCTTTTCCTTTGCTGTCGAAAGGTTACTTCCTCGATCTCCACTATTCTTTTCTTGGAGCAAGATAGGTATACAGGTACCTTATTTTTATTTTGTCGAAATTTCAATGCCTTTTCACCTCGACTATTCATCTCAATTTCGCAAATTAAAATTTCGGCAAAATGAAATTTCGACAAAATATTATTTCTACAACATTTTATTGGACAAAATGATTTCGATAAACGGCTAGCAAATCCTTACTTTGCCTCCCCCCAGCGGGAAGGTGCTAAATTTTTTAAGACCGCCGATGTTCTTTAAAATGTCGAAAAAATAGCGAACGTGTCAGAAACTAGCTCTGAGCCCTTTTTCAAAGTTATTTTTATTTTTTTGCCATAATGTTTTATATGACATTATTTTGTGCTGTATATTTTTCAACGCTCTGCCGAATGGCGTCAAAAAATCCCGAAAAAACTGGCGAAAGTACCGACAGTTTTTCGATGGAATGGGGAGGGGGTGAAGTCAACCTTTGCCGTTTCCTTCTCCCCTTATCCGTTCCAACCGCCTCTCCCAATCCCCCCAGCAGTCGCGGATTTCGTTTTCGTGTTTTGAACAACTAATCTCGGTTAGTCAAAGAGCGGCGTGGGAATCGGGGAGTTTTAGATGATGTTGCTCTGCCGGGTACACAATTCGTGCCCTTGCAGCATTGTTTGTCGACTATTCGCTGAAAAAGTGGCATGTAGCGCCGCGGGATTGGTTGCAAACAGCCATTTAGCCTGGTTGCGCGTTTATCAACTTTTCGTAGTGCAATTTAGCGGTCAGAAAATCGGAAGAATGGGTGTCTGAAGCGTTCAAAGAAGCCGTGCGTACCCATTTCTTGGCAACGCGAAGTGCCTATGAACTTTTTCTACCATTTTAATACATAGATTTTTAGCTGCTTTTGATCAAAGTCTGTCATTTGGAAAAGACCGTTGAATTCAGAATTCAATGCAAAACACGCACCCGATTCGGGCGTGGATTGGCGTGTTTCGTAGTGTACGAAAGGCTTCTCAACACAATATCTTTTTCTGTGCTTATTACTGTTTTTTAAGATAAATATTTTTGTGTCTCGGTGACTTTAAAGCTGAATAAGCCCGCTTTTTGATGACTAGTCAGGCCATGTAGTCCTCCCATTTTTGGTACAACCCCAGATATAGTTCACTTCCTCTCCCCCACGCGGCTCCCAAACACTCTCGCATCGCTCGCGGTTTGTCTGTCTGTGTGTGTGTGTGTGTGCAACAATTGTGCGAATTGTGCTCTGGCTGGCAGCCCGTCCGCAGGTCCCATTTCAGGGCGACACGTCTCGGGCTCTGCCTCTCTCCGCCCTCCCCATTCCTCATGCTCTCTCCCCCTACTCCCCGCCCCGCGCACATTTTTCGTACCTCAGAGGCCCTTTTGATCCGCGGCGTTTCTCTCGGTTTCTCTCGGTCAAAGCCCACCACTATCAGGTGCATTTGACGGCGTCTATCTTTAAAGAACAAACACATCGATTGGGGGCTGTAGTTTGGAGTTTCCCCTTCCCTTCCCTCGGCAGCCCACGTGGCGCCCGGCAAAAAAATTTCCTGGTCGCCCCGGGGAGGTGCACTTAATTGATCCAATTTCCGGATTCGCATGTGCCCTCTATTAGTCTGCTTCATTGCTTGTTCAAAAAACTCATATTCAAAAAACTCACAGCTAAGATAGTGCACTTGTAAAAGTTTTCTACAACTTTAAACTCAGGCGAAAATCTGCTTTTATAGTGCGCGTCTCAACTCTTAATTTGTTTTATAGGCTCTCGTTGTTGAACTTCTCTGTAACGTTACATTCTGGAGAAAAACTACTCTTACTAATTAGTACTTACTAGTACTAGTTGGTGCTTATTTTAGACTCTTTTTTCGCGTTTATAAGCTCTTCTAACCGGGTTATGTTCATTTCTAAAAGTATTTACCTGTTTTTCTCAGCGTTAAAATTTCTTGGCCTTCCCGGTAATCTGTTCTGAGGGTTTTCTGAACCTAGATGATTTGTTAAAATCGTCAGATCAGCCTGATATCGCTTTTCCGGAAATATTACCCTCTATAATTTCGTTTTTACATTAAATCAACCGTGCTCGCTTTTCAGATTGTACCGAGATGTTTTTCCCCAGAATACCCGCTAAATTATTGTATCCTACTAACACAATAGGTCGCGCTGCACTATAAATACGCTTGGTACTCTGTGCCCTTCCCCGGGTGCACCATTCCAGCTCCCGTGGCGCCGCGATGAGATGGCTGATCTTTTGCGCATGTGCTGAAAAGTTCCATGACCCGGTTTCGCCCCCGCGCCCAGACGAAAGATCGCCGCTTTGGATTGTTGAAGCCACCGGCTGGCTGCACCCTAACGGCACTTATTTTCCCCATCCCTAACCCGCTCCACCATCTTCCAACGATCAATCCCTGGTCCCCTTGAAGTCGGTGGAATTTCCGAAGAAGGCCGAAAGTAACGGAATTCCCACGCCCCCCCGGCAAATGGTTGATTTATCGCCGACGGCCGGGGGTGAAGCAGTGCCTAGCAACTCGTCGGGGTCCCTCCTCGCCCGAACAATCGTCCCGGATATTGGCTTGGTCCACGGGCGGGTTTCTAGCCCTCGGACGTAACGAGTCACGAACGCGTCACACCACTTTACACCGCGTAATTGATTTCACAAACCCAGTTATTTGCGACAAATAATCTTGTAAAGGTTATTCTAACGCTAGAAACAAAAGAGATATAGTTGTAAAACAGATTTGGACGTGAAAGGGGCATAACTCTGCCTGTTTCGAGAAGATTGACAGTTTTGCTGGTTCATCACACACGACTAACTAGTAAGACCCTATTCAATCACGAGTTCACTTTATCACTGCCGTTATAAATAAGTGTTACGCAAGGCCAGGTTGCTGATTGAACCTCTAAAAACCAGCCGAGCTCGTCGAGATAATTAGACATTGAGGATGAAACCAAGATGACGTTCGAGCAGTGAAAGGCTGGGATGATATGGGCATTGTAAAGCGCTTTTGTTTGCTTTACCGCTACCATTGCTCCCAGTTCGGCCACTTAGCCTACGGCCTCAGTTATAATGTGTGATTTGGGTAATTCAGAAAAGATTGAATGCGAACATTGTGTGCACAATGTTTGCAAACGATAATTGCTCGCGAAAATGGAGAACGGCGTGTTGGTGCCTATAGAAGAAGCTTCTTCGTGTTAGAACAGGCTCTTATTCGTACTGTGTGCAAAGAACCAGCGAAATGTCAATTGCTCGAAACAGGCGAGTTATGCCCCTTCACGTCCAAATTGTTTTACAACTATATTTTTTTGTTTCTAGGTTAGAATAACCTTACAAGATTATTTGTCGCAAATAACTGGGTTTGTGAGATCAATGCGTTAAGTTTGTTCGTGACTCGTTAGTCCGAGGCTGAACCCGCCCGGCTTGGTCCGTTGAGCTTCGGGGCGCTTTTTTGGTTTGTTGCTCGGTGCATCCGGATGTATTTTTATCTAGGGCGATAGCGCATAACTGCTAGAAAATAGTGCAATGTTCTTACTGTGTTTCCTCTAAATGATACTATTTTTTTGAACATAACTTGTATTGAGGAATTACGTCGATTTTCAGTGGTCCAAACTTCTTCAAGCCGTTCAGGACCACAGTGCAACGCCTAAGCAGAAGCATTTTTAGCTTTCTACGAATTTTAGTTTTAGATATAGTTCTGACAAAAAAATCGGGGTATGGGAGATACTAGAGGAACTGTTTCGCAATGAACTTCTTTATTGTTGTTTTCTCTGTTAAACCATTTTCAATGCTCGAACCTAGCTTTCCAGAGCTCACTTTCCACGCGATCTTCCTCATCATTTCCCCGGCATCCCCGCCATGCCTCTCACTTCCGCCTTTTTGCCTTTTTGGCCGTTGCCCAGCTTTCGGCGGCACGTTTACACTCTCGCTCTCTAACTGAGCTCTCTATTTTTTTCCGGGCCCACCAAACCCATTTCATCGATCGGCTGATGGTCCAAGTGGAATAGGCGACGCGCCTCATCCTCCAATTCGCGTCGGTTGAAACAACTGTGCGCAAATATTGACCCTGAGGGCCCCGCTCGCCTGGTCCACACCAACTTCTTTTCCCCGCGTCGCGCGCTGCGTTTGATTTTTGGCGCCGCGGACCGATGTTTTGATGTGCTGTAGGGTTTTTTAGGGAATTAAGTTTCTTTCTAAGGCATTTTTTAACGTTGTTCTAAGCCACTCTTCATGCTCAAAAGCTCATAAGGTTAAATTAGTTTTATCGCTGGCCTGAGCGTCATTTTCTCTCTAACCGTTTTATTTTCGTTTTTTTTGTGCTCTTTATACGTCAATCCAGAATCGCTAAGATCGCTTTTTCAGAAGACCGGTTTTTTTTCTCCACCCAGATGTCGACGACCAGTGACGGGTCCGCAGGGTGTGCGGTTTGCGGAGACCGAGTGAACGGATCACGATATGGTGCTCCCGCCTGTCTCGGATGCATCGGTGCGTATTTCTGACAACTAAAAAAAATTCTACCTCGTTCTCGACTCTAAAACCGCATCGACGCGTCGTTTTTAAATCAACAATTGCAGCGCACTTCCACCTGGCCTTCTTTCATAATAAATTGCAGCAATTTCTGGACAATTAAAAGTGAAAAATGCTTCCCCGAGCCTTTTAAAATACCTATCATTTGCCATGTAAAATTTTCTGTACCAAACTAGCCCAAAACCCCCGAAAAGTTTGTTGGCGGCCCCTAGGGGGTTGCTTTTCTCTTACAGAACCCTTCTTTCAGTCTTCTTCCGCCGTGCCGTCATCAAAGAAGCAAAATACAGATGCATGAAAGGGCAAACGTGCGAGATTACTTTTTGTAGGTTTTGCAGGGTCTTTTTTGCCTGACAGTTTGTAAAGTTTTTAAACCATCTATTTTAGCGTCACGATGTATCTGTCGCAGCTGCCGGTTGTCGAAATGTATGCGAGTTGGAATGAGGCCAGAAGGTGAGTTTTTATAGAGGCACCAGCGCTGACCCCCCGCTACGCGGGGGTTCAGCGCTGGCCCTCCTCCCCACAGAAATTTGAATTTTGAATTTGAATGCATAATTTGGCTGAATTCGTGTACGGACGGGCGGACGGACATTAGAAATTTATAAAGTCCCATAAAAAGGTCTTTTTTTTTTTAAACCACAATTTTTAAAAAAGAAAGGGAGGGGAGGGAAAAAATTAAAAAAAATTTTACATTTAAGGGTTTTTTAGTTTTTTTTTAAAAAAAAATTTTATTTTATTTTTTATTTTTTTTTCCGAATTTGGGGAAGGAATGGAAAAAAATTTAAGGTCATTTTTTTTTTTTTTTTTTATTTTTTTTTTTTTAATAATAAATTTTTATAAAAAATTTTTTTTTTTTTTTTTTTTTAAAAGGGGGTAGAATTTAAAAGATAAAGGGGATTAAGGGGTATATTTTTTTTTTTTTTAATATTTAAATAAAAAATGAGAAAAAAAGGTGAAGGGAAAGGGTAAAGTTTTTTTTTTTAAAAATTTTTTTAAATATAAAATTACTGTTTAAGTTTAAATTTTATATTTTTTTTTTTTTTTTTTTCTTTTTTTCTCTTTGGTTTTTTTTTGGGGGGGTGGGTGAATTTGCCGATGCCCCCTTTATAGTAGATGGCCCCGCCCGTTTTGAGAAACTACGAGCTTAACCCAATGAAATCTTTTAGCCATCCAGCGCCGCGATGTGATGGGCCCCCGAAAACCCAAGGAAAAGAAAGAGGAAATCCCCGTAGAATCTCCCGAAATGCCAAACACATCGTCGCCAGTTAAGCCCGAATGCCTATCAGTTGCGAGCAGTTCAGGTAATTTTGTAAAAGCTATTTTTATTTAATTTCCCAGGCGCTTCCACCGACTCGTCCTGGAGCAGTCCAGACAGCGTGATGGACCGTGTGATGCGAATCCAGCAGAAGCAGGTATCGCCCGTCTAGGGAATATCTATTTGGTTTGTAGCGCGCCTCCCACAAGGCCCATTTTGCCGCGTACGACGTGGGAATCGACGGCAGTGATGAGATATTTTTCGGGCAGATTGAGATTCGGGTACGTATCGAATTTTTTATACGAAATTTTTCTTTTACAGTTAACATTTTAGTCGAAAATCGACCATTTCTGGTCGTAAAATCTTTTTTTTTGTATTTTTATCAAAATTTTTAAAGTTTTTCCCTTTAGGACTAGTAAGAAATAGTTTATAAACACTGCCCGATTCATATATAAAAAATGGGTTTAGAGAAAAGAGTCCCCCCGATAATGCGAAAGAACCGCAAATAGAAATGATCTTTGCAGCTTCACCCCGGCGGCTCAGGGCCTCGGAGGGCAAGGAAACACGACGTGAATGCGATGTTACGGTGTGGGCTGATGGATGCGGCTGAATGGGGGCAATCCTTCAAGGAATTCGCCTCATTACCGACCTCGTCGAAAAAGCTCATCCTCCAGGACTACGGATTCGCGGTGATGCTCATCGACCAGGGCTACCAGACGATACAGCAAAACGATCCAGACGTAAGTGATGCTATTTTGTAGACGATATCGTTTCTTTAGCTGTGGATTCTGCAAAACGGGACGTACATGTGCCCGGATTACACGCGTGGACTGCCAGCTCACGAGCTTCCACTTGTGGATAAAGACAAAGCGAAGTAAGTAGAATATGGTGTTTTTAGCAAAGTGCTTTCCGCTTGCCGTCAAAGTACGAATTCGTACTTTCCAGATTACATCCCTGCTTTGTCGCCGAGGCCATCAAAGACGTCGGGATCCCGATGCGCGCTTTACAAGTAGACGAATACGAGTGCGCCGTCTTGAAGACGATCATCCTCCTGTCGTGTAAGTCCACAAAACAAGTTTTACCACGACGACAATTTCTGCGAGGCCAAAAATTACCGCAAACTCTTGTAGACCGGAATCACTTCTCGGAGCGCCACCGTCGATCGGCCTTCACCCTGCAGACGAAGCTGATCAACGAGTTGATGGACTACTGCAAGGCGCGCGAGGGCGAGAAGGCAGCCGAGAGACTGGGCGCCATCTTGCTCCTTACGACAAATATTCGCGTAAGTTATGCTTTATGGTACGGTATACATTTTATGTACATACAAAACATATAAAATAATCATATAAACTGGCTTTTTGATCAAAAATGTATTATCATAAAAATGACGGAAAAAGGGCATCGTTTTCGAATTTTAAAAATCAAAAAAGGTTTCTGAGACCTCTCTAGGGATCAAAGCTATTAAAAACATCATAAACATATCCTATTTATTACTAACAAGGAGTTCAAGCCGCAAAAAAATAAAAATTAGTTCCCCCGCTAAGAGTCCAGTACCAAAAATGCCCATTTAGTGTTCCGTCTACTGGGCCTACACGCACACCCGGATGCACGACGTCTTCGGGATGATGATGTTCGACCCGCTAGTACGCGACGTCTTCCTCTCATAGTTTGCATCATGTTTAGTGTTTTTGACTCTTCTAAAAAAATCCCCCGCTGTTATCCTCGCCCCCTCCCTCCCCTGATCCCAGATTCGGACTTTTGGACTGTGATACTCCTCCCCCCTAGATACCTTCGCGAGATTTTATTAATTGTTATATTGTCAATCGTTATCCCTCCCTCCCCTCCCTTCCAATCGGGTCGATTCCGCGATACTCCAGTGTACATATATCAAAATATATTCTGAGCAAAGAAAGAGCCAACTGATAAAAATTTTTATTTCATAAGATTGAAAGTATAGCCCGGTGAAATGAGAAAAACGCATGGGATAATTCGAGAAATTTAAAGTATAAACACGTGACACATATTCGACCCATTTCCGTGTGAGCAATATTCGGCGTGTTGCGGCAACGCGTACGAGAACGGGTCGGCAGAGCAGATGATCACCTAGAACTGGGTGTTCATGATTTTATTGGCCAGCTATGGTTTAGCAAATCTAAATTGAGATTATATGACATTTTTTAAAGTTTAAAACTAACCGCCTGATTTTCGCCCTCGGCCTGGAGCCGCGTCATCAGCGCCAGCTTCGAGGCGTCCGGGGAGGTGCTGATCGTCTACAAAAATCGCGGTGATTATTTTTTAATTCAATTGTTCAAATTAAAATATTTATTCTTGTAAAATCGTACCTCATTTATGAGATTGCGCAAGTGGGCCGAGTTGCAGAGCATATCATCGTGGCTCGCGTGCAGCCCCGCCCATTCCACATCAGCCGATCTGAAATTCCGCTTTGATACCATCTGAAAGAAGGAATAAAAATGCCTAGTAACGTAGTACTAAATAATTTTAATGGTTTTTAGTAAAACTAAATATATTTCAAAGTGGAAAATCACCTGAAAATTTAAAATTAAGATTTTGCTCCAAAAAATCATGATTTTTGTAGTTGTTTAATAAAAATTTATTAATTTTACGCTTATGAACAGTAAAACTGTCCAGAAAGATCGCACCAAGCCAAAAGATCGCTGACCTCTTCTTCCTTCCGCAACCGCCACACCCTCCTCCACAACCACCGCCTCCGCCGCCAAGAAGCGACCCGCAAAACGCCGCCGACAACGTCACCAACGCAGCAAAGTAGAACAACGACGAGTGCATTTTGGCGGATATGTTCTAGGCCCGATTCCCGGACCCATTTCCTTATATCCCTGCCCGGATGGGTCAACTGGTCGCGCGCAATTATGCGACGCCTCGACAAGCCGACCGGTGAATAGCCCTTTCACCACCATCCCCCAAGATGGCCAGAATAGAGCATCCCGTCCGGATTATGTCGCACTGTCCCACCTTTCCGGGACCATAATATGGCCGGTTTTGTTCGGCTGCAGGAGCAGGTTCAATTGTTTCCGAGGTGTGCCCGGATTTCGCGCATTTCGACGCGCAACACCTCGAACCAGTCGGAAGGCAGGAAAACAGCGTTGTTGATTCGGGTAGCAGGCGCTGCCACTACGGTTGAAGAAGTAATATTATTTTGACCATAGTCATCGCGACCTGTTACCGTACCCATCATCCAAACATCATTTATTCCAGGCCATCGACAGAAGCCGGTTCTCGGACCACAAAATGATAAATAGTCAGTGATACACAGATTTTCGGCCCATAGGAACATTTGTTGCGCCAAATGAGCAAGGGGTCGGTGGGGGAAATATACGGGACAATGAGAGTTCCGCTTATTAGAGACAAATCAACCAAACAGCGTGTGAAAGATTGTAAAGGCACAAAAACTCGTAGAAGACGCAAGATATTCGAGGGAGGGCTACGGGCGGTGGTGACATGTAAGGTCGAAAAGAAACTCGAAAATATCACAAGGACAACGGTTGCATAAAGGGGCGGGGCAGGGGGCAAAAAGCTGTCCACCATAAAATTTCACAAATTGCAAATCAAATTATGCGGGGAAGGGGCATCATATTGGGGGTAGGATTGACTTTGAAATTGATGAGGTGTGGGCGCCGATTCGGCAGCGAATTTTAGAAAGAAGCTCCACGGAGTTACATGATGGAGCAGCAGGAGAAAAAGCCCTTCTTGCCCTGCTTGTTTCCGCGGCCTTGCTCGGGATATCGTCGATTGATTTGCCGCACCAAATCGAAGAAGACCTGTAAAAAAGTGATATTAACGATGGCTGCCTATGAATAATATTAGATTTTTGAAACAACCAGATAAATACTCACTTCGTTGACATTAACTTTCGCTTTCGCTGATGTCTCGAGGAAGGCAGAGCTGAACTGCCGGGCGAGCGAGTGACCCTGATCCTTGCCCACAACACGCTCGTCTTCCAAATCGCATTTGTTGCCCACGAGGATCATTGGGACCTAAACCCAAATAATTTTATGCATTTCCGAAATGATAAGACGATCAGGGCTAAAAACACCTACATCATCGGCATCTTTGACGCGGAGAATCTGCTCGCGCAAATCAATCAGGTCGTTGAACGTTGACTGTGCTGTGATCGAGTAGACGAGCACGAAACCCTGTCCGTTCTTCATGTACAAGTCGCGCATCGCTGTGAATTGTTCCTGTAAAGAACATAAAAATACGAAAAAGCTAATTACCGTTCCAGCTGTGTCGAGGATCTCGAGCATGCATTGGTTCCCGTCAACTTCGACTTGCTAAAAATCGATGAATTTTATTTCTGGAAAATGCTCTTACTTTTCTGTAGCTGTCCTCGATGGTGGGGTCGTACTTTTCCACAAAGATCCCTTGGACGAATTGCACAGTCTGAAAAAAGGATAATTTAAAATGCTGCATCCCTTGTGGTAAAAGGTATTCCGTAACACCCACCAAAGCACTTTTCCCGACACCACCGGAGCCAAGTACGACGATCTTGTATTCGCGCATGGCGGAGACTGAGTACGGCCTTTCTTGTTAGTAGGGTATTTACCTGAAAAGTAGAAATATATATCGATAGCCAGGTAAAAAGGTGTTCAATGAATGAAATGGAAATCAAAGGACAAATACCAAACATTTAACGCCAGGAGAAAATAAAGAGGAAAATACATCCGACTAGAAGAGACACCCGCGGCCTAATCGATCGAAGTGCTTTGGAATGGCGGTGAGGGGACTGTGAGTCAGGCAAGCCAGATGGTCACTTGAGCACTATCTTCTTCGAGCTGTGATTCAGATCGACGAAAATATTTGCCAGCCAAGATATATATTTGCTGTCAATAACGAAAGCGCCGGAAAAGGTAAAATTGGGATCAATAAAATCGCCGAGGTCGCAGAAATAAATCATCTTGGTCTAGAAATCCACACACCTAATGCGTCACACGTAATGGAGGATTAATTGAAATTGCTAGAACTGGGCAACGCATGAACGGAGCGAAAGGACGTGTTTGAGAGCGGCGAGAAGGGCGAGGGGGCCCTCGAAGCGACAATCCACAAACAAACCGTTTCCGTAAGGGGAACACGGCCATTCGACAAAAGACCCGGGCACTAAAGGTTGTCTCCGCGTGAGCCATCACTGTTCGCCCCAGTGGGCATTAACAGTTCAAGCTCTAGGGAAAGGGATTTTCGCACTATCATTGGAAAAATTTTGGGCCTCGAACTGATGGGTGAACGGGCAACAAAACTTTGGGCCGTGAGTGGTGGAAGAAAAGTTGATGATCGGAGGGACAGCTGTCCCCTAAGCCGTAAAATATAGACTAGGGATGTGAACTAGAAATGTTATTGATGAGGAAGTAGGTAATGGATTACAACTGTAATTACGTCATAGTGGCACACACTTTTCCGCACTTATTGCAAAATAAAAACCGGTATAAACTATATTTGAACTAGAAAACCATCTAAAACCTTTTAAAAGTCTTTAAAAGGTTTAAATTTTGTTCAAAAACCGGCCATTTTTGGTCGCAAAAATCCATATATTTTGGATTTTTTAAACAAAAATTATAAAGTTTTCGCGTTTAGGAATAGTAAATTAAACACTTCCACTACTTATATTTCAGAGCAACCTAAGAAAAAGGTTGACTTCCCTCAGACCCCTCCCCCGATAACGCGAAAGAACCTAAAAACTATTTAGTGTAAATCAATTTCGAAAAGAAGTGATCGTTGATGTGGTTTGGCGGCGAGGGTAATTGAGGCACTGCTAGGGTCATTCGGGGCCAAACCGACAACGAGGGGCGATGCAAATCGATCCTCGGCACCACATTCAGTGATGGCTGTGAGCGGATTATAGGGAATCTACATAGAGAGAACGAAAGATTATCGATTCCGTCAAATCCAAAAAAAAAATTGGCAAGGATTTGGGATGGCAAAGGCAAAGGGCCGAAGCAAAAGCATCAAGGTAGGTTTTGGCAGAAACCATTCGCATAAGCGCACTAAAAATTCGGATAAACTTTTATTTACAACCATATGAAAAAGATTCAGCAAATCAATCTAACATGTGAGAGGACTCTAAGGTTTCCCGTATTCGCTCAATAAACGACGTAGAGGGGGGATTAGCGGACAGGGGTCGGCCCGGCAAAGGGGATTAGGGCTTTTGTAAGGAGAAGCGGCCGGCACCCGCGCCCGATCGCACAATTCCCCTGACGAGAATCGGCTGACTAATAAAAACATGGAAGGCACAGAGACGCCGACACATTATCGCCGGGAATATGTCAGCGAATAGCAGGCGAGGAGAAATTAGATGCCATGGGGTTGGCCAGGCTGGCCGGGCACCTGGGCACCGCGAAACCCGAAGAAATAGGCGCCTCCGACGACAGCGCATACGGTGAAGAACTAAATTCTTTAATTAGACAGGCCTAACTAGGCAAAAAATTTGGTTCTTTCGCATTATCATTTTTTTAGTTGAAATCATGCTCGAAAAATCCTAATTTTTTTGTATTTTTTAATCAAAAATTGTAGTTTTTGCGTCAAGGATAGTAAAAAAGTTTAGAAACACTTGCTATATTTATATATTGAAAAAGTTCAATCCTTAGAAAAAACTTGGTCTCCCCTCGATATTGCACAAGAACCAAACATTTAAATGGCTACGCATAAAATTAACCAACCTGCGCTGCACAACGGCCACGCATATACAATTGAGCCTTGGCGGGATTCCTTTTGAGTGTTTGTGACATAATCCCTAGGTAATTAGGTATACACCACACAAATATCACAAACCTATTAAACATCCGGTTGTTGCAATTAATCCGATCGGGATGAAGGGGTTCTCGATGAATTTTCCTAGGGCCGAAGCCTCATACGACTAAATAAAATATTATGAAATCTGGAGAAAGTGGTGTACCGGCTTGGAACCCCCAGATAGATCAGCTGGAATCAAAGGGACCTGCTTGGCACGTTGTGAAGCGGCATCGAGCTAAAACAAAAGCTAGATACCAGAAAACTGCAAAATTAATGAAAGTAGACCGAAATAACACACACCTGCCATTTCATATGGGCTTCATGGTCACGAAAATCATGCGGTGCCTCGTTCGCCATCACTCTCCCTGAAACAATTACGCCGAATACATGACCCAAATAAGAAATGGGACAAAGAAGAAAGAAACGCTATAGCACGGGATAAAACTGATAAGCAGACAGGAAAAAGGGAAACGCGCCTGGGGGTCTGTTAAAATATCGCGAAGAAAAGGTGCTTCTGGGGTCAACTCAGGGGGAATGGGCGAGCGAGTGACCTCGTTTTTCGAGGAAGAAGGCTGTGAGAGCAGAGTGCTCTGGAGGAAAGTCGCCCGCCAAATTTTAGATGCACACCGTTAGCAAAAGCGGCAAGAACTTCCAGAAGTGATAAATAATTCCAGCAAAAATGATTATCACATCCGGCCCGATTTTTTCTAACTTTTAGACAAGTTGTCGGCGAATAATTTCGCAACCTATATATCGGGGATTTCAGAAGGGCCAGGCTGAATAGAAAACCATACAGCAGTCAGCTGCTACAAATGACTATCGCCCCACTGATTCAAAAATTCGGGAGACAAAATGCCTTATCAGCAACCATCAGCCATCCTTTATAATGACGCTGTCAAAACAAAGCGCGTAAGCCAATGAATCACTGCAAGAGGTGTCGAACGTATTGTGGCATTACCGGAGACCCAAAATTACAAACTTTATAAGCGAAACCAGCTGGGGAGGCTGCGCACAGTTCCTGAGGGCCTACAAAAAGGCGCGGGGCGGCGGCGTCGCGTGCCTTGGGGCAGTGCCCATGAAGAAGGTCGCTGGCGGATGACCTCGGGCTCGCTACCTACACCACAAACAAGTCCATCTCCTGAGGTAGAGGCGGGGGGAGACCCTCATTATCGGAGGCTGGCTCCGGGTTGAATGGGAGCTAATTTGCCCTTGAGGAGAGGGAACCTGCCGCGATGGATGTACCGAAGCAGCGGCTACATAAATAAACTCTAAAATGAAGTCATTAGAACCTAGAATCCTAGAAGGAACTGCCAAAACTAGCGCCCTACAAAATGCAATAAGAAAATGTCGCGCGGTTCGCATGATACCATTCGTCGCAGTTAATTTTTGTATAATATTAAACATTGAGTTAAACAATGTCATAACCCTAAATATCCTAAAGATACCGATTGCGAATAATGGTAAATAATGGTAGTTTTTATAATAATGAGAGTTTGAAATAGTACTTTATAGATAAAAAAGAGCCATTTGAGGCTCTAAACGCTTATAATTAAAACGTCTCAAGCAAACAAACTGTGCGAAAGGTGCGAAAATTGATAAATGTCCTGAAAAACTACGCCGGAACAACATAAAAACCCCATGTTTTTTCGCAAATACGCCCAGCCAAATGCCATTAAAATCGTCATGTGCGGGCTCGTGCGAGGATTAAGCCTGGTGCCGACACAACCGCAACGATCTCAATGGCACTGATCAGTGCCCGCACAACGACGTGGAATACTGAAAAACTCATCAATACACCTGCAACTGATGAGGAGCCGGAGTGCACTGCGACGGCGCAAAACGATTGCATTGCTTGCGGCCATTTGTCTCTGCTCGCTGCCGGTGCCATACTTGTTCTTCTACGCGCGAAATGAAGAGCCATCGGTGGAGGGGAAACTAAACGTGGCTTCAAAAACACTGAGCTTCACGAGTGTCCTTCGTGGAGAGCATTGCGTCGCATACAACATCACTAGAGCCGAGAAATCGTGAGTTGAAAAAGGATTTTTATGATTCTCCTGTTTTTTCAAATTTTTATGATTTTTACAAGTACTTTTACACGTACTAACGGTCGAGCGTACTAAACCGAAAAAATCGTTAGCTACGCGCGGCTCCAATAGCAATACGTCCGTCAATAGGTGTTAATCGTTGCTTCAAATTATATTTTTTAGCGCCGTGAAGTTGTTCGTTTTATTTTTTTAGATACCTCGTCGACGGTTTACATCCAATAACACTGGCCAGCCATGCGACCGCCAACTTCTTCCCGTTGATTTATGATCAAGCATGTACACCTTACAAACGAATCACCCTTTCCTAGATCAATAGTTGGGACGGCCCGATTTCGCTATCCCTCTTCTTCGACATCCATTCAATAGAGGTACTCCGGCTAGCCGTTCGACTTCACGAATGCAATTTCCATTTCCGAGACAAGGTCTGAGCTTTTTTCCACCGCTAAATATTTTTGTAGCTGTCGTTGCACGCCGTCTTCAGTCCAACCCCATTCCACGACGTCTTCTGCCCGCCGATAGTCCTCTCGCCAGCCGATGTTTTGTGCAGCGACCTAAGCTTTGTATATGGTAGGCCTCTACCCTTCAAACCATAACCTAGCTTCAGCTAGACAGTCGGTGGCCCATCTTTTGGCGCCGTTCCAGATCTACCCGATCAATTTGATGCGCAACGTCGCTAGGATTGGCGCAAGAAGCCCTTTTCACTTTGGTAATCTTAAAAATATATTTTTAGCTCTTTTCAGTAACCGACATCGAGATGGTGTTTTCGAAAAGCTTTGCTACTCGCGCGCAGCCGGTAGTCAATTTATACTTGAACGAAACCGTGAAAAATGCGCTGGTGATCCGGTGAGTTAGTCGTTTTTGCTTGTATCAATGGCTTTAGTAAATTCGAGGTACCTTTAAAATCTACTCCTCCACGCTACCTCGGTGATATAGCGGCTCGTTTGAGGAACCATACGTTGGTTGCGGTATCCTTCGACGAATTCTCTCTTATTTCAGAGCTTTCGAATTCCACCACAAATTCTTTCCGCTGGGCCATACGATTCCAGGCCTATGGCATTGGCTGAGGTTGTCAAAGAACCCCCAAATTTCGGTCTATGAGATTCCATACAAGTAATATTCTAGATTTATCGATTACGGGCGACAAATAGGTAAATAAAAGCAATAAATAAATTTTTAGAAGCCCGTCTTGGGAGCCGCAATTTATTTTACATGAATCTGCTCCACTCAATGAAGAGCAAGTTCCCACTCGGCACCGTGATCAGCAAGTATTAGTGGGTAATTCTCATAGTATAACTTCTTCTATTAATGAGAATTAAGCAGATCCTTTTAATATTTTTAGTGCTGGGAATTGTGCCGAGCCGGGTACAATTTCCTTCTTGCCAGCCACCTCTTCAATGTGCACAAGGGCATCAAGTTGGCCGAGACGAATCTCGACATGGCTGTCAAGCGACACCAAATACCTCTAACGTAAGCGGAAGGCCGAAACTTTATATAGATTTAGTAAGCCGTCCCTAAAACATTTTGTCGACCGGATACGAGCGCAGTACGGTGATGCCTTTGAAAAGAAATGTGGTCGTTTTGTGATTGATTAGGTTTGTGAAATTACCGGGTACGTCGAAGAAGCTACTTTCTTTTAAAGCTGGTTATAAAATTATCTTAATTTCCCCGACATTCCCAGTAATTTTATGTTTAACCGAAGCGGGTCTCACAATAAACTTTCCGACTGCTTGTCCACTCACAGAATGGCGCCCGGCCCACCGTACCCATCCCACCTAGTGTTCTGCCAGTTCCCATGTGATTGCCGTTATGTGTAGTCGGAAAGAATTCCCGGTGAAAATATTGGCTAACTTGGACAAATTGAACGACCATTTTTTTTCTGGGAATGGGGCGAGAATACTACGATCATAAGGGAGGCTTGCGGTACGTCTGCTGTGAGAAATGTCGCGTCTATCTGACCACCAAAGATGAGATGATCTCCAGCAAATTTACAGGTAGATCGAGGGTCTCGACAGCAGAAAAAAAGGCAGGGACGGATAATAAACTATCAAAGCGACCTGTAGATATCGCACCGATCCTATTTATGTAAATCCTTGCCAGAAATATCTTTTTTTGATTCCATGGTTTTTAGAAACACAACGGGGATCCGATACGATTTTACAGGGGAGAAAAAAGTGCTAAAAGGCTCTAATTTAAATGCTTTATGCACTTTAGAACCTACATTCCAGGACAGACCGGACCCGCCTACTTATTTGATAAGGTCTGGAACATCGAGCAGGGCGAGATGGGCCTGCGCGAGATGATGACCGGAAAGCACATCGCCCGAGATGTCCATTGCCGCCGTTGCCAGGTAGGCGACTGACGATTTTTTTGTGTCATTGTCAAAACATGAAAATCGAATAACCTGACGTAGCCTATTGAACCCGGCTTGATGTAGCTGAATTGTTCCTCCTAGATTCTGGTTAGAATTTTGTTAGCCGATCGAACGGTCGTAGTAAGCTTCTCTAAATTGCCTGCAATTTTCGATCTGTTTATATTTCTTTTGCTTAGCTTATATTATTTTGTTACGGCCGCGATCGGTCCCTTCGCCGAGTCATCGATCGTTTTCGTAATGTCCGCCGACTGCCCCCCATTGATCCGGCTTCCCCAAAAAAAAATTGCTGCCACCTGATTGCGCGGCTCCGGAAATAACTCCGGCTAAAAATTATAGCATAAAATAGCAATCTTGCAGACACGCCTGGGGTGGATGTACGAATTGGCCTATCGAGAAGATCAACGATATAAGGAAGGAAAGGTGGGGCCGGATTTTCTTGTATTTTATCCTGTTTTAGACGATCCTAGAGAAGCAACAGATCGTTTGGGTGGAGGGACTGTCCGATGGATCCGACGCTGCAAAGTTCAGCGGCGAGCCCGCGGCTCTCCCGGTCAACATGGAGACGAATGCAAAAGTGAGGGTTTTCCGCTTTTTTAGGGGCATAGTTTCTAAATGTAAGGTGGGAATGTAGCTATATTTTTATTTCATTTGTGTTTACGCTTTTATCATCACTAAATACAGATTTATAGGTTCGTGATCTGAGTCCTCACCGGGCCTCGTCGGACGAGGGTGAGGACTAGAGCCCGCCAGCGCTCGCCCCTCAAAATAACCCCTCGATTTCTCAGGGAATGTAAATACACATTTATTGCTTGCCGTTCCGCTTGTGAATTTGCGCTATTTTTGATGTGAATACCGATGTACATAATAAAAATTATTTGTCATGAAATCGAGTATTTTCCGTAAACCGTTCACTCGGGTCCACCCTATTTGAAAATTTTCGTTTTCTTGTTGGAGCAATGCGATAATAACATCTCTTTTTTTACTACCCGTTTTTAGCCACTAATATGACGATTCTGCCGAACCGTCAGCTAGAGCAGCGAAAGAAGGAGCGCGAGCGGATCAGGCGGAAACCGCTGTTGATGAGGTCGCTTCGAATTTCTGGACCTAGATTGCTTTTTAGAACCCATTCCCGGGAGTCAACGAGTGGCTCTTCGCGTAACTGGCAAGCCGATCGTCTCCCCAGCGATGGCGGCGGTCCACATAGGAAAAAAGTGGTGAGAATTTACTACCTTGTAGCTTTTCTATTTGCCAATGCTTATTTTTTACGTTGTGTTTCAGCTTCACGACCGTGGCGGCAGCCGATTGCCGTCGTCGCACAGCGGCCTGCAATCCGTGGGAGCGGCCCCATTCCGCTCGCCGCCCTCGCAGCACAATTCCTCGCACAACAGCGACGATGAGGGCTCTCAGCATCGCCGCTTGCCTGCCGACCCGGAGGTAAATAGCGTTCGGCGGGGGTTTAAAATTTTTTTTAGTTGGAGCGTAACTTTGCGGAAGCGCTTCGCACCCAGCGCGGCCTCCACATCCGCGAGATGGCCGGCGATGGAAATTGTCTGTTTAGGGCTGTCGGTTGGTGTTTATCTCTTTTCTTGTTTAAATGTTTTCTTCTTGTGAAGCGGACTTTTCCAATCCTGTTTAGCGTACCACATCTACGCCGACGAAGAGATGCACGGTGAAGTACGACGCATGTGCCTCAACTACATGGTTTGTTATGTTGACCAAACTTTACATCAAATTTAGGAGCAAAATCGCGACCACTTCTCGCAATTCGTCACTGAGGACTTTGCCGGCTACCTGGTCCGCAAGCGCCGGCTTAACACGCATGGGAACCATCTGGAGATTCAGTCCATTTCTGAGATCTACGCGCGCCCGGTTGAGATCTACGAGTATAGTATTGGTGTGTTTTTAGTAATTTATAGTATTATCGAGTTATACTAATGTAAAAATGGCTATATCTAATTTTTTATAGACCCGCTGAACGTGTTCTCGCCGGAGCCACGGGGCAGCCCGAGCAACCATCATCCCCAGGCGCCGATTCGGCTCAGCTACCACGAGAACTGTCACTACAATGCTGGTTAGTAAAATAGCTTTATATTGGTTGTTTTACGGTTTACTATTGATTATTTTTCGCTAACATGATTTTTTCAGTTTACGACCCGCAGAACTCGACATTCGGCGTCGGACTTGGCCTGCCGGGTCCGGAACCGGGACATGCCGACCGTCATCTCCTACAGGACGCTATCATTGTGAGTTCTATTTTGGAATCAACATTCCATTTTATTAATACTGAAAAATATGTTTAAAACTTTTTACATTCCAGCGCTCGGAGACGGCAGAGCTGGAACGCGTGATGCTGGAGGACAAGCTGCGGCACAGCGACTGGCAGCTGACCGAGGACGAGCTGGCCCACCAGATCGCGCAGACCTCGTACATCGACTACCTGCGTGCCACCGGAAGCGGACAGCGCCGCGCTTCGCCTCCGCTTCACTCGAAGAAACCGTCCGCGGCGGCGTCACCGATCGCTTCGCCACAACGCCTTGGTGAGGCAATGAAATTTGCGAGACGCGATTTTTTAAACTGTAGTGACTATTTTTATACATAAAACTTTTAGTTTAGAAAAGTTTGGATTTTTCTTCATTTTTTGGATAATTTTTCGGGCGGAAATGTATTTAAAATCGACCAAAACCCTTGAAGTGCTACTTTTTCAGTGTCAGGCATTCGGGCTTGTAGGATAAAATTACCTCCCCCGATAATGCAAAAGAACCGATCCTTGATTTAGAGCCGGGACGACATCGCCAGCCGCCACCGAGTCCAAGTCAGGTTTCGCCGCACCCTGGATCTTCTCGAACTGCCGAGCCTTCCCGTCAAACGACCCCTCCCCCTGGACCGAGTCGCCAGGACGCAAGGCCCGGTCTCTACGAGGAGCTGCTCGCCATGGAAGGTTTGTTCTCCAGGTTGATGCTTCATCCAACATTCTTTAGCGGTCACCAACATGTCGCCTGAACGCGCCGAAGACCGTCTGCTGGCCCAGGCGCTGCTCCTCTCCCAGCAAGACCTCTACAATCAATCTGCCGCCGGCTCGAGTCGCCACTGATTTTGCCCGCCAATAGGGGAATATTAACTTTTGCCTTTCCAAAAAAATCGTGTTCCCGTTTCGCCAAAAAAATTCTCCACTACTCCGTGAGCTCGATTAGGCGTGATTTCTCGTAATTCTCCCCGCGGCCTACGGGTACATGTATGTAATTGTGTATGTGTGTCGGTCCGATTGCTGGTGTTCGTTGTGCTATAGTGCGGTGATGAAAAAGCCGTTTTTCATCTACCCCCAACTCGTCAAGTCATAATTCGTAGTGCCTTTCTTCCGTCTGTTGCCTCTTTCAGTGCCGAATTTCACCACGCTCTAGTGCATATTATTCGGGGGATAGGTTGTCGCGCGGGCAATACAAGCATTTACTTTTTGAAAACATAAAAAGGTAGTGGACTATTAGTAGGGGGGCTAATTTTATATTTCCGCCTTCACCTACCAGTTATTCATAAATAGTGCATTTTTATAACGTTTTTAGTAGCTTTTGAGTAGTAGAATGTCGTAAAAATATGAAAAAAGAAGTCTTTTCTGTTTTTGGCCATTTTTCAGACATCTTCGACCAAAAACTCAAAATTCGTAGAATGTTTTTAATTTTTATGAGTTTTTATACGTGAAAACTGTGTAAATACTCTAAAAACGGCCTAGAATTTGTGTAGGTCCGTACAGAATTCCTGGTAAAAATTTGGTTTCTCCCCCCTGCTAACAGTCCAGTACCAAAGATAACTGCCCGCGCACCACCTATCCACTCTGCCTGCCCAAAGACATTTGCGTTTTGGAATAAAGTTTATATCATTCACTGAACAATGTAGAATCGAAGCTCTTGGGAAGAGTATTGGGTAATTGGAGGCACCAAGGAAAAGGAAGCTAGGATAAGGCCACGCCGGGATCACATTCAAATGGGACTACAAATGAATCGATAAAACAAGGGAGCACGCAACTTCAAGAAGTTTCATGAGAAGCATTCGCCTGGGTGGGCGCCGACTCGTAATACACGTTGAGCACTTGGATGTCGCCCGTGGAAAATGTTTGGCACGAGGCGTCGACCATTTTCCGCGGGAATTGACTAGCTGGCACGGCCTAAACATGGTAATGTTTAGAGGGCTGCGATGGCATGGATTTATGGCTAGATTTTTGCACGAACCTGATACGGTGTGGGCGCTACGTAGGGGACGCGGTCGCCACGACGGGTAGAAGAGCTGAAGCGTAAGATAGCAAGCAATTTGCACTCAGAATTTCAAAAGGCACTTTGTCAAAATTTGATTAAGTTTTAGATTTTGCCAATGTTAAATCCCTCATTCCCGCAATTTTAAGTTTTTTGAAAACTTACTTCTGAATAAATATTATTTAGAGCTAAATTTGAAAAGGAAATTACGGCAATAAAGCTTCGACATTCTAGTTTACGACAAAATTTATCTAATCCTATCAAATCCTCCCTCTTCAAAAATCCATACCGATATGGCGAGCCATTATTAAAATTCTGGGGCGGTGGCCGATTGGGCGAGGCGAGGAGCGCCTCGATACATTTGTCTTCGAAAAGGCCTCTGAAAGGGAGACGGATTATCGTGCTGTATTTCTAATGCTCACCTCAAATGGACGGGGATCAGGTTGGAGAGCTGCTGATACAGCGCGCAAACCAGCGTGTGAGCCTCCTCCACGGCCGTCAACAGGAAGTCGTCGTTGATCGGCCGTAGACCCCAGCTGAAAAATGGGATTGTTGGGTACGCGTAGTTTTCGCTCACTTCGGGCTCATCGAAAGCTTTCTCGGGGTCACGTCGCTCATTAGGATCGACTGGGGATAGTAGACGCGCTGCAGGTTGACGAAGCTGATCGGCCGCGTGTCGTGGAGAGGCTTGCCGAATTTGTCGTGCTGCAGCACCGCGTGCGCCACCTGAAAAATCATACAGATGACGATCTGCTCTGCATAAACAAAATTGTATTTTTAAAGCCCCTATTTTATTACCTGAGTATCAAATACGTTTCGAAGCATCACGGCATATTTGTGGGCTAGCAGCGAACTGACGCGTCGTGCATCATGCATGATCTAAAATGGTTTTTATGGTTTGTTGTTTTCTTTCAATTACTTTCTCGACAGCATTCGATTCGAAGAGCTGTTTGATGCCGCTTTCGAGTAACATGACGTCCGAGGAGGCGAGGTCAAATACACCGATCTCAAAAGAGCTTTCCTGGTTAAAACGCTGAACATTGTTTTAGTTAAAAGTTGTTAAAATAGCTTTAAATAAATTCTTAATTGCGAATTATAGGCTTTACCTGCGATGTGGTTGCGATGATGGCTAGTGAGAGGAACTGCTCGCCGTCGATGCCGACGGTGACCGTCTTAAGGTCGGCTCCGACCACCTTCCGATCCATCGATTCGATGTCGGACCACAGACTTTGGATCAAATCCTAAAGAGCGGAATTAAATTGGACTAGCAAAAAACATGATTTGGCTTTTTGCTATTTATTCTCTGCCCACCTGTGCCGGTTTCAACGCTTTCACATAGTGAATCCGTGGCAAAGCCGTTTGGTCCAGTGGGAAGAGGTTGTTGTTGGGCTCGGGTTCCCCCTCATCCGATCCGTTTTCAGAGCCGTCTTCGGATGGTCGATTCTTGACCAAGGAGACCTAGAAAGAAATAGTCTCCTATCAAGTCTCTTCCCCTACCTTGTTACTGCGGATAAAGAATAGGCCCCGGTTGAGCTTCAGGAATTGGAGCAGTTCCTTCGGATTCGTGGCCACATCCTGGCGCACCGAATGGGAGAAGCGGCCGCAGAAGTGCTGATAGAAGGCGTCCAACGGGATCGGTTGATCGTCGTTCTGAATTGGATCGTATTTGGGGATTTGGGGATTCGTATTTGCAACCCGAAATCACGGAACTACGCTGATTTCTGACCACCGAAAAGAGAGGACACATTTCGCAAACACCACTAAACCCCCCCGACCAAATGGGCTTAAATTAAGCGCAAAAAGGGGAGAAAAGAAACCTGTTCAAGGACACTCTTCAGATATTCTACAGCGGCCTGCTTCGCCTTCACCCCGGCCAGCGGTTTTCCCTCGTCGTCGAGCTCGATCGCGTCTTCATTTGGTTCGGGCATATTCTATCAGGTTGGAAAGAAAGTAATGGCACAAAATCTTTAAACTGCTGTAAAAACCCGCAGTAACGTCCGATTTGAAAGTATGTTATATGGTTTGGTAGATCTTCGGATGCTCTATCACGAGACGACCCTCAAAACGCACAAAAACTGACGGACGCGAAGATACACGCCTCAGAAGTTCCGCAGAAAATTAGGTGAAAGCTTCCAAGCGAGATATCTCTGCATACAGGCATTTGCATACGATACTTCTAACACCAATCGATAGCCCTCGAGGAGTAGATATCGATAAATGTTGAGATCATCAAAATCGGACACTGGATGGCCGAGATATGCCCCCTAGAAATTTGGTCCACTTCTTAGAACTTTTCTCGAAATCCCATACATTTAGGCCTGCGCGAGCCAAAAACTGCTGCGTTTGCTTCAGCTCCCGGACCAAAATCCAGAAAATGCATTGATTTTAGAAGGCCCATATCTCGGCCATCCAGTGTCCGATTTTGATGATCTCAACATTTATCGATATCTACTCCTCGAGGGCTATCGATTGGTGTTAGAAGTATCGTATGCAAATGCCTGTATGCAGAGATATCTCGCTTGGAAGCTTTCACCTAATTTTCTGCGAAACTTCTGAGGCGTGTATCTTCGCGTCCGTCAGTTTTTGTGCGTTTTGAGGGTCGTCTCGTGATAGAGCATCCGAAGATCTACCAAACCATATAACATACTTTCAAATCGGACGTTACTGCGGGTTTTTACAGCGGTTTAAAGATTTTGTGCCATTACTTTCTTTCCAACCTGATAGAAAACAACGGGAGATTCTAGCAAGGATTTTCTCTCACCTTCAACCTAACACGATCCCCCTCAACGACAAAGTAGTCCACTTGCATCTGGAGGAATTCACAGAAATCCTTCAAATGTCTCCCGGAGACGAGGCGAACTTCCGGGGCAGCCTGCGAGCGATGGCCGAGCAGCGATTTTATCTAAAAAAAACTATTTTTATTGTGTATTCTGATTTACCTGCAACTCGGGCCCGAACTTGGTGAGCTTGTTGACGAAAAACTGGACGGCCTCCATCTCGTAGTCTCTAAAAAATGCGGAAAATTCGAAATCGTTCCCAGCACCAACCTTTGTCTAGAGCCATTCTGAAGGAGTGGGTTATTTTTAGCCGTGATGTCGCCGTGGCCGTTGAGGATTACCTAAAAAACACGGGTCCTAAGAAATTAAAATATTACTTTACCTGGTCCCCCTCAACGGTGAAAAGCGACGGCTGTGATTGGAGGAATTCGGTGAGACCTTCCTGCGTGGCGCCGACGGCATTCCGCATCTCTTCGGTGAAGCCGCGGGCGCCGAACTGGCAGGAAAGGTCGTGGATGGTGCGGCGTCCATTCTGGATGAAATTTTCAAGTGAAAAACTATGTGAGTAGACAAACCTTCTGCATCAGATGGTCCATGAAGAAGAGCAGGGCCATATTTCTCGCCGATTCCTCCGCTGAGGTGCCCATCTTTGCGCCGAAGGGTAGGCCCAGTCAAGGGGAAGATTACCCTGGTAATTTGGTATTAGCACGCTTTAGGCTTTTGGTTTTGGAAAACATGAGAAAGCGCTGAAAATAGTTTTATTTAGACAGTCGTGGATCAATGGTGTTTTCCCAAAAAAAATTATTTTAAGTTAATAAAAACGAAGAGAAAAAGGGTTCGGTTCAGCACATGAGGAACAAATTTACCGGCTGTACTACACCACACCACTCAAAGCCCCGGGAAATTAGGCGAGTGTGTAATCTGCCACACGTGCCGCCGGCTGGGTGCCGTGTGTCGTAAACCCAATTTGCGTCAAAATCCATATTCTTGTAGAGAGACTAGCGTTATACCGAAAACAACCGGAAAATTCCGTTTTGTTCCTAAGATCGGGCTCCTTTGATAATTCCATCACCGCTTTCTAGGTTCCAAAAAAGGGTCGGAACCGCTTGGCGAGTAGGCGAGTCCGGGGTTAAGGCTTTTCGATTTTGAGGCAGAAAAGTCAGAATCCGCCTGGGTTTTGACAAGAAGTAAACGAAAGTGTTGCCAAAGGTTCTCCTAATCGAAAATTGGCCCATTGACGGCCGGAAAAAGTGCAGGTGTGCAGCGCCTTGTCCGTCTGGCCGGTTCGTGCATAGAAGATGGGCCGGCCTTGCCGTGCCGTCTACTGTTTCAGGTGCAGAGAGGAACGGCCGAGTGGCCACTCCTCCTCCTCTCCACCCAATCGCTGTTCTCTAAACGTGCGCCGGTCCATCGCCATTTCGTGAAAACAGGTGGCGCCCTTCGCACAATTGATCCTCGCGCCTCCCGACCCCCTCTTGCATATACGCGTCTCTTTCGCGCCAGCCCGCATTTGCATACGGATTATTGCCAGAGAGGTAGAGGGGGAAGAGAGGCTACTCGAGTGTCCAATCGTCTCGTCGACTCGCGTTGTAATCCGCACAAAACCTAGCAATAAAAAGTAATCTATAACAAATATCGTATTTCCTCGTACATCCTCTGGGACGGTGGCAAAACTGCCATTACGACCGATACAAAGCTAAAGATGCTTTTGCTTCAGCTTTTCAAATTCATCTTGAGCGGCTTACAGCTGCTTAAAATTCGATGGATCGATGTAATAGCTAAAACTAAAAAAGAAGCCGCCGAAGGATCAGAGTATTAAAAAAATTTTCAATAATTTTTGAAAATCCTGGTTCACTGGTAATAATCGGGTAGATTTGCTGCAGAATGATCGGATATTAGAGATTTTTAGTAGTCGATTAGCCATCAAAAACTAGCAAAAACACAATAATTAGTAGATTGTTGAACCATAGATAATTAAAAATCCTACGTTTTTATTAGTCATGTTAATAGACTTAGAAAATTATTGGTAAAAAGTTAATCGATTAAAAAATGGTAAAAGGACCCTTATTTTTACTTATAGAAACCCCAAAGAAGCTCAGCGAGCTACTGCTGAGTTTCCGAAAAACTTTTCGAGGCCCTCGACAACCACCAACAAAAAAAGGCGAAACCTGTTTTGGCAAATAGCCCGAGCCACCGCCCAAAATTGCGGTCTCGGTTTTCGGAGAATTCCCCCCTCGAATTTGCAGCTGTACATAGGATGGTGGGCAATGAGTCAGTTTCGCGGGTGTGGGTGGAACGGATGAGAAATGGGGGAGGAGAATAGGAAAAATGGGGAGCAGCAGGAGGAGGAGGAGAATCGAATTGGAGGGCAATTGCTCGGGCTCGACGGGCCGCTATTTGTCCTTTTTTGTGGGCTGCCAACCCTAGTGGGTGGCGGTAGTAGTTAGGGGCCAGGAGGGCAAATTCTACTCATTTTGGGCTATTTGGGAAATGCGAGCTTCAGAAATTGGGTACTTGGCTGTTACCGGGGCGGGGGGGGGTCTTTTTGGCCGTTTCCGATCATTAAAAATTGGAAAAGTGTTTAAACGAGTTTAAATTTTGAGGTATGAACATTCTTATTTATTTTTTCATAGATTTTGGCACAAAAGGTACTTTTTCGAATTTAAAGAGGGTTTTTGACGAAATTTACCAACTCTAAAGCGCGCTTTCAGAGAGTTCTACGTATACACCTATGAATACTGTCAATAGGTGTAAACGTACTGACGCCTGAACGTGAGCTTTAAACGAGGTTTAAACGTTTTAAAAGGTTTTTCAACGCCAGAATCTCTCGAAATTTTAGAAAATAAACAATATCGAGGAAATCGGCCAAAAAATTGGTCTTCACCCCCCTGCTAACAGGACAGAACCGAAAAATTTATAGACTTGAACAGAGTTCTAAATTTCCAGATTTCTAGACGCCACGGCCCGGATTTCCGGCTAAAGACAAATTCCCAAATGTTCAACCCCGGCGCCGCAAGCGATTTCAAAACGCGCCGCCCCAACCCGAATTCGGTAGTGGCAGTTCCACCCGGGCGGGTTGTGTCTTATTTGCCTTATTCGGGTGGGCGCCGATGGGGGTGTAGGTGAGCTAACAGAGCAAAGCGGCCGCTCTCGCACTGGATAAATACGATGAGCCAATGACGGCTGGAGCAGGAGGAGGCCCACCATTCTCGGCGATTGGTATGGGACGTCAACAAGCTGAAACGCGCGGCCGCCAGCTGTCTCCTAACCCCCCTGCAGAATAGTAGGCCCGGATGCTGGTGGATCATTTGGAGTCTGGGGCTGGCGTTATACCAACATTACTTTTGAGTTATGTGAGGGGCTGGTGTGGTGGTGGCATAAAGGAAGAAGGATCCTTATCACTGGCGAGGTCATCCAATTAGACGGTGGCGGTGCAGGAAAAGAGGTAGTGTTTGTTCACGTAACTGACAGATTTTTGGCAAAGAATTTGTTGCTATTTAGCCGAAAAAAGAGAAAGAAAGAAAAGAATTACCTATAAAAGAGCAAGAAAAATAGAGGAAGAGAAATGGTATCAGATTTTATCGGGGCAAAACCCACATTTCCTTGGCGGCGAAGTTTTATAATAGAAATCGAGGAAAAGTTTTTAAACAGTTTTTATTGGCAAACAAGAAAAGTTACATTTTTTGTAAAAACACAAAAATTTCGATTCGACCAAAAAACACCAATTGGCGACCAAAGCCTCGGATTAAAAAACTTCTTAAGTTTTTTAGTTATTTTTGCCACTTGGGATCTAGTTAAATTCTACTAAAAACTCTACTAAAATACTTAACACTATATTACTGGACACTTTGGATTCATACCAAAATAATTCGGTTTCCCCCGAGACCCTCCCCCCATTAACGCGTAAGAACCGTATGTTCAAATGGACGGTTTCCGGCGCACGACAAGCTATAACTTCAAGATACGTTACTTTGAAGGTCTAGAAAAATGACATGAGATTATCTCAATGCCAATACAAAAAGATTCGTTATTTTGAAAGTCATTTCTGGCTACCACGATTACGAAAGGTAAGAGCAAACAAAAGGAGCGGATTGAAGCGAAAGTTGTCGGTCTAGTGCACGACAAGCGCCGGTGGTCCCACGGGGGGCGACTACAGGACTGTTTTGCGCGAGCCACGCAGGGTCGTGTCCCCCCGCAGTGTGTGTGTTCTCGGTGTCCTCGAGCGCGCCAGCCCCCTCTGCCCCTTCCACGCTGCGACGTTCTCTAGCCCCCGCACTCCCTCCAAATCATCTGATCGAGCACCGCCCAGCCTCAGGGATTAACACGGCTTGAGCCCAGCAGTGCACAGGAGCAGCCCTCGACAGTCAGTGCTAGACGTCCGGCGCCCCAAGTGCCACTAAATGAACCCTGAAGGGCCAGTTCGAGCGCTCTTTCGGATCTGAGAATTGGGGGAAGCGCTGCAAACGGTCCCGCAAAACTGAAATTTTAAATTTTCTATAGATAAATCAAAGGTTAAAATATACAATTTTTAATTTCAACTCAAAATAATGAAAATAATAATCTTATCCAAAAGATTAACTCTCAGATTATTTAAGGCAAAACATAATTCCAAACACCCTATTCGGAAGTCAAATCAATAACTCCAAAGACATTTCAGCAAAAAAAATAGAACTATTCTGGCCTTTTGAGCATTGCAAACATCAAGCCCAACCCAGCGTAAACGACGGCGCTGTTTCTTTTTTCGTTGCTCTTTCGAAGCGAGAGTTACCGAGGTAACCAAAGAGATGAGACCACAAGGCCATTCGCCAGAGTCCTCCTAATGTATTCAGCACATATTGCCCCTGGGCCCTCCCCCCGCGATTAGCCGGTCGAGATTAGTGCGGCCAGCATAAACACCCCTAATTGAGGTGCCCGGGTCCGCTGCGTATGCCATTCGTTTCGTGTAATCAACCCTTTTATTTACACAAACATTTCGAACAGACGGCATCAAAAGACAACAACGGTGTTTTCCTAGACAAACGAACTACCTACTAGAATTCGGGCGATTATGAGCTGCTCCATCAAGCCGAAAAAATAATTTGTTGAAGGCATCACGAATTTTGCAGCAATTCCGGTTTTGCTTCAACGGAATTAACCCGGAGTATCGTCACCTCTTTGCTGAGCCCTGAATTTAGGAATTAACCCCGTAAGCAAAGAACTTTCTAGGCTCCAAAGTACTCACAATTGAGGAAGTGTGCCCGTTGATGATTTTCGTGTACGTAGTGGGCCTCAGGATACTTTGCTGTTTTTTCGACGACGGTAGCCGTGACGTTAGTTGAGCTGGAGGGTAGAAGTGGTCGCCCAAATACCGTGAAGGAGCTTCCACCGATCGCCAAAACCTAAAACGGAAATGAAACAAGAATTATGTCAAACGACCTACCTTGTCAAGTTTTATTTTGTCGCCAACTTGTAATGGCGACGTGCTCTCTAGCGTGATGAGATCGTTTTGAGTAATCTAGAGAGCGTTGTTGAGCGGGAGAGCCAGGTTACCTTAAATTGACGCTCATTAACGTAGACAACCGCAAAAAGACGGTTGCTTTTATCAGCCGTCTCCTTCAGGATCTTTGAAGTCACTTCTGAGGTCGATTCAGCGCAGTCAATCACCTAAAACGCCCGGTTTCTGGATGTAAACTCGGTAGATACCTGAGCCGACTCCGTTTCCAGTCCCCTTCGCAACAACGGCCGCAAAAACCTAGTAGTCCGAAGCATTTTTCTAAAATAACATTTTCAGTATTTCAGTTTGGAAGGCCATAAATCAAGATAACTCCACACCGATAAACGCAGTGAGAGAACAGAACGGAAATCGAGAAAAAAATTTATTTTCAACAGGAATCCTTATTTTTGCCGGAAGCACGACTTGCCCAAGCCAGCTTCATCGTCGTGGATCTAAAATTTAACGTTATACAATGGAAATAAAAAGCTACCTGTTGTGCCAATCCAGCGAAAGCTTTGCGCTCTTCTTCCGTCAAGCTCTCAAGTAGTGCATCCGCGTCGCCGCCAAGATTGAATTTCTATTGGGAAAATATAGGAGAAAGCTATAATAGAATACCAAAAGTCTCCGATCCAGCTCATCTTCTGACACGTCGTATTCATCCGCAACGTCTTGGAGCACCTTTTTCAGATATTCATCTTCACCCTCATCGTCAGAATCAACCAATTCACCGTCGGCCTCTTCGGGATCCAGGCCTAAAACGGTTTTTTGGCAAATTGCATTTCAAAACATAATAAAAACAAATTTTTCACCTTTTACATCTTCACCATCACCATCCAAATATTTTTTCATGCGCTCATCGAAGGTCTCAATCCCCGGAGCTTCTGAGCCTTCTATAAATAGTTATTAGCCGTATTTTTAGCAAAACAAACCGTTTAGATGATCATCAAGCCTTGATTTGTAGAACTGTTCGGAGCATTGACGATGTTTTGCGCCGCGATAGCATCTGATAGGTCGTTTAATAGAAAAATAAAGTAAAACTCACTTCACGGAGCAATAAGCTATCTTGCAGTTTGGACATTTGTATCGGGCGTCCTTCTCCAGATAGCAGACCTCACAGGTTTGCGGTTCAGAAGTTGTAGCCGACGGTCCCGGATCAGACATTTTGTTTGATTTGAAGGTAAAGCCTTTGGATCCAGAAAAAATTTCGGTTTGCTGGGCTACGCGGGAATACTTTGTGCACGGGGATCGGGTGTTTTCAACAGCAGAGCCCCCTTCCACACACTCTTCACAAAAGAACCTTATAAAATCTGAATTTTGTAATTTTCCTATATATTTGTATGGTTGATTTCAATATCATCTTTTTCAGGATGCTCACCCGCACCACCACGCATCTGGGCTCCACCGTGCAACGGGTAGGCGAATTGCTGGGCCCTGTTTTTGTTTTGCGACTTTTTTGATTTCATGAATATTCATATTTTAGGTATTTACTCGTGGTGCCGCCAAGGGGATCATCATCGAAAATCCGGCGAGCGACATGCTCCCCTACAAGGGCATCGATGCTGCCAAGAAGCCGACCAAGGTATCGTTTAGCCATTTTTTTGTTGTTGCTGGGCATGATGTCCCGGTTTTCCTGTCGATTTTTTATCCTGCACTGAAAAAGATTGCTTGTCTACAGCCATTTTCAAAACTTGTTCTCTTCAGGTATCCCTCGATTCGGGCAAGACTTACTCCTGGTGCTCATGCGGACTCTCCGTGAAGCAGCCATTCTGTGACGGCTCGCATAAACCAGACGGGATGACGAATTGCCGGCCGGTGCGCTTCCAGGTGAGAAGACCATTTTTCTGGTATTATTTTTGCGTAGGTGGAGAAGGCCGGGCAGTACCAAATGTGCATGTGCAAGCAGACCGACCACCGGCCCCTCTGTGACGGACAGCATACCTGTGTAAGTAATTTAGTGCATTGCTTTTTATCGGTGTCACCAGTTTAATAAATTTAAATTCATTAAACTTTTGAGAATAAAAACTGAAATATATTTTCATGCCTTGCTTTAGGTCTCTCCGCTGCCCCGGAACGCCCGCTCTCCCGGCCTTTACAAGGTCGCTTTTGGAGACAGCCCCGTCTACGAGGGAGTCGCCCACAAGCTCGGCTACCGCCCGAAGGATGGATTCCAGTAATTCTTGCAACCCATCCCTGCCTAATTGACGTACTAGTTAAATGTGCGTATTTTTGACGAGTATTTACCGTTTCCCTCTCGTGCATCAATGTAAAAAGAATTTTATAGCGCTTAGCCTTTAGGTGTCATTGTTTTTGTGTGTGTGAAAATGGATAAATTCAGATACTTTATTAGCACCGCATACTATGACCCGTATTCGTGGGAAGAAAGGCTTCGGATGGCTACTTTGTGACCAGGGGCCTATTGCAAGGCATTCACGGGCAAGCTTATTGCATAGCCGACGCCCTTTTCTTTCTTTTGTTCATGTTCCTCTAGACGCTTCTGTAGCCGTCGGTTCAACCGTTCCATGAAAGGATGGGTGACCTCCAAAACGATTGGTAGCAGGACCAGCGCGTGGAAAACACCTAAATTTGCAAAGACGTTTAGCGTGGCTTTAGTTTTTAGGCTCACCAATCACCAGCACAAGGCAAATTGTTTTGAAGAACACTAAAACCATGTAGGAATCGATAAAGGCGAGCACAGTCACGCCAAGGATTGTCGATAATGAGCCGTGGACGACTGAAAATCCCGGTACTTTTGACTTTTGAAAGATCTACCAGGCCACGCCAATTTTTCCATACTATCGATCACTCGTTCTTTAGCCGTTAAATTGACGCCGCTCATGAAGCCGTGTGTGATGTGGGCAGAGAATTCGATGGAAAACCCGATGCTCCTAAGAGTCCAATACTTTGATGAAAATTGACTCGCACATAATAATGGTCACCATCGAAATCGGGTCCAGCTTCACCGACCACAGTGAGAGCAGTCCAATGACACCTAAATACGGATTTCGGAGTTGATTCTTTTCGTACCCAAGTCGATGGTGATGATGGCTATCGTGATCCAAACGGTGCATAACGGATTTGGGATGAATAGCAGTGAAATGACCACCATGCAGATGACCGCCAGCGAATCATTTTGAATGGTGGAGGGCAAGATGACGTTTAGCTGAAGAATAGTTTTTTTTGCAGATGATTTTTTTCAAACCTGATCGGCAATGGCGCGGCTCTGTTGGTAGGTGATGATTTCGAGGTCCGGGTGCTCGGCGGCGACACCGCGAAGTTCGGCGGTTACCTGTAGACCCAAAATTTGATCACGAGCTTCTGATTCATTAACGGGGGGATTGACCCATTTTCTTGAATTTTCGTTGTTTTCTCGGGGCTGTTTCAGCGCAATCTGATAGAGCATCAAAGGAATATACTAAAAGATTTAATTGTAGTTCCAAACAGTTACAGAAATTATTATTTAGTTATTTATTCTTTTTTTTCGCTAATCGATAATTACGCAACCCACCGCCACGAGATCCGACGGCGTGGAAAAGTCGGTGACGCCGATCCGGAAACGGAAAGAGTCAAGGCGCAATGAGTCCAGATCAGTGGTGTTGGACCAGACGAAATCCTGGGACCTGAAAATCGGCGCTTAGGTTTTGACCATTCGTGCCCGACCACAGCTTGTAAAAGGCAAACAGCTGGCTCCACTCGTACACTCCAACCACCCACGATTCGTGGTTATCCTCGAGGTAAGAGCCTAAAAAAAGTGTTTTTTTTTCTAGTTAAGATTCTACCTGTCAGATTGGCATATTTGATGTATTCACGCGTCCAGACGGTGGTGCTCTTCGGGCCGATGCTGTAGGAAATTCGCTCGAAACGCCGGACGATTTGCTCAATTCGATCCCGGTTCTCGGCCACCGTCATATCCGGCGCGTTCACGATGGCTATTTCAATCTGAAACTCGCCTTTTCGAATGTGAATTGGTCATTTGAGCAAATTGCCTGGTTTAGACGCACCTGATCACCCCCATGGAAGAGCTCAATCTCCGTTCTCAACGCCAGCACCAGCGGGTCGTTCGGGATGAGGAGCTTCTCGTAGTCTAGCCCCTGTTCCATGATCATAATCCCATAAATTGAGATCTGCAGCCGGGGTTGGATGTGTGAAAAACCGACAATTTCCTACCAAAATGTAGAAAACAAAGCTAATGGCAATGATGATTTTTGTCCAAACGTTGAGGAGGATCGGGACGTAGATATCGCTAAAAGGTTGTTATGTAGGAAAATGAATTCATACCGGAAAAAAGTGCCCATTGCCCCAAAGGCTTTCACCGGCAGCGCCACGTGCTCTTTTTGACCTGAAAAATATATTTTCCAACATATAAAATCGTTACAAACTTTTCTTCAGCATTTTTTTGTGCTTCTCGATGGCGTCGGCTTGGATGTCGGTGGCGGGAAGGCATGGCATGCACGAGTTGCGACCGCCGAATTGAGCCTTCGCGGAAACGACGAGAAGGGCGGCAAAGAAGGTCACCTAGATAGGGTGCTCGTCTGATAGCGGGGGTGTGGGGACGTGGTGGAAAACTTATCTAGCGAGAATTTGAAAGTTTTACAGCGTTTTTTCGTAGTTTTACGGTCAATAAACTGCCATAAAAAGCGCTCTAGTCTATCTATGAAAATTTTTGGCGTTCAGGGGGTATTTTGTGGCGGTTTGATTTGTATTTGGTCAGTAAAAAGGGGTGAAAATTAATAAAATCGAAAAAATTGAAGTTTTTACTTTTTTTATACATTTTTTCGCCAAAAATCATAATTTTTCGAAATTTTGAAGACTTTTATGGACTTTCTATGCCTAGAAATGTTCCCTACGAGGCGGTAGACCAACGTTATGTCCGCGAGGTTTATTTCCGGTTACCTGATACAAAAACGTGAAGAACATGCAGGCAGCCGTCATCGCGCAGAAGCCCTGGACGGCATAGATGTCGGTGAATGTTCCGATGGCAAAAGAGAAGACGTCGGTGGCTGATGTAATGAAGATTGCCACCGCAGCCTCCGACATCGCCACAGCCATCCGCTCCCTTAGCACCTTTTCAGAGTTTCCTGAAACCATGGGGTATCCTGGAGAGTTAGCTGCTGCTTCTACGCTTGCTACGAAAGCTCCATAAATCAAAAATAACTATTCATCGTGCAGGCATACCCGGGAACTTCGAGCAGACTCTTGCTAATGCTTCAGTTTCTTGAAAAAAAATAGTTATTTCAGGGTTTGACGGTTCTTTCTTTTTTATGGTTAATTTTTGACGACTTTTAGCATCTAAAAACTACAAAAAACTTTACTAAAAAATTCGCCTAAAACGGTAAAAAAGTCTTTTTAGGTGGACTAGACGGGTTTTCCATCGTCGTGTTTCCACAAATTTCCACCAAATACCTGGCATTTCGATCTCGGTGTTGTGCCACGCGGCGACGGCGATGAACATATCGTCGACGGCGATCGCTGAAAAGTTTAATTTACTTATATATACTTTATTTACTTACTGGTCCAAGTAGTTAATGTAATTTAACGTTAAAAAAATCAACAATACTTACACAGCACAAGAAACGGGGCGATCAACGTGATTTCGGCAAAAAACATCCCGCACCACAGCATCAGCCCAATGCCACTAAAAATTTGTATAAAAAAACGAAATAAAGCAACCTGACAATGGCCATTCCGGCTGTGAGGACTCCGCCCAACGCGAGAAGCGGCTTCGACCGAAGCCAATCGATCGCCACTAAAGGTTTGCGGTTTTTTTTGCCAGCATGTATGTAAGCTTAAGCCCATGCCTACGCCGAAGCCTAAGCATAAGCCGAACCAGAAGCCTGAGCCTATGCCTACGCCTATATCTAAGCCTAACCTAAGCCCAAGCATAAAGCTAAGTCTGAAGCCAAGCTAAGCGCTCACCTGTGAATTTGTCATCGCGACTCCCAAAGCTCCATTTGATCGTGTAGAATGTCTATAAAGTGTTTAGGTTCTTTCGCACTATCGGGGGGAACTGTTTTTCCAAGATCCACTTTTTCTAACATAAACAGAAAGAAAATTGCTAACCGTTTTTTTATTAGCTCTAAGCGCCAAAACTTTACGAATTTTATATAAAAATCCACCAAATATAGTTTTTTCGACCAATAGTTCCCGATTTTCGACCAAAATTT